TGTTTCTGAATTCCGTCATCTCAAATTGGGTTTGAATAATAAGAACACACGATGTTGTCTTCCCCAATTAAATTTATATTTCTGCTATGGTATTACAGTTGTTGCAGATTAAGATGTACAATGGCTGACATGGCAGATCTGCTGATAATCAAACCGAAACATATGTCATCCATTGTACATCTTAATCTGCAACAACTGTAATACCATAGCAGAAATATAAATTTAATTGGGGAAGACAACATCGTGTGTTCTTAAAAAGGAAGCAATTTTCTTTAGAGCTCACCACGTTGCAAATCAATTTCGGATTGTTGTCCAGTTTTGAACAAATCTTCATTTATTATTAGGAAAACAGCAAAGCACGCGAGGTTGATACGCAAAACCAGTTCTTGTGCAGCTCTTCCTGTTTGAACCACTTGGACATTCTTTTGTACAAAATCTTCGTTCACTATTACAGTACTTAATTAACATAACAGACTTGTCAGCCATTTTGGAGCCATCACGACAATCCAAATCTGTGCACAAAAGATGTTTAAGGTGTAAGGTCTTATCTGTAGGCACCTATATGCATTATACGGTGAAAAAATCGATGGTTTTTCGTTAAATAATAACACAATACATGCAGGACATGGAACGTTTGGCAAATGAGTTTCAACATGGCGGACGAGTCAGTTGTGCTGTTGCTGATGTAATCATAATTCAGCAAGGTATAGTAGGTGCCGTTGGGGCTACAACGCCATAACACTTTTCTCGTGGTGTTTATATTATAGACATGCTTCTTCGCTGATAAGGTTTTTTTTCTCTTTATTTATAATCGCAAAGAGATTATTTAAAATCTACTATCTGCAATAGCATATCCGGAATCTTTCAGTTTGTATGAAGCTGCTAGCGATAAAAGGTTAACTAGGCTAACTGAATCATACAGTTGTAAAAGTAACACGGAAATTTTTTCCAATATGTTTAGACTTATTTATTTAAACAATAGTCAACAATCGCAATTAAAAACTAAACGACAAGAGTTTATCGTTGACGGAATGTAAATTATTTAGTCTGGGAGCATATATTTATATTGCATTGTGCCATACCATTTATTAAGGATCCTCAGATCCTTTATAGTTTTGTATTGTCGTCCGTCCGTCCGTCCGTCCGTGTGCGCTCTAACTCTTTTTAAAAGTGGCCGATTGAGTTGAAATTTGGTGTACGGGTTCTTTGGACATTAAGGACGGACGCTATTGATTTTCAGGAAGCTGGTTCAATAGGAACAAAAGTTATAGTACTTCGAGTGAATCGGAAACAGGAAAAACTACGGGCTCAATATAATAGAAATCAACATATTTCATTCCCTAGGTCATGTATCGGGTTGGGACTTCCGCTAGATTATTCCCTATGATTCTTAGATGTGTAATACTTTAATATAACTCTTCTCTGTGGTATAGGTCGAAAGTTTTAGAGCAAAATGTAGCAAAAATTACACTTTATACATGAATTTAGAGTTTTAAAAGGCTTCAAACGCATTATCTTGATGCAGCAAGAGTACATCACGTGCACATTTGATAACCGCATGTGTGTGATTCAAAAATGTTAAATTATTGCCATATGGGTTTTGATCAAAAATAATCAAAATCGTTATTTATGCACCAAGATCGTCGAGAAAAAGACTAGGGGCATTATCTCAATGCTCAAGACATAAATTTGATGCATTTCTGGCGACCACATGGATTTTGATCAAAACATGTCAAAATCGTTATTTATGCACCAAGATCGTTGGGAAAAAGACTAAGAGCATCATCTCAATGACCAAAACATGAATTTGATCTATTTTTGGCGACCACATGAATTTTGATCAAAACATGTCAAAATCGTTATTTATGCACCAAGAACGTTGGGAAAAAGACCAAGAGCATTATCTCAATGATCAAAACATGAATTTGATCTATTTTTGGCGACCACATGGATTTTGATCAAAACAAGATTAAGAGCATTATCTCAATGGCCAAGACATGAATTTGATGTATTTTGTAACATTAAAATAAATTATCGTTAAAAGTTATTGTAATACTGAGGATCCTTCGATATTTCGTTGTATCGGTTTATTAAAAATTTACTAAGACATTACGCTGAGTACGGACCGGTCTATATTGAGTTTGAATTCTTCTAGAAACGAACGTAAAACGTATAGTTGATCATTACTAGGTGCTAGCGTCATAAAAATGTAATTAATTCCCAATTTTGTCGTTCTCTGGCGGCTGGATGTTTAAACTTTAAACAGTGCATGAAAGTACGTACATAACATGATCTTTTTCATTAAGTCACCCTAAAGCTCAAGCACTCTAAAAAGTAATTGCTTATAAAGGTCACAAAGGTTTAGTCAAAATCTAATGGAGATAATTCGTTCATAAAAATCAAAATCACACATAATAGTCGACCAAAATTATGCTCCTACGTAGGTGCCCGAATCTGAACGTAATTTTATTGAAATGGGTTCTTAAAAATATTCAAAATTAATACGCCACCGACAAAATGGCAATTGCCGAATTACATATTACACCCGATATAATATTTCGGTGTTTCCAAATCGTGTCTTGTTTTTTTTTGGCGTAAATAAATAATCTATCGCCGCCAAAAAGAATTGGATAACAAGGGGTCATTATACGGTAGTACTTGAAATAATTTTCGTTCAGTAAAATAGATAATTTATGAACTATTATTATTTTATGTAACAATCGTCCTTGATACCAACGCAAGTAATTTATTTTATATTGCTTTTGTCAATTGAGGTCGACAACAGATTGTCTAATTGACTTTGAAAATTTCATATTAAATTGAACACGGACTACTGTAATGCTCTTTTTATAAATTATCTTGGATTATTGAACTGCGGCAGCATGAATTATAAATACTGTTAACTTTAGAAGAAACGAATTTATTATTTATTATTTATTTCAAAATATACAGTGTGTAAAGCGATGGGGTATACAAGAGGGAATTTTTTTTTAAATATTGATTTATGAAAAAAATTTATTCTTCATAATATGTTTTGCTTGTTTTGAAAGTACCAATATCGTTTCGATTGTTTGTGGTTTGATAGCAATACTCTATCTTAATTATAATGTAGAATGATAACTTTCAATAAAAAAATTAATTTTATTGTTTTTCCAGATTTCTATAAATAAATTTTAGATTATCGAAACGTTATTGGTACTTTCAAAGCACAAGCAAAAAATATCATGAAGAATAAATTTTTTTCATAAATCAATATTTAAAAAAAAATTCCCTCTTGTATACCCCATCGCTTTACACACTTTATTTACCAACTACAAAGACTACTTCGCCCTGGATCAAAATATGTTGCGAGCACAAAATTGATCGATTTGCTGCTTACTTGGTGGCAATATTGCATTCTCTCTTTGACATGACACGATGACGCCGTTATTTGGCAATGTACATTATTTACTTTTAAACCACATTATGTTATTACAACGTCGGTTCTTCTGTTTCTGAAATGCGATTCTAGATATATTAGTACGCGTTTTACCTAAAATCAATTACAGAGCTTGGAACTCCAGCCCCTCATTGAATAGTGTATAATACATTTTCCCATGTCCGACCTTTACCTTGTCACGATACGCCACGATTACCCTTGTGTAAACCATAATATTAATATATTATTCAGATACACGAAGAATTTAGTCTAGTTAGTTTAGTTTTTATTGGAATAGTCAATGTTGCGTACAGAATTAAACCAATTAAGCAATAAATAAGTTAATGTTGTCGTGTCACTAAGAACCATCAGCTAAAGTTTCGTTTCGATAAGAAATATAGGTACTGCTATACTTTCTGTTCTGCATACTCTCTGTTGAAGTTACTTAAGACATAGTCATTTGATTTGTTGTTATTTCGCCTTTTTTTCAAAATTTAGTTGACCGAGTGACATTAACGCTTCACAGTACCGATCCAGTTCTAGTCGAATCAAGCCTTCCCGAGTCACTACTTCCAGCTTATTTGCCAGAGAATCCCACTTTTGGCTCAAGATGGATCTCAATTGGTGCCGCAGAAATCAAGGTTGGCCTCAGGATTGTTATCAAATGGGGTAACGAAGGATTTCTGCATCTTCTGTGGTAAAAATTGCGACGCTGCCAAATGTTGGAAAGCGAAAGAAATTGAGATTGATTGATTGGGAAAAATGCGTGCTTCAATTGCTTGAAAATTGGTTATCCCTCGAGGAGATGCAAGAATAAAGTCCGATGCGAGTCATGTAACCGCAGTTATTATCTAATTATGGTCTCACCCGTGGGTTTGTTTTTCATATAGTAATAAAATATCAAGTTTCAAAATACTTTACTCACAGCTGGACAACTATATTGAAAAATTCTTTTTTTTAAAGCATATTCGTTAGTAGGTACCTAATAGTGAACCGCATGTGGCATTGCGTAAAAAGTAATTTGGAAACCGGTATTAGTTTTACAAGTGCCTATTTCATTGAAATGCTTTCGTAAATAAGAAGGTTGGCATCCCGCATGCGCAATACAATATTTTGAATCAGTCGTTAGTTTTACTTATAAGTAATAAGAAAGCATTGCACATTTTCGCCTGCCAAAATATAGGTTTTGGAAAAATAGCCAGGGGCGCTAGTTAAACAATCGTGCTAAAAATATCGGTACGTAAGGGATCCGGATTCTTCCACTAAGCCCTTTCAAATAAGCCCCCTATCGCCCAAATACGCTAAAAATGCATTTTATGGATTACAGCCTCTTTAGCACTTAAAGCGTTTTTTGAGATTCGATTTTATGCTCGAACCCAAACGCAACAGATAAAGGACCGTTTCGGAGACAAAATGCCAATTTTGATGGATGAATAATGGGTAATAAACGATACGTTAAGCATTTTCTTTCTACATTTTATGTATTTTGATTGAAAAATACTACAATTCCATCCAAAATCGCTTGTACCCAACACCATTAACTTGATAAGCATTGGTATAATATAATTGTTTTTTTTTTCAGGCAAATACATGGCGGAACCGTGGCAGGGACCGTCAAAGCAGGGCTTGTATGATCCTAGTTTCGAAAAAGAAGCGTGCGGTGTTGGTTTCATTGTTGCCATTGATGGACACCGTTCGCATAAGATAGTTCAAGATGCACAACGTTTGGCAATTTCTATGAACCACAGAGGCGCTTGCGCTTGTGACAATGATACCGGAGATGGCGCAGGCGTACTCACTGCGATTCCTCATGATTATTACGCTGCTATATTAAGGTATTGCTATACTTACTGTATCATTATAAATTAATAGTTAAGAAGAATTTACTAGGTTCTAAAGACCAACATAAAGTAGATTCTTGCATATGAGTTTATGATACATGATCCATTGACTCTGGTCACTAGCTGACAATTGTATTTACCCAATCCAAATTTCAACCGTAAGCCGTAAATGGCAACAGATAAAATGTTTATTCCAAGTAGTAGCAGTTATCAAAGAATGACCTTCCTGGAGATCAGTTATTGTTTTGTCTGTTCATTTGGTTTTCTGTTTATTTTTTAATGTAAATTTACAGGTATGTGGTTAGATAGTGTTTGGCGATATACCTGAATTAGGGGTAGGTACAAACCAAAAGGAAGCACTCTACATGTCTGTCACGATATTACCTATGTAAAACACATGCATTCATCAAGGTTGATTACAACAACTTATGCATTTCGCGCTACATATCATAAAATCAAGGCTGAAAATTATTTGTCATTATCGACATCAAATTATATATAATTCTGCATTTCCGCTTAATAATATGTCACTGTGGGTAATTCTAATCTATGAGGACTATTATCATACATTTTAGTATTACTATGAAGCTTTCCAATTGAAATAGTTTGCTAATATAATCTAATTAGGCAAACAATTCCAATTGATTCTATCTATTTTCTTCGAGTCTTTCTGATATACCTATATCATAAGAGTAAGTAGGTACTTGCATAGTGTATTCTATTCTTACACTATGGTGCTTGTAATGGGTAATTATTATTTATTAATTGGACAAGTATGAAATAATTACTGTTTTTATTTGTTGAAGTGATAAATGGTAATTAGCTAATTACTGTGTGCTACTTTAATCATTCTCAATAATACCATAGCACAACTGTCCTAAAGCACAAACTACAGTAGTATAATACCTGGCCTATTTATTCTGGAAATCCCTTATTTTGAATTATAGAGAAGTAGTCCAATGTCAAAGTGTGCCTCAGCAAAAGATTCCTTGTAACATATAATTTATGTACATGTCCCATAATGGGAAAATGAAAAAAAAATTTCCTAAAATACTGGGTATTACTCAAAGAGGACATTTTCGTTGACTTCTAATTTAAGGGGGAATGCCAGAACTGATTCATTCATTATCTTGCATTATCACAGATAAAAAATGACCCTGTTTTTTTGTCAACATGCAGATAAGAGAAAAGTATCTATTTTCAATCAATCAATCACGCTGTACTCATAGAATGTATTTACATTAAGTAAGTGGCGTCGCTAGAGGGGTACAGCAGGGACAATCTTCCCCAAGTGATTGTATTGTTTTATATTGTGTGTGAGGGTAAAGCATTTAGCCAGGCAGCAGTCTCATCTGCCTGTTCACAAAGTCTCCATGCTGCCCCCTGCCGCTACGCCAATCTTATTGATGGTATTATGCCCTGTGAACAGTCCTGTAAGGGACCGTAGGTCTTTCCTGATGTTGAGTGGTGAAACTTCCTTGATTTTTTGTAACGTGGCCTTAATGAATAATTTGATTTGTCGATGCCCCAAGATTACTATGACCAGGTCGTCTGCATACCCTTGCACCTAGTAACCTTTTTGTGTTAGCATGGCTAGTAGGTCAACAACCACAAGTGACTATAATAACGGCGATAGTACTCCTCCCCCTTGAGGGCACCCCTTTTGGTCATCACTGTATCTGACTCCTCGCCTAGCCTAGCCGTTATCTTACTGCGGCTCAACATGGACGTTATCCAGTCTATTGTTGTGGAGGTCAGGCCTTTCTTTCCAGCGGCCGCTGTGATGGCGTCATACGAGGTGTTATCGAAGGTATTGTGTAGTACATAACCCCTCTTTAACACCTTTAATATTAATGATAATAGAGCACATATTTCCAAAAGTGTCTGAAGTCTTCCCCTTTCTTCCCCCTCTAATATTCACCATATCAACATTTCGCATCTGGTGCCATTTACTTTAGCGAGGCCACTGTAGCAAACATAGAAGAATCGTTTTAAATAATGATAGAAGTAAAACATAAACAAACAGAAACTTGCATTATATTCTAGCACAACGGGTTCGCGTGTTTATATAGGATTGACGTGACTTGTTAATTCCCTAAGTATATGAACCATTTACATGTATTACGATTACGGCATGTAATCTACACTTCCCTCTTTAATTTATGAACGCCTTTCTATTTGCTGTTGTAATTAAATAGGCTTAGGAATTACACTTATAAACACTAATTAGGTGTTGGAATCTGCGACAAAGTAAAATTATAGAATCTATGCTGAGCAGTGGAAACTTACTTCCATAAAGACGAGACAACCATTTTAAAACCCCACCCTTACAGTTCTAAGAGCAATGTTCGTAGCTACTTTATCTACTTGCCAATAACTGCAAATATACTTATAGTGCATTGGCGCAATGCATTTGGACATTTTTCTTCAAAAATTCGTCCATAAATTACAGTTCTATACCTTTCGCTCAAAGTTCAAGGGACTGATCGCGCATTTACAAAAATTTTCCCTTGGTTCAAAAGCTATAAGCCACCGAATGCAAAAAGAACGAAACTGTAGCAATAGTTATGGTACAGACGGACAGAGAAAGTGACCACTGACCGCATTAGTGTATTCAACTGGGTGGGAGGGTGCCCTAATACAATTTAATCCTCTTCAAATATTTTATGAACAATTTGCTTTTTAGACGTGAAGAGTTTAATGTGCAACTACCCCCATTCGGACGCTATGGTACTGGAATATTTTACTTGGATAAACTACATCACCAAGAATCAGAAGCCAAATTTACGGCACTCGCTAAAGAAGTGGGAATTAATGTCCTCGCATGGCGTACTCTTCCAACCGATAACTCAAACATCGGTCAAGTAGCCAAAAATGCTGAGCCATTTATGCGACAAGTACTCTCATCACTTTTTAAGTTAACAATTAAGTTTGTTTTTGCAGGTTTTCATTGCTCCAATAAAGGAGATCAGTGACGCAGAAATTGACACTCAATTTTTTGTTCTGCGTAAAAGAGCGACCCACTCAATTCCGTCGCCCGGGCGGCGCTTTTACATTTGCTCATTAAGCAGACTCGTCGTCGTTTATAAAGGTCAATTAACGTCCGATCAGTTATGGACTTATTTCCCAGATTTGCTCGATCCGCTTTACAACACTTACCTAGCCCTTGTTCACACCAGATTTTCCACCAACACCTTTCCGAGTTGGGAACGTGCTCATCCGCTAAGGTATGACTTAATTTTTGCAACAGGTAGCTCTGCGAAGTCACCAAAACACACGAGGACTAATCAAATTATTAGGATTGTGACAAAAGATAACTTGAGGCTCCCAAACCTCCAAAAATTAATTTTCTCAGCGATTAAGACAGATTGGTAGTTTTTGTTGGAAGCGAGCTATCTGTTGCACTAAATGTACAATTAGGCGGTTACCGATAATTTTGTAGAATGATCGCACATAATGGTGAAATCAACACGTTGCGAGGAAACGTGAATTTTATGAAAGCTCGCGAAGGTGTCATGAAGAATAGCGAATTTGGCAAGAGCTTACAGTTGCTCTATCCGGTCGTCGAGCCCAATTTATCAGACAGTGGATCTGCGGATTGTGTGCTCGAATTTCTGGTTCACGCCGGTAAACGCTCTTTACCTGAGGTAATTAACTGTCTCCATTACATCAACTTTATTAATCATGTCTCATTAGGCCGTTATGACTATGGTACCCGAGGCGTGGCATAATGACATAACAATGAGCAATGAAAAACGTGACTACTATCAGTGGGCAGCTTGTATTATGGAACCTTGGGATGGACCAGCGCTCATTTCTTTTACCGACGGCCGTTTTATCGGCGCTATTTTAGATCGTAACGGCTTAAGACCTTCGCGATTTTACGTCACCGATGATAATATATTGATAATGGCTAGTGAGGTAAAGTATTGTTGTCCTTGTCAAAGATCTATAGGCATTCTGCTGTATCTGAATAGTCAGCAACCACAGCGATTATTACAGCTACATTTTTCAAAAGATCACGCAACGATTTGTAGATGGAGCAGAATACCTATATCACTCAATAGGGAGGTCCATGAGTTGAAGTCCCAATACATAAATGTCCATTTTCGAGTACACAATCAGTTTGTGCTATTTTTTGGCGTATCAGATGTGATTACTGGATATCTCGTTTTTGATTGGTCGTTGCTTCCGGTCGCCATATTGGGGCTAAATTACTATATTTTGATATCTAGCAGTTTACACTTTTTTTGTGTTCTTGCAAAATTCTGTGAATGAAGGATAAATGTATATTGGGGACATTCGGTTCTATATAGACATAGTTTGGTATGTTCAAAGTCAATAAAAATTAATTACGAAAAGACGATTGTGCTGCACAATTGTGATCATAAATACGCCGCTTAACCAATCTTATGTAGATGGTATTTGAGCGGTATATGGCCTGTGAACAGCCCTGTAATGGACCAGCTCTTACATGTTAAGGGCTAAACCTTCCGTAGCTTTCTGTAGCATGGCCTTAATGAATTATTTGACCTGTCATTGTTCTGGTTACTCTCTGCCAGTGGGATGGATCCTATTTTTCTCCTTCCACTAGTTTAGGGTTTCACTCCCAGACTAGTTTGGGGTCGCAGATACGGGCTACTAACGCCTTCAGTGCAGTTTGTCCATTTCTGCCCCCTGCTATTCTGAAGGTTTGCCTGTAGGAAGGCGATTTTGTTGCCTATGATGTTTTCTTGGCTGACCTCGTAGGTGCATCGACTGGCTCTCTGCCTTTCTGTTCCAGGCATCTTAGCGAGGGTTGATCCATTGTCATCGTTAGGTGAACAACGGCACCCTCCTGCTCTCTCTTCAGGATTTTTACCCGAGTTGTGAGATTGACCCGGGTCCTGTGGAACCATAATCCCACTTGGACCTGTCGTCTCTCTGCGTGGCTGTTTCATTGTTTGGGTAGCCTCGGGTATGGTGTCGACGGACTGCGACACTTTCTTCCCTTTGTTCGAGTTACCTCACCCAGCATACTTGCAGCTTCATCTGCACTTTGTCATTTCGCACTGGCGCAGCACTAAGTGGGTCGTTCCATAGAGGGGCACCACCCTCTGTTATTTTATCAGGTTCTCCACCCTCCAAATACAAGATGGGTACCGGAAGAGACACAAAATTGAGTCACGAAAAGATAAAAGTGTGAAATTGAATACCTGGAAAACTATGAGTTTAAAATTTGTTTGCTACAGCTTAAAAAATAGTACCAAAATGCCTACATATTGTATAGTTTAAAATTTAAATACCAGTACTACAATATCATGGACCTAGATGATGTTAAATCGTTTTTATATGTATGTCATTGATTAATTACCGTAGGTTGGAGTTTACAATGTAGATCCAGCTAAAGTGACGTTAAAAAGTCGCTTAAAACCCGGCAGAATGCTATTGGTTGATACTAAGGAGCAGTCTGTTATCCAAGATATTCAACTGAAGAAGGAAATCGCACAGTCACGCCCCCATTCACTTTGGTTGAAAGAGCAGGTATGTTAGTGTACTATATATAATTTGTATATTCAGTTTATTACCTATTTATATTCAGTGGCGGATTGGGGAGATTTAGATAATTTTTTCCCGCCATATACATTTTGAAAGTATTTTTGTGAACTTTTAGAGTCAATATTTTCTATACTTTTGATCCGCCATAGTTTTCTTTTGTACATTTTTAACACAATTTAATGTAGGGAAAAAGAGCTTTTATTATTTCACATCTTACGAAATCCCTCATTTAGTTGGTCCATCGAGAATTTGCCTGGTTTTGCCACTGACTCAGTCCGCCACTGTTTGTATTGTAGGGTGAGGGGTTGCTAGAAGAACCATTGCATAGTCTTTTACAACCTTTTCAAATGACAACATTTAAAATTTGTTAATTAAAACAATGAGTTGTGAATGAATAAGATCAGTTTTCGAATTTTAACTCACGTCTTTAAATCGACCTTTAAACTAAGGTTGGATGTAAAATTTGTTCCTAACTCTTCATTACGTCTCAGAAAAACAAAATCAACAAAAGACCTTACCGATAGTGTACTTACAACAGAGTTAAAAGGTAACATCTACAGTTATATTCATGTAGAAGTAGACATAGGGATTTCCTATGTCTACTTTTTACATGATGAAGTCTCCTGAAAGACGCCTAATTTTATGCAACCAAAATAACTTCTTGACATAAATAAAGGTCTGGCTGTCATATTAATTATTAATTTGAATATTGTGGCTTTAGCTTCACAGAAAATAAATCTCTTATGCTCATTTGTGAGGAAACGAAATTAAGGGTGAGGAAATAATCTGCCCAAACCAGTAAATGAGATTTCCCCCAGATATTTCCACTTAATTTCGCCCCTCCTAATCGTCTTCCCCACCAGATCTCCAAGATATATATACCTGTGTCAGTCCAGTGTTCGTAACTTTTGCTTCTACCTTTACCGGTGCCTATTCCTAGTAACCAGCCTTATTTACCCGTCATTTATTACTATATAATTTGTACCCTTAACCGTCGTGCCATTTCCTGTAAAACCTGTGTTAACCTGCACCCTTGTCGTTCCCTGTGTTGAGTGTGTTGCCGTTAGCCCTAGGGGGTAAATCGTAATTAGCCTTTGAGGTGAGTGAGTGTTTAGTGTCATTAAAACAACAATCTTTCAACCCTTTATTAAAACGTGCAAGCCGTTACCTCTATTACTCTGACCAGTTCCCAATTCCCCGAGTAATTCCAGTTCCTAGGTGTACTCCCTAGTGAACGGGTTGCTACAACAAGTATTCCTCAAGATTACCAGCTACTCTCCGTACGTTCCTACCTGTCCGTGTCTTCAAAACAAAATCGGAGCGTGACTCCTGGTTTTAAACGAAGTACACCTCCGTAGTATATTCCCGTCACCCCGTCCTACATAAACCTGGGGCACAGTGCTCCCGCCTACGTTAACCATAAGGGGCTGAAAGCCGTCACGTGAAAGGTTAGTTGTTACAGTTCGAACACTCACCCCGCAGGTTCTGTTGGTTACCCCGTTCGGGTGGCGCAGCCCTCAATCCCGCATCAATTAATTTGTTACATTCTAGACAGCACTGCACGTGGAAATTAACCTACAGTCCGACACGAAAACGGCATTGACAGCGAACCAGCTGACACGCTGGGGCCAGATAACTACCGGCAGATGGCAGTACTCCCCCAGTAAATACGAGGACTGCTCCGGAAATCTTTTATATTATTTTATTTTGTATATATATATTTTTATTTCTATTTAGACAATACACTTTTAATTTTCTTTGCTCGCCAATTTTTTTCCGACGCTACCCGAGGCTGTGGGCAAAAGCCGGATCGTACCCAGGGTTGCTCACACATTTAACTGTTATTGGCACTTTACCAGTTGGAAACATCAACTTTTTCTTTAGTTGAATATATCGCACATGAACCGAAATTAGAATAGGGAAGTTAATAATATTCAAATTAATTAATATGACAAGCAGATTCTCATTTGTTGTAGGTAGTTACTTTGGTTACATAAAATTAGGCGTCTTTCAGGAGACTCTTTATCATGTAAAAGTAGACATAGGAAATCCCTATGTCTACTTCTACATGAATATCACTGTATAAATATAATCAAAGAAGGATAATGTTATTCGAAAATTAACTTTATTCTCATTTGAATTATTAGAATAGTTAATCGCACTTAAAAAAATTGCACTACTACATTTTTAATGACCAATATTATTAATCTGTTTTATTTATTCTTGCATGTTTTCGGCGATACCAGATGGTGAGTGGTGTGTAAAATACTTACAAGCGTTATATTTTATTTTGGTGGCCTTTTTAGATTGTTTTCGCTTCTTGGGATAGTTTCATCAATATTGTACAAAGTTTTTTTTTGCGTTTCTATTATTGGCAACTTGTTGACTAACGTAGACCTTATTCAACAGTGCTAACTCTATCATTTCGTTTAATAAAATTCAGGGTACAGACTAATTTGATCCTTCGTAGATTACAATGGACGAACTTCGCGCGGCGCATTCCGAAGTTGGCCATCCGAAAACAATAAAATATCAAGCGAGCGGATTAGCCGATCAGAGATTGCCACTGTTTGGATATTCCACGGAAGCTATACATCTGCTGTTACTACCCATGATAAATGACAAGTAAGTTAACGTTACTGTAACTCATGTGTAACTAAACTGTACCTACTAATTGGTTTATTGTCAATCGATTCTGATTACTGCACCAATCTGTATTGTTCTTAACATTGTTATAAGCGCAAAAGATCACAAGTTTGATTTCAGACTGTCATAAACGGTAGCTAACATCATTTGAGTAGTTCCTCAGTCAATGTCTACAGTTCACGTGTGATTGCTTGGTCATAATTCTTATGTTATTTATGTAGAAAAGAAGCACTGGGAAGTATGGGCAACGATGAACCATTATCCTGTCTCTCTTCATTCGCTCCACTTCTTTATACTTATTTCAAGCAGTTATTTGCACAAGTCACCAATCCTCCGATTGACCCATTTCGAGAGAAGGTCGTTATGTCGTTACAGTGCCCGATCGGACCCGAGGCTAACATCCTCCAACCCGACGCTAAACAAGTAAGTTCGCATTAATTTTTTTGGAGAACTTAACACACTTCTCTCAGGTGCACCGCTTATGGTTGAAGCAACCGGTCATTTCCATTGCCGATTTGGAAGTGTTGAAGCTCACTAATCACCGTGGTTGGAGTGCACACGTTTTAGATACAACTTTCCCAGTTGCCGAAGGAATCGCGGGTCTCCTCCCAAAACTCCAAGCTATTTGTGATGAAGCCGAGGCGGCGAGTAAAGAAAATCAAATTCTTGTAATATCTGATAGAATGGCTGGTCCGGAAAGGGTACCAATAAGTAGTCTGCTAGTGTTAGGTATGTTATTCTTGATGCGGGAGGGCATCGACTGAAAACAAACTATTGTGTTAGGCTACAATATGCCGTACTTCTTCTGCATAAATAAAAAATAAAATAATGGCTTGTGCTATACTCCTAGATTAATTTGCCGTAATTTTTGTTTTACATTTCGGCAAATGATCTTATAATCGTGTACTGCCATCTGAATGTGAATTCTGCTATAGTTTTTTGAATTGACGACTTCCTATCTATCTGTATGACTTGCACTGGAGTAAATTCATCTCGTCGTCATAAGATACTTGCAGTATTATATACATATATTTACTTGTATTACTCATCGTCTTTGAAATTGGGCGTATTGTAACCGTCAGTTTTCCACGGGTGTTAGATTGTTTTTTTTTAGTTGGGGGTTCACCATCGCAATTGCAAGTTAGTCAAATTTATTTACTCAATAACGAAGAACGCAATACGAAATTCATGATTTTCAATTAATAAACCGAATACAAGTAATAGAACGTCAAATTAATTAATTTTTCTCAACGCACCGGATATGTCATGGTTGACGGCAGTAACGTAGCAAAATGATTCGTGTTTTGTTTGAGGTGGTCAGGTTGTAGTTACCTTAACTACAAGTGCGGTTCATATGACCGCAAGTCAATCACAAAAATGTTGTTGGGTCAGTCGGTGCAGTCGACGTGACCACAATTCTGTGGTTACCTTGTGTACGGTCTCCCACAGGTTTATGAATCTTTCGAAAAGAGCTCGTTACTATCTTTCCAGATCGTGATATATTTACAATATTACAAAATTTAAACAGAAACAATTTCTTTACCATGGTTGTTTTTCTGACGGAGGCTATGAAGTTGAGATCATTTCTGTTGAATGAGTGACATAATAACAATAATTACAAAAACAAATAAATTAAGAAAATGATTTTGCTATACCTTTTTTTTAAATCTTGTGCCTTTCTTTTAAATTCGAATGTTATGTTAGATGGTTTTCTTTTTCTTACTAGTGAAGATTAATTTGTTCATGATATACATGTCAACGGAACAATAAAGATTATTATTATTATTATCATTATGAATCTTTCGACGGCTTCGTTCAGGCTGTGCATCACTTTCCTCAGATGAGGTTTTTATGACAGCTGGCTGTTGTCTGGCGAGTGGTCGTTTTTAAATTGAATGAATACATCTATCTTTGCTTTTGAGTCTTGTTCATGCGAGAACAACTCACGATATACGCGATATTGCTGATCTTTTGGGAAGTGGTTCGCAGTAAATCGAGCGCACTTTTCCAGTCATTTAGGGTTCTTCGCACCACTTGGAACCTTGTTGCTGTGAATCCATCTAAAAGCTTCAGAAGTCCCTTAAGAGCATTTGGGTTTGAAATGCACACGCAATCTTTGTATATTACCACGGCGTTAATAAAAGCATTTACGTCGCTGTCCTTCGGTCCATCAAATCGCGGGGGACGTTTTGGAAAGTTTCCAATCGTCTTCACCACTGGTCTATTTAAAGCCAAACTATTTAATAGTTCTCGTAATTTTTCATCACTTGTAATCCAAGCGCCTTTCGCCATATTTTCGCGAACTTCTGGTACCACCACGCGCGGTCGACTACTAGATGTCATTTTTGATAAAATGCATATAGCCAAGAAACAATTAAAATAATGATTATTCTTCCTGGTGTTCTATAATTACGTACTTGTGTATATTTTGTATTTCTTTGTACTGTGCGATCAAAAATGAGTTGCTGTCGAGTCACCTTTGGAACTTTTTACATGGGAAATCGTATTTAACTTGAACTTCCAAAGGCGACTCTACAGCAACTCATTTTTGATCGCCCGTTACATATAATTTGTAAGAACTTTCATTGTATTCACATATATTCATAGTAAAATGGGCGTTTTTTCTCTATTACTCTCGATAATCCGGATTATTTGATAATCCGGCGCTTGCGTGGTTCGATATATGTCAAATTATCAAGATTCTATTGTATATTGGTGCGAATCATAGGTTGTTTTTTTTTAGTTACGTCAAATTCATTTACCTTAATTACGACGAATGCAACACAACATACACACACTCAAAGACGTTTAGTAAATTTTAGTGACAACTTTTTGTATTAATTATTTTAATTAAAGGGAACTATCACAATGGAAAAGATACTAGAATAGATTCGCGGTTTAGCGGTAAGCGGAAATTTGAGGCGATAGTACCTTTTGTTGGCACTCACATTGTAATTTTTTTTACTTAAAAAATCGTTTGCAATACATTTAAGAGTATAGAACAAACCTAATCCGGCACAAGAGTTTGTTTTAAATCGATTTCTACCACATGTTATCCTGGTCGCACCTTGGTATATTTAAACATATTCTAGGTGCTGTACATCATTCCTTAATCGAAACACGTTCCCGGATGAAAGTTGCGTTAGTTGTCGAAAGCGGTGAGGTTCGTGAAGTTCACCACATTTGTGTGCTCTTAGGTTACGGTGCCGACGCCATCTGCCCCTATTTAGCGTTAGAATTGGCGTCAAGTTTACGCGATCAAGGGATCATCGATTGCAATTACACCGACGAGATGATATTCAATAACTATTCGCAGGCCATGCAAACGGGTATTAGTAAGGTAATGGCCAAAATGGGTATTTCCACCTTACAGTCGTACAAAGGTGCCCAAATCTTTGAAGCGGTGGGTTTAGGTGATGACGTTATCGATAAATGTTTTAGGGGTAAATGGAAATTAAATATTTCGTAAATAGAATATGGCATGTTTTAGGGACTCCGTCTCGTCTTGGTGGAGTAACATTGGAATTGTTAGCTACGGAAGCTGTCGAGCGTCATAATAATGCTTATAAGTTTTCACCTGATACTTTAGTCCTTAGGGACGCAGGTAATTATTATTGGCGAGCCGGTGGTGAAAAACATATCAATGACCCTGGTAGTATCGCAGCCTTACAGGTAATGTAATCCTTTGCAAACAATTGAATGGCAAAGTTTACTTTAGGAATCCGCACTGACCAAGAATAAATCGGCATATGATAAATTTAGAGAGGCAACAATGGAGTCGGTTAAGAACTGTATGCTGAGAGGTCGATTAGAATTGCGTACTTTAGACCAAGCGCTTCCTTTGTCAGAGATTGAATCTGCTTCCAATATTGTTAAACGTTTCGCAACTGGTGCTATGAGTTTTGGATCTATAAGTTTAGAAGCGCATCAAACTTTGGCAATTGCGATGAATAAGGTATCTACTTCATTCTGTTTTTTCCTTTGGCTTCAGTATAGTTTCAAGTAAGTGCATTAAGCAGAGATTTAGTAGACTGGAGTTGGGGTTGTGAATGTGTCTCTCTATAAGATATAAAAAGGTTTGCAGTACATATGGAACAGGATATGCATCATCTAGCTTCATTGGCATTTCAAGCTTTTGTCCTTTCACTGTGTTTTTTGTTGATATTTTTCCACCTCTGAAGTGGATACCAAAGACTATAGTCTCCTGTATACCTACAGCCAATTCAGATATATTAATGTAGTCGATAAAAATTATTGATAGGGATTACAGATGTCACTAGCAGAACTACTTTTTGTGTGTTTCTTTCTATGCGCCTCCAACTGAATTTTAATGAATTTTTCTATAGCATTTTCCAACTCATGTTATTTTGGCTACTTTCTCCGTCCGTCCGAGACCTTATCTACTCCTACAGGTTTCAAGATATTTAGTTCATTCTTTTTGCATGTGGTAGCTTATAGCTCTGGCACCTCGACCAAGAAAAATCTTGACGATTAATGTGACTGCGCAATGTCAACATTCTTATTTATAGAGATGTTTTTCTGAAATATTAACCACAGGTGCTTCTTGTAAAGATAAGAATATCGCATATTGTAATAATCAGATTTGCGCATGCGCAAACTGCGGAATGTCATCTTTATATAACCCTTGTGAAGATATTTTTTGAAATTTTAACCAAAGATTTTTCTAGTAAAGGCAAACATATCGCATATTTTAAACATTTGGTGTTACATGTAAGCTTCATACATTAAAATGATTAGGTTTCTTTCAAAACCACAACCAATCGCTAACAAATGCTTAAGACGATCCTGATTGGGAATTGTCAACTTAGGCCCATTCTTATTATACCCTATTCGCGAGCCTATTTGCATGCTGGTGCTATATAAAAACCGTGATTGTATTTGTCTACATGAAGAGCTGTCTATGGGGGCTAAAGTTTTTGGTAATACACACATAATTCAGCTTAAAAGCATGTTTAACCATATGTTTGTGTGAACTTCTTATTTTTATCAACGAATCATCACTTGACTAGACCATTTTTTTGCATTGAGCTTGTTCTGCAACATTTTCATGCACGCAAGAGAGGCTTCAATTATTATTACTACAGTGCAGTGCCCTAACCAATTCTTCAAAATCTCTGCAAATAAGAAGCAAGTAAAAGTGTTTATTACATTTAACGATAGGATAGGTATCAATGTACGCAACTTCAGAATCTTCGTCTGATCGATTCATAAGATCGGTACATAAAGTGGATGGATGTATTTTAAAGTGTTTGTCGTGGAAATTCGTGTGAGGTGCACAACAGCACTTGGTAATCCACACATACTTATTGTGCTTAAATAGAACTTTGAAATCTAATAACCTAATCTTTAGGGGCGTTAGTTCTATTTTTTTTCATTTATGATTGAATTGGAGAACATATTTTGAGCTCCCAATCATAATATTTGAATGGAGTTAGTGAAGTGGAATCGACTCACGCAACGGCTCGCTTCAGACGGGGAGAAAGTTTATGTATTATATTACTACTATTATTTCAAATTTAAAATCGTATACATAATAACTGTTGCAGCTTTTACGAAACGCAAATAATTATTTAAGAAACCGCCACTACTGTAGTATACTTTTATTTAACATCGTTTTCAATTTAATAGTTCGGTGGTAAAAGTAACACTGGTGAAGGAGGAGAGGATGCCGAAAGATATTTGGACGCCGAAAAACGTTCCTCGATTAAGCAGGTGGCTTCTGGACGGTTTGGGGTGACATCCTCGTATTTGGCACATTCCGATGACTTGCAGATTAAAATGGCGCAAGGTGCCAAGCCAGGGGAGGGTGGCGAATTGCCTGGGTACCACCACTTTTATTGTAACTCACCATAGATATTAACCGTCTTCTTCCAGATATAAAGTTTCTCCTGACATAGCTAAGACTAGACATTCGGTTCCTGGAGTGGGATTAATTTCACCGCCGCCTCACCACGATATCTATTCCATTGAAGATCTTGCCGAACTAATATACGATTTGAAATGTGCCAATCCCAATGCTCGCATTTCCGTTAAACTTGTGTCAGAAGTATGTATGACCATAATGTAAAGAATGGAATGGTGAGACAATCTCTATTTATTTTTTGGAAACCACAAATTTGAAAGGTTTTCTTACCCACTAAGTAGAATCCATAAGCTCTTGGAAATGTAATGCAGATGATATAATCTCCTATATGACCTGGACCATACAGTACGTGACTGCTAATTGCAACTAAAATATGTTCAAGGACATCGCCTTGGTATGTCAGTTTCAGGGTAAAACGGAAGCAACTCTCATCTGCACATATCCACAACTACAACGCCCCCTATCCGTGACCACCCACTTTATATGGGAAGCATTGGGTTAACCGTTAAGGATAGCCAGAGCCCTATGCTCGCATGAAGTATTCTCGCTGCAATTATGTGACATCACCAACGGACCTATCTTTTAGAATTGAACTGTCATAATCTGCTCAGTTGTAAATGTTTGTGCATGAGTGTTATAACTGTTTTGAGTGGTTGCCATTGTACATATATTGCAACAAAAATCCTGGGACGCTGATATGCAATATTTGGTTGTAATAATAGCCGTATTTCCACCAAAAAAACGAACTCTGAAATCATTTATCATACAGAATTGAAAACAGGGTTCGCTCATGCGTATGAGATACGAAATGCAGACAAGGAGAAGAGAGTAGATAGACGGTGCGGCTTTTTCTTCAATTTTAGGTTGTTGTCGCTGGTATGTTAGTTAGTTACCTATATGTGTAAATTTTTAAGAGAAATTTGCAGATATTGGTTTGATTTTTTCAGAATCATCATAAAATTTGACATACGAACTCAATTCTCGCGATCTTTAATCTTGAGAGCTCAATAACGTCTTGAAAATGAGTAATCGCAATTTGTACTCTTCCTTGAGTATGTTTACATGGACGCCGAACACCGGTTTTATAACTACGGATGTGTCTAAAACCGACGTTAAATCGCGTGTAACAACGTGGTACAACCAATGTTATAAATCCGGTTTCATAACGCTACATCTCTTTATAATCGGGCGTGACGTTATAACATCGGTTTTACGAACGCGTGTAAAGCGGATGTAAGTACAACCAAGCCAATTAAATGTCCCTAGAAGTTAACAGGTGGCAGCTGCTGAGCCGCCATAACCTAAAAGATGGAAATTCCTTCATTTCCACAAAGTGATAAAACAAGTAAGAAAACCCGCTAATTACCTCTTTCATAAAGTATTTTTTTAATTAAATTCGTTAACTTCTCTTCTAATAAATAAATACTAGACGTGAAGTTGGCTGTTCTTATTTATGTTGGTAGCTATGGATGTTACTGTTCGGACTTCAGTTGAATGTTATAACACCCAACTACAGAACGTACGTTATAACTCCTGTTCTGTGTAAACACTTTTCATAAAACCGGATTAGTAAAGTCCGTAGTTATAAAACCGGTGTTAGGCGTCCGTGTAAACGTACTCACATGAGTGCCCCAAAAACTTTGACATTTTCGGACTTTCTTTGCTATTCCGCTAATAACTCCTAAAAATGCATCCTAGCGAAAACCTTACCCAGAGGTAAGTTAAAGAGCATTCAATTCTGCGTCCTTACCCCTCCCTCCTTCCAGTTTTAAAACCGGACCAATTTATGTTTGTAATCGGCGGCGCAGGACAACCATTTTTCTCAAAATTTTAACCCTACTTATGGCAAATTCCGAAACCAGCTTTGGATGTTCAAACTTTCTGAGTCCTCATCATTTTCTGGGTCACCCTCCATCTCCACCATGAATTTATTGCTGGGGTCCTAATATTCTTCATCCAATGGATGAGGGGTGGTCTTCCTCAACAAGAGCGTTGGTGCACGTCTGGTCTTTCCATTTCAGGCAGATTGTCGAACATTTAACTTCTGCCTTGCGACAGATCCAGATCCACCCAAGCGTAGAGAGTAGCTCAAGAAGGTTCTTTTTACGCATCTGCCAAGAAATTGTCAACTTTGGGATAGGAATCATTCGTATAAATGCGTGATTTGATGTATTCCTGGATGATCGCTGCAGCTGTTTAACACTGAAAAAACACTTTTGTTTTGCCATTTTTCTTCCAAGTTGTTTTCTCAAGATCGTCTCTCCTTTGCTTCAAAAGCAGAACACTCAGCTCTTCCCTTTAACAGTCGCAAAAATAATTCTTCACTTGCAACGTTTGAAGGCACTTCGCAGGACCCTATTCGTTTGTTTTTTTTTAATGACAAGACTGTTTTGATAGACCAGTACTTTGGATGCTACAGGCGACAAGGTTATCAAATGGTGGTATTTTAGTCAAAATAGGAATTATTATTATTACCTTATAAATTGATCCAGTTTTAAGGTGTGTGGGGGTTAGGGGGGATTTTATGCTCTTTAATTTGCCTCTGCGTGTTCGTAAGGATGCGTTGTTTAGGACTTATAAACAAAGCTGAAGAAAGTTAGAAAATTTCGAAATTTTTGGGTTACCAAAAGTTATGCTCAACCACTGGAGGGGTACAAGCTCTGATTATTCGTTTTCAAAACTATCTTAAGATTTTAGAACGTTTTATAGACCCCAGGTCACTTTGTCCCTATTTTACTGGACTATTATGGTTTCCTTAGGTAAAAATGAGTGGTTTTAGTGATCAAAACTAACAAAATTAATTACCCTGCGTTAGCTGCGTCCTCCTTACAGAATGTCACGTTGAGAACTAAGAAATCTCAACGTTCCAATCAGTTTCCCTTTTTCTCCCCGAGATTATCTCACTAATCCATTATTTAGACTACATGGGATAACATCGCAGTTGCACCCTGTAACTGAACTAATTCCTTAGGTCGGCGTGGGAGTGGTGGCGTCTGGAGTTGCAAAAGGCAAAGCGGAACATATCGTCGTTTCCGGTCACGATGGCGGTACTGGGGCGAGTTCCTGGACCGGAATTAAAAACGCGGGCTTACCTTGGGAATTGGGAATAGCCGAAACTCATCAAGTACTAGTCTTAAATAACCTCCGATCTCGAATAGTGCTCCAAGCTGATGGGCAAATTCGTACGGGTTTCGACGTCATAGTCGCCGCGCTTTTAGGTGCGGACGAAATCGGGTTTAGCACAGCTCCGTTAATTGTAATGGGTTGCACAATGATGCGTAAGTGCCATCTGAACACGTGCCCCGTGGGCATTGCGACCCAAGATCCCATTCTTCGGAAAAAATTCACCGGGCAGCCGGAACATGTGATTAATTACTTCTTTATGTTAGCCGAAGAAGTGCGAGAGCATATGGCGTCGCTTGGGGTAGCTACCCATGCAGTTTTGACGATAGTATATGCACGTAAAGTTTCCAGGTTCGTAGCTACCAAGAACTTATCGGTAGAACTGATCTTCTGAGAGCTTCCGAGTGTGGGAACATGAAAGCGAAGATGCTCAATTTAAATTTAATTTTACAAAACGCTTTGCATTTACGACCCGGTGTAAACATTAAGGGTGGAACCGAACGGCAAGATTTTCAGTTAGAACAAAGACTTGACAACAAATTGATCGAGTTATCGAAAGACGTGATCGATGGAAGAAGTAAATATGTTAAAATTGAGATGGACATTACAAATGAATGCCGCGCCTTTGCGTCCACACTTAGTTATTATGTTTCAATGTATGTAACATAGGTAATTTTCCTTACTAATTATAGTTTTTAAGGAAATATAATGAGGAGGGATTACCGAATGATTCCAAGATTGATATTTATTTAAAGGGATCTGCTGGTCAGAGTTTCTGTGCGTTTATGGCTAACGGAATTACGTGTACCTTAGAAGGTGATGCTAATGATTATGTAGGTAAGTACTGTAGACTTGAGAATTGTTGATTTTCACATTCCATTGGCTCATCAGTATAGATATGTCACAAATAAAATTTGTGTTAAAAGTGTCATCCTCAATTTTTTAGAAAAAGAGATTGGTGTACGTTTTATTCCAGCATGTAGGGGCTCGGCGACTGGCGTAGCCCATAAATGCTTTTTCTCAATTGACACCCTGTCAGTTCCACCATCGTAACCTTCTGGTTGATTCATGAACAGTACAATAGCCGACACTTCCATAAAGGAAAGCACTTGACGTCAAATTGAATCATTTTGAGTCCTTCACGTGCACACCCACTTATCAGAGAACGCACCGAGTCCCATCTCACGGTGGGGATGAAGGTTTCAGTGAAATCAATCCCTGCACATTGCAGATAGCCCTTGGCTACAAGACGCGCCTTGTAACGCTTCACTGAACCATCAGTATTGTGCTTAACCTTCTACACTCACCGACCTTCCTACCAGCATACCTAGGAACTTGGTCCCAAGTGTGATTTTCATTGAGCACATTTACCTTCTCAAACATTGCCTTTTTGACCGGGGAACTTTCAATGGCTTCGGTGTACCTGTACCTGGTGATCCAATAAGACTGTTCCTCGGCCATATCTCGGGAACCGTTCGTCATATGACTTAGGGGTAAAAAACATTATTGGGTAAATCGGTTATGAAGAATCGCTGGAAAATATTTTCAAGTTCTAAAAATGACCACCAGAGGGCGTAACTGCCCCAATATTTGGAAAAAGAGATTAATTAATTAATTAATTAATTAAAATGCTTAAATTGTATTTTATTTCTTATTTATCTCAATTCTCAAAATCTCAAAATTTTACACAATTTGTTAAACTCTTCTGAATTAAATAAAAGACCAGCAGGTTGGGTGAAATTCAACACTTTATTTTCTGTTTATCACAATCGATTTCGGCCAATTTAGGCCATCATCAGGCGTAGCTAAAAATATTTGTGAATGTACATATAATGTAACATTTAACTGATTTTATAATTACCGTCATATGATAAGAAGATGGATAACATTTTTTATTAAAAACATTTATTATGAATATAACGAAAAATGCGTCTGAAAATTGAATAAATTATTAGTAAGTGTACCAGCAGAGATTTAATTAAGTCTTACAATTATATTGAAATTATATGAAATTGGATTCTGAATTACTTCAAGAAATTAAGTAAGGTACCATTTGTTAAGCTAAGGAAAAATAATACTATTTTTGCAGTTAGCAACACAACTTCCCCACTTATTAAGATCTTGATCATTTTAAATAAGTTATCCTCAGTGAATGACATCGACTTTTTTCAGGACCCCTTAAATGCAATAATAATTCAAATTAGATCCTAAGTCCTAATGTTTGTTCAGAGCCCCAGTGCCATGTAATTGGAATTTTTATTCTGTATGGTGTCTGGTTAAACAAATAAATAAATAAATTTGACGTATTTCCGGTATTTGTCGATGGCCCGAAAGATTCTTTGGAAAAGGACCCTACACTTTTAGGTAGGCCTTGGAAAATTAAACAAATGAAACATGATGCATTATAAATTAATAACAGCCGAATTTGTAAATTATTCTGGTGTGTTTACGCATTCAGAAAGTGCAGTTTTAATATGCAGGCGGCGATGGTTCGTGCTCGATTAGAAGATGTGGGCAGCGATGGTCGCAAATTCAAAAAACCGCACTTTCTGAATGCGGAAACACAGCAGAAGAATTTACAAATTCGGTTGTTATCATTTTATAATGCATCGTGTTTCATTTGTTTAATTTTCCAAGGACTACCTAAAAGTGTAGGGTGCTTTTCTTTCGCGCCATCGACAAATACCGGAAATACGTAAAAGGTAAATTGAAGATACAATTTAAGCATTTTTATTAATTAAATTAATCTCAAATTCTCAACATTTGAGGTTAGGAACGAGATTTTGAAAAACGGTTTTCACTGGTCTCTTTGGTTGTTATTTGGCTACTTTTTCATAAATAAAAAGTCATATCATTCCATTTGATTTTTTTAGGATTTTGGGTCATAGTGTCAAGACTAGCCTCCTGGCGGAGAAGGATTCAACTAAATTAACTATATTTTGGTTGATTCTCATTGCCCAAGGAATGCTCTTTTCAACCATACCAAATTTGTTAAAATCGGTCAAACAGTTAAGAAGTTAAAGCAGTAGCAAAAACAATTGAACGCCCCACACCATCTTTGTTTTTGAAATAACTGAGTTTTTCTTTTTACGAAAATGATAGATAAACTGGTTCTCTTTAAAAATGTGAAAAAATTTTTTTTAGTTTATGCGAAATTTAAAGAAAATGCAATTTTAAAATTTAAGATGGCAGTTACGCCCTCTGTTGGTCATTTTTAGAACTTGAAAGTATTTTCCAGCAATTATTCATAACCGATTTACCCAATAATTTTTTTTACGCCCAAGTCATATGAAGAACGGTTCTCGAGATATGGCCGAGAAACAGTCTTATTGGGTCACCCAGTATATAGATTGTTCAGCTTCATAAGCTATCATAGTGTAGCATTCTGAGGTTCCAGGGCATCTCCAATTTGAATCTGTCTACGGCCTGTTGTTGTTGGTACTACTGCTTCTGGTGTAGGATTTTGATTTCCTTAGTTAGTGACGTCACATTCATACTCGCTTTTACTGCTACAGTATTCAAAGATGGTAGTCAGTCGACTGCTTTTCCGTCTTGAAGATCACATCCTTTGACACAATTACTGTAGATTCTCCCTGTAACCATACGCGATAGCCGTCCTTGTCCTCTGAGTACCCCAGTCAGATAACCTCGACAATCTCTCTTGTCAAACTTCCTTCTCTTCTCCTTTGGTATGTGCACAAAGCAATACTTTAAGATGTTCAGTGAATCACTCACGCATAAGCCGGAACAAAGTTCACAAAACCATCCCCATTAACCACCCACGCACCTGTCGTCACAGCCTCAGTCCAAAATTTCTGTGTGACTCCAGAAGCTTGCAGCATAGTCCTGGCAGCGTCTAACAACATCCGATTTACTCGCTCGGCAACGCCATTTTGTTGGAGCATATATGGCATAGATGTTCGGTGGCGCAAACCATGTTCTTCTATAATCTTTTGAAGGACTTTGTTCACAATTTCAGTACTATTATCAGTCAAATGGTCTTTTCAGATGTGTTCAAGAGTTTTCATTTTTCTGATTTCCTTTAATATGAAAATTGAACGATACTAAGTGACCTCGTCCTTGAAAACAACAAAGGCGCGACTGTTTTTTGGGGACTTTTGCGGCATAGGCCCACACACATCAGTGTTGATCCTGTCATCTGGGGTAGTTATGAGCTCCTTCGTTTTTCACTCAAGATAACCCTTTTTAGCATTACCATTGACAATCATTTCAATGTTGACAATGCCCTTGCCAAGCGTCTTCATTGATTGGCCATTTCTGACTTGAACATACTTTTTGGGAAAAACACCTTAGAAGTAGAAAACCCATGGCAGTTTATGGCCATGTGTTGTGTTGCACCGGAATCTGCAATCCAAACATTGGGAGACCCTTCCTAACTCTTTTCAGATTAGGACTTATTGAAATTCTTACAGTCCCTCTTATAATGACCTAATTCACCACATTTGCAACATTTTGGGACAAACTTCTTCGACTTGTCGCCACTCCCACCGCCCTTACCTTGACCATCCCCCTGCTTGGGTTTGTTGGGCGGCGTATTTTTACTGGCAAAATAGGCAGCCCCCTCAGTAGAACTATTTGAGAAGCTTCTATCATTCAGCCGCTACTCAACAAAACATAATATGTCCTTAAGATTACCCAACGTTCGATTTTCCTTCTACCTTCAAGCATTAATAAATTAATGGTATTCGGCAGGCGTCGTGTTCAAAACCTGGCGCAGGAGTACTGAATTTGGCTCCTCATTCCAAATCTCCTCTTGAATTTCTGTCCACTGCTTCTCGAGTTTAGCAATGTGTTTTACAATCGAATCCTCAGGTTCCTTTTCTCTTATACTAAAAAACTGATTAAGAAGGCGATCTTACCTTTGCTCTGATCTCTGTTCATCAACTGAATGCAATTTGTTCCACATTTCTTTGCTAGTCACCACTTTATGGTTCAGTGGTAGAGCATTGGGCTATAAATCCGGAGGTCGGATCTTCAAACCAGGGTTGAGGTGAATTTCTCATCTGTGGCAGAGATAGGAATTACCTTAGACCAGATTCGAGCATTCTGCCGGCTACTCCGAATTAGGTTTTCCTGCAGTTTTCCTAATTCGTGAGGTAAATACCGGAGTGGTATAGAACAACTTAAGACCTTCTGGTGAGGCACCTCTAAAAAGCATTATGCGGGTCACTCTGTAATTGGGCGCAAGCCTGTTGAGGGCCCAGAACAAGAGAGCGATAATAAATAAATAAATAAATATTTATCAATTATCTAACCGGAGTTGACAAACTCGAGACAATAATTATATTCTGAGGTATAAATTCAGGTTTTTTGAAGCCTTTCTTCTCCTTATCATATGATCCGCTAACCTTGGGCGTGGCATCTGCATTCCGTTCAGTAAATTTTGTTGTCTTACTTTCCACTATGTCCATACAGGTGAATTTTGACTTGGATTTCTAATCAACCCATTTGGAATGTCCCTCTTATCTATCAAAACTTGTGAAACTTCCATGACAAATAGCCCAGATGATAGTAACTAAGTTCTCCTACTAAAACTACGCACACAACATACTGAAGTTGGCAGAAACAAATTAGAGTATTGTGTCTGTTTTCTTAATTTTTAGGTAAGGGTCTTTCCGGCGGCATCATAATAATCTGCCCCCCGAAAACCTCAAAGTTCGAATCACATTTAAACGTCATCGCCGGAAACGTTTGCCTGTATGGTGCTACAAGTGGACGTGCTTACATGCGGGGTATAGCTTCGGAACGTTTCGCTGTTCGTAATTCCGGAGCAGTCGCCGTTGTAGAGGGCGTCGGTGATCATGGTTGTGAATATATGACGGGCGGCGTTGTACTTATTTTAGGTAAACCTTTCATTGCGAACGAATGTCCACTTGTAATGTAATACTTAGGTTTAACCGGGCGTAATTTTGCGGCGGGCATGTCTGGTGGTATAGCGTACGTGTGGGATATTGACGGATCGTTTTCAAGTAAATGCAATCGCGAGATGGTGGAGCTTTGCAAGTTGGAAGATAAAGAGGATTTGGACATTGTAAGGACGTTGCTGCAAGAGTTCCATGAGTACACTGGCAGTGTTCTTGCCGAACAGTTGCTGAAAGAATTTAAAACTAGAATGAAGGAATTTGTGAAAGTTTTCCCCTATGAATACCAAAAGGTATTGAAGCAGAAACTGACGGAAGTTGTCGCAAAACCAGTACTGCATAATTCGATCGAGCCGAATATTAAAGACATCGAAGATTCTGTAGCTGATCTGGCGATTGAGCAGAAGAAGTCGGAGCGGGCGTTGGACAAACTAAGAGGTTTTATGAAATATCCACGGGAGACTTCCGTGTATAGGCAGGCAGAGAAACGCTTGAAGGACTGGGACGAAATATACAACTTTCCGCACGTACGCAAAGGTCTACGTGTGCAGGCTGCAAGATGTATGGAATGTGGTGTTCCCTTCTGTCAGTCTAACGTCCACGGTTGTCCTTTGGGGAATATTATTCCGAAGTGGAATCTCTTAATATTTCAAAATCAGTGGAGACATGCACTTAATCAATTGCTCCAAACTAATAATTTTCCTGAGTTTACTGGTAGGGTGTGTCCTGCCCCGTGTGAAGCTGCATGTGTTCTAGGTAATTCACCACTAAATGTATTCTGTCTAATGAGTCTCTACAGGTATTTCTGAGCCGAGTGTTACCATAAAGAACATCGAGTGTGCTATAATAGACCATGCATTTGAGCAAGGTTGGATTGTGCCGCAAATTCCTTCAATTCGTAGCGGAAAACGTGCAGCTGTCGTTGGTTCTGGACCGGCCGGACTCGCATGCGCTCAACAGCTTAACAAAGCCGGGCATTTAGTTACAGTATTTGAAAGAAATGATCGAATGGGTGGCTTGTTACAGTATGGCATTCCCACTATGAAATTAAGTAAAACTGTGGTGCAGAGGCGTGTGGATTTAATGGCAGCCGAAGGTGTCACTTTTAAACCAAATATTAATGTTGGGAAAGATATTTCTGCTAAGGATTTAAGTGAGGAGTTTGACGTTGTTGTCATGTGTACTGGAGCTACTTGGCCTCGTGATTTACCATTACCAGGTATGTAAAACGTGGTGGACGTTATGGCAACTCTGTCTTATAGTCTTTATTGATCTGCTTTTGTATAAAGTGAAAGAGTATTAAAAAACCTGCATTTTCTTAATAAGTAAATGTGGATATCGTTTTTCATTACTGAGGTATAAGCAGTGCTCGGTTTGAGCTGGACGCGGTGGAACGGCATTCCGGAACCTCTCCCTTTTAAAAATAAAAATAAATCGGCAATAAGAGAGTTAATGAAATCAGAACTAGAATTTTTTGTTAGTGAGTAAATTACGAATTTGATTACGGATATCAGTTATTAAACCGAAAATATATTATTCTCACAGATTACCACGGAAATTAATAAAACATTTAAATGTAGCTCAAAGCTATCTCGAAGTGTTTACCGTTTTTAAGCTGCGTCAGAAGCCTCTAACCTTCCCCCTCCACATGCTGCCTCCGGCCCGTTTGGCCGTTTCGTATTACGCATTCGCATAGTTGCTCAATAGTGCGTAACGTACACATGCTGGACTGGGCAACTCGAGATTTAAATTCAAAGTTCCCGTAAATAAACCGTAACATATTCATGCTTAAAAAAAAGGGAAATGTGCTGCAATAAATTTAATTATAAATTACAATGTAGTTCTGCATACGTGTATTGAATATCATCCCTAAGGGAACATACTGTATCTAAATACAAATAAAAACACGTAAATCGGTCAGTAATTCATATTGCGGGTTGGCAGGTAAAATCACTAGGAACAAAGTACTATAAATTGGAAAACAACATATTTACGTAGAATCTTCATGCATTCAATTCATAGTCTGACCAGTATAATTATAAAAGGGCAATTTGTGTTTAGAATGGGTTATACATGGCAATACTCATGCTGTACGAGAATACCGTTAAATTGGCAAATAATCTAACCTGATGGATGCAATACACGTAGAGATAAAAATGAATATGTAACCTTTGTAATTGTCAAAGCTGCACTCACTATTCGAAACGTAAAAATGACTTCTGTCCACAGGGCACAGGCAAACCTTTTCTTGGTGGAGGTGGAATGAGGCGGGTTTGGGGGGGGGGGGGTAGTGTCTAGGCAGTTCAGGCACTCAATTTCTAGAAATTGAGCACTGGGTATAAGTGACTGCCCCCCGCCGAAATCATGTATGCTCAATTTTTACACACTGAAAGTAATTGAAGTCATTAGAAAATGTATTGAGTACTCTTGATACAGGGTCACGCATAATATGTACATACCACTGACTTCTACCTCATATGCTTCCAAACATTATTACACACATTTACCACAAAAACAGCATCACATTAACACATCCTTACTTTAATATCGTTATTTTGCAGATAGAAACCATGCCATCAATAAACGACAATTTGTTATTATCGATTCATTTTTTGTCTAGGACGTCAACTTGCCGGCATCCATTTCGCGATGGAGTTTTTGGAAAGTTGGCAAAAACGGCAACTGGGAACCACTATGCCCGGACCATTAGCCAAAGATAAACACGTAATTGTTATCGGCGGCGGTGATACCGGATGTGATTGTATCGCTACGTCGCTCCGTCAAGGCGCCGCCTCAATAACCACGTTTGAAATTTTGCCCGAGCCGGGCAACAATCGTAGCGCCGATAACCCCTGGCCGCAATGGCCGCGTATTTTTAGAGTCGATTATGGACACGATGAGGTAAATGCGCAGTAGAGTTAATCACGATTGTTATTTTGTGTTCTAGGTTAAGGTTAAATTTGGATCCGATCCGAGAGTGTTCAGCATTATGACGCAAGAATTTCTCGACGACGGGAAAGGGCAAGTTGCGGGAGTGCGGACTGTAGCAGTTGATTGGGTGAAGGATGATGCCGGACGGTGGCAGATGAATCAACGGCCTGGTTCTGAAAAAGTATTTAAGGCGGATTTGGTACTTCTCGCCATGGGCTTCCTGGGACCAGAGCGTGCTATCGCCGATCAGCTTGGCCTTACACTAGACGCTCGTTCTAATTTTAATACCAAAGATTACAAAACTAATTTACCAAACGTTTACGCGGCAGGAGGTACTTTAGTGTTTTGTATTGAAATCGTCTACCAACATTTTTATTTTAGATTGCCGCCGTGGACAGTCTTTAGTTGTTTGGGCGATCGCGGAAGGTCGTCAAGCCGCTAGAAAAGCGGACGAATTTTTAAACAAGGGTGAAACTGCACTACCTGGCCCCGGTGGCATTGTTCAACCGAATTTAATTCCAGTAGCTTGCCCAGTTTAAAATGTTTTAATTTTATTTTGTATTAGTGTTTGAAATGTTATTAAAGGAAGTATTTAATTACTGTTGTTGTTTCAGTGTCACACTGCTGTTACATATTTAAAATTGTGCTATTGTTGTTACGTTCCAAAATTGTTAAAAGGAAGGTTATCTTAATAACGGGTAGTTATTTTTTAGTATTATTATGTTCTATTATATCATTTTAATCTTTTGAAAGGTAAGTCCTGCTATAACCAGTTTAAATTGCGTTATCATCAACGATTAGCATAATACATTTGTCCTAAATTCTGGCTGGTCCAGTCTATTACGAATTTTGCGTAATTGTAGAAGGAGATTATTTTTATGATGAAGTTATCGAGTGATTATTAAAAAGATTATAGATAATTAGTATTAGTTGGATGACAATAAATTATCATTGTGATTATCCTCTATATTTTTAAGACTGCATATTTTAGGAAACATATTGAAAACCATCCTTGTGAAGTTTTTACATGAACTTATATTATTAGTTATTTATATAACTGTTATTGCAAGTGAAAATGTAGTTTGTTTTCAAATAAATGTTGCAATTATAACATCTGTTAAATTCTTCATGCCTATAATACAAATTACGTTGGACGGCGTTTTGGTTTAACAAATTTTTATTTACGTGATTTTTTTACACTAAATGGGTTGCTGAAGGATCATAATCATTCATCATCCTGCTGGACGAGCATCCTTCTGTTTTTGTGATTAAGTAATCTGAATAAACACTTTCATTTATTTATCAATTTCGTCTGGTAAATAAATACTTTGTATTGATATACAGGAATGAAATATGGGTCATTTTGTGAACTTACGCCGTTTTGTTAGCAAACCTTGTTTGTTAATTGTTTATCATTTGTCAATGTTTAGTGCACTGTCACTTTCAAAAAATAAAAAGTGCACTTTTGCGCCCCTTTAACGTCTGTCTGAGTCACAAAGGCTCCGGAAGTACACCACTTACAGACTTAGTATTGGTGTCCTTTGATCAGAAATTAAAAATTATTTCGTGTTTGTATTCTCGTTAAGGTATGAAATGTCTATAAGGGCTATTAAAATCGAAAAAAACTTGAAAGTGTACTTTCGGCATCTTACTCACAAGCGGCTTAACGAACTTTTTTTTTGTGAGTGTTGTGACAATACAGGGTTGTGTTAAGTGTCATTGGAATATTGTAAAAAGCGAAAAGAAACTTGATTCGGCTCAAAAAAGAACCAATATATTGATACTCTCTTTTTTAATGAATATCATCGTACAGGTTGGTAAAAATACTCCGCATTTTAAAACTGCTAGCATAGAATAAGTAATTTACTTATTCAATGCTACTAGAGAGTAGAGTGTGTATATTTCCCACATATACCGCTCAAAATGAGGTATTTTAAGTTTGTGTTTTCAGTGTTGAGTTGTAATTTATATTGGGCGCAATACGATATTTTCCACTTTCATTTTGTTTGCTTTTATTAGTAGAACTTGCCATAAAAAACTATCAAATTGCTCCGCAAATTAGAAAATTGTCCCTTACGTACCCACATAGCACAATGTATTCTAAAAATATTCTGAGAATCTATGTCTGCTCACAGAACATTCTAGGAATATTCTGCTAAAATATAAGATGATTATTCTAGGAATATCTATAAATATACTCTCAGAATTTATAAATCTTTGTTTCCCGAATATTCGTAATTAATATTATCTTTAAAAATTATGGTTTGAACATTTAATATCAAAAAACGTTGCACATATGACATAATAGAAACATCAAGGATCATCAGTGTGGTCTTAAATATCTATTATTTCACATTAAAATTTGTATAACTCCACCTACAACAAATTATGAGTTTAAAATACGTCACAAAATACACACGCTTACTTAACAACATCAACTTCCGCAAAAAGCGACGAATGTCAAGTTCCAAAATGTTTTTATTTCATTTTCAAGGCAATGAGAATGAGGACGACGTGAGAAAACAACTGTCGGAAAAAAGTAACATAACAACGCGGAGGACTATAGGATAGAGAAGCGAGACGCTTTCTCTGCGTTCTACGATTTGGCGCCCTACGTGATCACGCTAACGCAATTTACTATGATTATACTTGGAATATTCTCAATGAACTACTGATGATATTTGTACATTTAAAATATCTGTTGTAGTATCTTGGGGTGTAACCAGTGACAAAATTAAGAAAGTAGGAGTGCTACCCATAATGTTTTCATCCACTCTTGTCAATACACCACGAACCTCCGCTAAAATTATTCCTGGAATATTCTTTAGGAAATAATCATGGAATATTCAATATAATTATTCCTTGAATATTCACTCTATTCTAATAATTAGAATATTCCTGGGAGATTCTAGATATATATTCATTTAGGGGCCGTTGTAAGAATATCGGTGCTAGCTGGGTACGTGTCTGTAATTTCGTTTTGTTTCATGTTTTACACAAATTCTTTCATTATTATGTTCAAATGTGTTTGTTAGTAATAACACAAACTAAAAATTGGGGCGCAGACAACTTATCAGTGTTGGTTGGATGTGTTAGTAAGATAGGTAGGTAGTACTGCAGAAATTGTAACAATTTTGATAAAAGTTTTAATTTGGATAACAAGTTTTGATTTTTGCAAGACATCAGCTTCGGCCACTTCGCTGTCTCCCCTCGCTCTGATTAGTAACGGTCCATAGCTCAGCATTTTTGAAAGAAATAATCTAAAATGATTAATATGTCCTTTGATGTATGAGATCTGAACCATATGAACGGTTGAGTATTTGGTCAAATTGACCCGATAGAATTCTGAGGGCATTTGACAGTGGCGAGCATCTGGTTGGGGTTTTCTTCGATATAAAGGGTGCCTATGCCATGACTTGGAGACATGGAATATTCCAAAATATGTTTAAATATAATCTGCGAGGAAATCTACCAAAATTTGTAAAATCCTTTTTAGAAAACAGGATTTTATATCGAGTTTAAAAGAGCAATGCAAAAATACCCTAGCTTTCATCCAGAGAATTGGAATAGCAATTAACAGACTGTATACTTTTAAATTTTGTTATTTGTGAGTAAATGTAACCCGGCATTTCTTTTTCTACATGTGCGTACCTAATTGTGATATGAAAAAAGAAATTATAGTACACCAGGCTTTAGAAGCCGAAACCTCAGATGAGGTTTTAGTGGGTATGCCCAGGTAATGGGAGAGCCCCAAACTACTCCAGACCTCTACCTGGGATATGTGCGTCATTCATTTCTACACCTGTCAAAAAAATAATAATTTATCCCCTGTGGGTTCGGGGATAGAATTGGCCCACCCCCGTCCTGGGGATCGTAAAAGGCGATCAATGGGCACTAAAGGCGACGAGTCCAACCGCCTCTAGTACATACCTACCCATTTTTGTTTTTCAACTCCCACACCCATCTTCCCTACTTTCCTATCCCTGTTTCCAGGTTCCTTTTATCCACACATCTCACAGCACAGAAATACTTTAGTCTTTTTTAAAAAAATGGGACTTCCAAATACAATCTGAACTGCAACTGTACCTATACTTTGATTACTTGTGATATTTTACAAAAAAAAGGCCAATATCCCAGCAGCTGACGCCTATAAGGAGGAGTTTTAGTGGGTAAACTGGGTATCTGGGAGAGCCCCACACTTAGTGCGTAAATAATAATAATAATAATATTTTTTTATTCCATGGACCGTGGTAGGTATAGGACATGTCAAATACACATATAATTACTAACAGACAAATAATATCACAGTTAAGCATGTTCAAGGAACTCTTTGATATTGTAAAAACAGTGATTATTTAAGTATAGAAGTAATCTCTTATTAAAGTTATTTAGTTTATTGCAGCATTTAATTTGTTCGGGTAATTTGTTAAACATTTTTACTCCCAGTACAAAGGGTGAGCTCAAGCCAATGTTATATTTGGTGTGCGGAATTCTGTAAAAGTCGTTGTCGCGGAGATTATGATTATGAATGTCTTTGTTTTTATTTAATGTATGTGAGTATCTGAAAATTAGTTTGCATGTTTCTAAAATGTATAAGTTGGTTAGAGATAAAATGTTGAATTGTTTGAAAAGATTCCTGCATGTATGAATTTTTGAAACATTCGCAATCGTCCTAATAATGCGTTTTTGTGCAACAAGAACTTCGTGAGAGTAAGTAGATGTGCCCCACAAACATATCCCGTATCGAAGGATAGTGCCCACCAGAGCATGGTAAATGTTTATTAATTGCGCGAGCGTTATAACATTTTTTAAATTTCTAAACAGATAATTTAAGGAGCTCAGCCTAGCAGCCAGCTTTTCACAGTGCTTTTTCCAATTTATATTGTGGTCAATATGTAGTCCCAAAAATTTGGTTTCGTGTACATGCTGCACCTCTCCACCCTGTATTTTTAAAGTCAAAATATTTGTTGGTTTTTGGAAGTTATGAAATCTAACAAAATTAGTCTTCCCTCCATTCAATACCAGAGAATTGTTGCTGAACCAGTTGTGTAGTTTGTCAAGGTTCTCGTTGCATAATTTTTCGAGTTGTGTCTCATTCTTATCTGAAAGCAATAGGGAGGTATAGGGAGATCCAACTAAGCGCCACCCCTCTGATGCCGTAGTGTTGCAGTTTATTTAAAAGTGTGTCGATATTTACACAGTCAAATGCCCTCGTGAGATCACAGAAGATACCCACTGGGCATTCGCTTCTGTTAATGTAATCTAGCACTTTGTTGAAAAACAGGTACAAGAGGCATCAAGTGTAGAGCTTTTTGGTTGAAACCCAAACTGGTGCGGTGAGAGCAGTTTGTACTTGTTAATAAAACTTATTGGAGTCGATCAGGAAAACAGTATTCAAATATCTTCGAAAAAACGGAGCTTAGTGCAATGGGACGATAGTTCTCTATGTTGCTAGCATCTCCCTTTTTAAAGACAGGAACAACATTATTAATTTTTAAACTGTCGGGAAATTCGCCCGTACTGAAGGAAAGGTTTATAAGACTTGTTAGAGGCATAACTATATCAGCTCACATATATTTTAAATGCATCTCCCCTCCTAAGAAAAAAAAATAATGATAATAATTATGATTTATTATTCAACAGAGGAATTCATTCAATTACAGAACAAATAGTAAATTAAGTGAATCTAACTAATATCAAAAAAATAAAGAAATAATTAAGTGTCGTTGTTTGTAGGTCGCGTATCACTATCGCTTCAAAAAAAATTAGTCCTCTACCATTTATGTTCTATACATTTTTCGTATCTATTTCGGTTTGTGCTGGTTTTGAAATAAATGTGGGCGATTGTGATTTTAGTAAGAAAACTCTATAAGACTCCACTAGCGGAAGTGTGGTAGTCTGAACCATCGGGTGCCCAGTTGTCGGACGAAAACACGTCGTGCCCGCGCATGACGTCACTCTAGTTGCATCTGTCACGTGATCCCATAAAGATTCAATGGTGAGCCTCGTTTGCGACGTATAATCTGCATTGTGGTGCATATTATATTTATCGTACGTACAGGAATATGTGTAGTTGATAGCCCTGCATTGCAAACACTCGAGTTTTTGCTTCTATTAATAGCGAATACCTTTTATTTCCGCTTTTCTTACACCGCGAGGATACCGAATAAACATTTAAACGATAATGCCTGGTTGGGCGAGTGCAAAATGTAATAATTATTCACGAAAAACGAAGGGTTAAGATGTTAAATACTTCGGAAGTGAATATACGTATGCGAAAAAATTTGTAGACTAAACAAAATTGGGGCATCCGTAATCATACGAGGAGACGCTGTAGCCGAGTCAAATATGAACGTTCTTAGAATAGAAGAATAAGCTTTGTACAAAATTACATGCAAAAATTAAAGAAATAAGCTCAAAGCAATGTGTTTAATATAATTAATCTGATTAATACGATGTAGGTGAACTAGGATATTTACAGTACGCGGAAATACTTTTATTGCTTCGATCATTTAGATATACGTGAGTATATCAAATTATTAAATATATTTTGATTGATTACAAGCCCTAGTGTGCTATATTTTCAAACTGTTTAAAAAATAGAGGTACATGATCTTCGTTTTCCATTCACGTACACGCGCTTGGCGCACCATTTGAATTGTAATGTTTTTGTGCGAGCTTGCATTTGTGTATGTAATATTATATACTCAAATAAACCTAAATTTCGCCGACAGATACACAAATAATAGTGCGTTTCCGTAACCTCTTCCCTATGCATTTATATACGCGCGCCGGAGTTTGTAACGTGACTGACGTCATACGGCGTAGGGAAAGGGGACACGATGCGCGTTGCGATACGGTTTTTATTATACCATGGTCTGAACCTACTTTTGCCGTCCTACGATGGGCGACCACCCCATTGGAGCATTTAGTTTCACAGACCATAGAAACAAGTGCTATCTATTCTTTGAGTCGTGTATTGGTAACAGTGTTAAGTGTCAACCTCATGCTTTGAAACTAACCTAAAAAATTTTGTAACTTAGTAAACATGAAAAACTTGGAAGTTTTTCAAGTAAAACGCTGTAAATCGAATTCATCTGCCGATATTACTCATGTGGCTTCGGAGGGCAACATTACGTTTACTCTAAGTAATTCGCACTTACACTTTTACAATGGCGAAGATCATCACTGCTTTGCAAACACCTACGAATGTATCACCAAATTTGAAATTCTCAAAATCGAACGGGTTTTGTGGTTTGGAACGGGAAAAGAGTTCATATGGGTCGACCTGTCTAAAAACTTGCACGTTATCCAAGTCGAATCCGAATTTACCGCTGCCGAATGGAATCCAACGCAAGACGCAATCACCATCACACATCCAAATGGAGAAATCGGTCTGTATATTGTTAATCTGCAAGAATTGTTGATTTCTCCCATTGGACTTTCACATCTGATCGATGCTAAACCCAGCGTCGTTTTGAACGTTGGCTGGGGATCTGAAGAAACGCAATTTCGTGGCACGGCCGGAAAACGGGGGAAACTTTCGGAAGAAGGTAAAATTGTAATTCTTGTTTTATCCTAAATGTCATAGTGTTACGTTGATTGCCCAATATTTCAAGCTGTGACCTCTGGTACAACAGTTCATACGGGCCGTAGCAAAGAGTTTTTTCTTTTTTGTACACTTATAGGTTTGAATGAGTAGCCTAAGCCGTTCTTTAACCGTAAGGATAGATAAAGTGATCACTTTAACTGTAAGGGTAGATAAATTGAAACAAATGATTGTGCATTATAATGACCTCTGTCATTCTTATTTCAAAGGCACGATATAAAAAGGTAGAAGCTTTACAATAATTCATATGGCTTCTGCTATAAAATAAAGTTAAATTAAAATTAAAAATTAAAAATATCCCTTTATCGTCTTGTATAATAAATAACTATTAAGCCGCTCATGAGCAGCATTAAAAGTTGTGACTTTACTCAATGGCATTCACTATGACTTAGATACTCGCTTAGATATGTTATAATTTCTATAAAAAGATAAACCGGAGTTTTCACAGAAATGATGAAACGAATGTACTTGATGCCCTAGATTCTTCTATAGATAGAGGTGGGAGAGAGGTGAAAACTAAGAGGCAAGCTTTCTCTAATGGTTACGGATCTTATTGATTCTTTCATTTAATTTCTCAGCTTCTGGTCATCATAGAAAACTGGGACCAATCTTAAAATTCAAGTTAATTAAGCGCTCTTCATTTGGGACAAACTAATCGGACGAGGTTTGCTGCAACACATCTGATTATTTACCGGTGTTGACGCTCATTCAAATGGCCAGGCTGAAATTTCCAAATTCTGAGGCTGCAAGAATAATTATAATATCTCTACGGGAACCATTACAAAATTAAACAGTTATGTTTGGAGGGCGATTTTCTTATCAGCGCTTAAAATGGCTCTACAAATTGAAACACTCCTTCTCCCTTCTTTTTGTCACTCTTGGAAAATATTTCTTGTAAGAAAGTGTCCATTTTTTATTCTTTAAAGTACCAGGTGCTCATTAAAGCTCAAATTATTCAATCGAATGCCCCACGTTGGGTGAGCAAATAAAATTGCTGTGTGCAATGGCCCAGCCAAAATGAACCATACACAAGACACTAGCTAGCTCTCTTATTAAATCTTCTCAGGACACATCCGAATCCCGGCACAATAGAAAAATTTCAATCTCGACTTCAAATTCCAAATTTTAAGGCAAATAATGGCCGCGATCAAATTTCTTAAATTGGAAACTTACACAAAAGTTAAAAGACACCTGAAACAAACACAGAAAACACACTCCTCGTCTCCTTGAGTAAATCAAGTAAACTCCTTAGTAACGAAGCGCCTAGCTTAAAACGCTTTTAGATACCGGGTGTGGACTTCACAAATATACAGTGTGGTCATAACTTCGGGTAGTAAATTCAGGGCGGAAAACGGGTGCTTCGTTACACGTCTTGTTTTCAAACAAATCAGAATCAAGAAACAGCTTTTAAATTTCTGATTTTTCTGCAGTGCTTCCTGCAAATTTTAACGACGATTTCCGACCGAGAATATCATGGAGAGGCAACGGCGATATGTACGCAGTGAACTACTGGCATAATTCTCAAAGACAATTTAAAGTATTCAAGTATCCCTGTGAGCTTCTCTATGAATCAGCGAGCATCGTCGGTCTACAGCCTATTATTGCGTGGAAACCGGAGGGAAATCTAATTGCGTGCGTAACATGCACTACGACAACGCGCGAGGTTTCCTTGTTTGAGAAAAACTGCTTAATTAAGAATAAGATAGAATTGAGTGACCAGGTAATGAGCATTTCACTTGATGTTAATAAAATATCAACAATTTTAGGTGGAGATAATCGACTTGAAATGGAGCGCTTGTGGGCAAATATTATCCATATATCAATCACTAGGAAATGAAACATTTTTAGATTTGTATACGATCAAAAATTATGTGTGGTATTTGAAGCAGCGACTCAACTTTGCGACTACAAATTCTCTGATTTCTTACCATTTTAAGGATTCATTATCTACCGTTATCATTCTACAGGTTGTGACTGTTAGGGAAACGGTTGAGTATTCATTTAAATATGTCGTTAGTAAAAGTGCAGGTGGTAGAAAGACTTGCGGTGTGATCAACGGAAACTCTCTTTTGTTAACACAATGCGAAAAGGGCATGGCACCACCTCCAATGTTTGATGAGAAAATTGTCGTAGACAATCCCATCAATTTTGTTCAGTTTCATCCAGAATTGCAGAGGGTGGCGATTGTCGATTCGAAAAATTACATTCAAATTTTTAGCTTGACATCGCCACCTTCGCCTATCGAAACGTGTCGAGCTTTAAACAAAGCCCAATATGATGTACCGCTATCATATCACCATATAATTTGGTACTCCGAGTCGCATTTGTTGTGTCTTAAGGAAACAATGGACAGTACTAGTAAAGTGTTGGTTAAGGTTAGTGACGGGGCTTTGGTGCCTTGGAACGATAGTCTTGAAGCAGCTAACGTTACATACTTGAATAGCATATACACTGACAGTCGAGTTGTGCAACAATCTGACGGATTCTTAAGCATAAGCGACCAGGACAATCAATTGGAGGTGCTCGCACAGATTCCCACAGTGCTTCAACTTTCATCATTTAAAAGCCAAAACGCCTTGTTTTTGTTTTCATTAACGCAGACTCAGGAATTTTACATCAACGAAGTGCGGGTGTTAATAGGCGTACTGTCTTTTATCATTCACGACTATTACTTATTGCTCACAACCACGGAAAACACGCTAATATGCGTGCGACTAAACGATTTACGCAAATCCGAAATAAGCAAGTCGTTGGCGCGCGCCACCTATCGTTCGATGGAGCAAGGTGGCCACCTTTTACTAGGCGTTCCTAATTCGTCTTCCGTCATACTACAAATGCCTCGCGGTAATATCGAAACCTGCACGGTTCGCGCCATATCCATAGATAGATTGGAGAGCCTGCTCGAAAAGCAGGCGTGGAACGAAGCGTTAGATTTGGTTCGATTGGAGAGGCTAAACCCTACAATCTTGGTCGACCTGAATTTCAACCGATTTATTAGTAACATCGACAAATTTGTCGAATCGATCCGTACTCCTGCAGTTATCAACGATTTTTTAATCGGATTACAGGAGGAAAACGTTTTTGATACGGTGTTTCAAGATTACGCATTCGCAGTAAGCCGGAAGGAGCATGTCAAAGAAAAAATTGTTAAGGTTTGTACTGCTCTAATCGATTACATGGAAAATGGCGATTACACTCACTATTTGCATTGTATAATAATCGCCTGCTTTATGAAAAACTTGGAGTCGTCCAACTTTGAGGCCTTGACTCATGTACGAAACTTGTTATACTCGATGAAGGAGAATCCGGCACTAATTAAGGTTGCTGAAAGTGCGTTCCAGGCCATTAATGTTTTGAAGCCGCAAAGCGATATGTATCATAATGCTCTTGCAATGTACGACTTGGATTTGGCGTTATTCGTTGCGCGTAATCTACAAATGGATCCCAAAGAGTATGAGCCATTTATCAGCCGTTTAAAAACGATGGGTGAAGTCCAGCGCCGATTTGAAATAAACGATTTTCTTAAGAATTACGCAACTGCCGTCAAGTATCTGATTCGTTGCTCGGAAAGTGACGAATACACTTTGAACTATGTAAACAAACATGAAGTTTTCAATGTGGCGTATAATTACACAAAGCATGGCAGTGGATTACATAAGGAAGTCGCAATACTTTTCGCCGAACACTTACGGAGGCAGAAGCTACACGAAGAATCTGCATTTGTTCTTGCTAGTGTGCAATGCTACGAAGAGGCGTTCAGCGATTACAAGCAAGCGTTAATTATTCCCAATGCGATTTTAATGCTACAGCATATGAAGCTGTCTCCAGAAGAACGCCATCTACAATTACTGAATTTGGCGCAAACATGCGTCGCGTCCGGTAAAATACTAGAAGCAGCTCACATTTTTGAAACACAGCTTTCCCAACACCACAAGGCCATAGATTTGTACATCGCCCACAGTTACTTCGCCGAAGCGCAACGGTGCGCTATAAAGTTTAACTGTTTCAATGAATATAGTAAGCATGTCTGAATCTTTGCTGCAGTTACGCAATCTTTCTTTTTTCAGAGCATAGTTTATTTGAGGGCTCACTGGTATACTGCGAAGAGCTGAATTTAAAGTTGACAACTCTTAAGGAAACTTTTGCTAAGTATGTGAATCGCTTGTCAGCAATTAAACTGGGTAAAGTGCAGAAAATGACAGTTGCTGGCGATCATCTACCGTCTGGTATCAATGACGACATTTTATCGATAGCAGACAGTTTATCCACTATTAGTGTCAATACGTCTAGGTAGGTATCAAATTTCTGCGTATTTGTTGCGAGTGGCGTCAAAATTAATGATTAATCTTGATTGGATCTCGCTTTCCACATTTTTTAATTTAATAGACGCGTGCTTATTGTGCATGTTTATTGTCTGGTACCTGCGCCAACATAAATAACAGTTGAAGTTCTCTCCTACGATATAATAACAAAAAGTTCCCATTCAATTCACCACAACAGTTACATTAATTACAATTGTGGTTTGTTTGTACCTCCAAACACAAAGATATACCAAACATCAACTATGTTCAGAACGTTCTAGAAAAATATCCAGCCAGCCATTAGAGCCTAGCTAGCAGAAGGCCAAATCATAATTTTTGTTATTTACAAATATGCAAGTTTATCTAGAAACTGAAAATTTATTCACCCTTTTCTTGTGTAATAGCCCATTACAACTTTACTATTATTCTAAGTGGTATCATTCTCAGTGACAATCCACCCTGTATATTTTTACATTTTTTTTTAAAGAAAATACAATTTTGGTAAAGCCTTTAATGCAACATCACTCTTAAATAATCAATAACAATATTTGCTAATTTATACAACTTTGTAGTTCCAATAATAGTGTTATCAAAAGTGCCGGTTCCAGTTGGCACACACTGTATACTTCACTAAAGCATCACTAAAAACGAAAGATTAAAGTTAATCACATATTGATCAATGAATTTCATTGGACTTACCCATAACTTGCTGCTGTTTTTAACTGTGCCCGGTTCTTATAGTTCAAGAGCGTCGACTGCCAGCCGTCGACGTCGTAAGGAAGAAAGAAAAAAGCAAGACCTTCGCGAAGGAGGCGTCTACGAGGACATTGCCTTAATGCGAGCGCTCTACGAATTAATAGTCGAAGTCTTTTCTATGGGACCGATGGTTCGACAGATTTGCCTTATGGCGGTTGATATCAACACATCTGGCGCAGTCAAATTTATAAGTGCGCTACATAATGCACTGTTCGAATTTCAGTTACATATTAAAAAGTGTCTCACCGAAATATGGCCACCACATTTAAATTCGGAGTTAGAAGGGCAAGATTCTCGTATTTACGAAAATGTGAAACAATTAGGTAAGTACCGTGCTATTGATCTATAAACCCGAAATTTGTTTTTAGATGTGAAATACAGAGAACCACCTCCGAATCTGGACACGAGTTGGAAAGTTAGTATAATGGTTTCTTCGTGATTTCGCGAGGTTACGGATTTATTATCAACTTTAGTTGTATATGTGATAGGGTGCTTTCTTTGCAAATGTGTAGGAATCATCTACCTTCTTTTACATGCAGTCATAATTAAATGAGCGATGGGTAAAGAACAGTAAAGGCTGATTCTCACTATACATAACGTTTCCATACCATATCCTTTCCATAACCATTCCGTAAATTATTATACCTAGGAAATTGACCTCTAAGTGATATGTGCGTAAGACATTCAGCCGCGCGCTAATACACATTCTCCTTTCCGTTCACATATGGAAGGCGAATGTGTATTAGCGCGCGACTGAATGTCTTACACACATATCACTTAAAGGTCAATTTCCTAGGTATAATAATTTACGGAATGGTTATGGAAAGGATATGGTATGGAAACGTTATGTTAAGTGAGAATCAACCTTAATGCGGAAACATTTAGTAATGAAATGGACTCTTAATCTCACCTACAATAAAAGGGCCTTCTAAAAAATTTCTGGAATTAGCGTCATCAACATATTAATTAACTAAGTTAAATCAGTTGAAGTGATTGCACTTTGTTTTTTTCGTTTACAATCAGTTCCCCCCACTACTGACCAAGTGAACAGAAATCACTATTATCTGATTGCGGGAAAAGTTGGTACAGTTAAATCACTTCAATTAACATAACCTCAGAAAACTCGAATCATAATCTCCCAGGCTGTTTGTTTGTTTTTTATCGGACATTTAAGAAATGTTTATGAGTAGGGACCGGACTTATATGCATGAAAACACCTCAAAAATGCAAAATATGCACTATTTTCTTTGCGCCAATGTGATTCATTTTTGTTAGTTCGTTTAAATTATTGCTTGATTTTGAGCTGCATACAATATTTACGTAATGCATAAAAGCATGAAATCCGGTCTCTATGAGTCGTGTACCTGTCGAATATCCTCTGAATCAGTTTCCTATACAAATAAAGTTCATACTCTTTGGTTCAACGTACCACATATTTAATAATACTAATAATAATGTTTATTGACGGAAAAATCTCATTGTACAAAGTTCGACATTAAATATTAACAAGAATTCTTTTAATATGAATTCTAAATGAATTGAATGAACAAGATTTAAACAATATTACTGCTAAAAAACTATAATAAATCAATCCATTTCTTTTTAGGTTACCTATGTTAAGTAATAACAAATAAACACCAAACTGTCACGTCTGTGTTTTTTCAAGTAATTTAACTGAACTGATTTTTGTGAAACTGATTGTGATTTATAAATCACAAAATCACCAGAAACGAATACGCCTATTAAAGATTATTAACATCGCAGGTATTTTATAAACCATTACTTAATATACTGTGTAAATATAGGTTACATATTCACATATATACAATGACGTCACATAAATATTTCCAGATAAAAATTGTTCTGTGATATTAATCCTAATAAATGAGAATGATTAGTATGAAAAATTTTCGTAATCTTTTTTAGCAGAACATCCAAACATCACTGGTTACTGGTAATTACATATTAATTGTCACATTTAATAGGCACAGATTTAATGTAGAAGAGGCAGGAACTTTTTGGCATATACATAAAATTTTTATCAAAATCGGGTTTAGACTGTACAGGCTGCAATTTATAGGAAAATGTCTTTCCAATCTAGACCCTAAAGCACTACCTATAAAAGAAATAGTGTAAAATATGTAACAAACCAACTTCAGGTAAGGGTGTTATATACAGGGTGAACATTTTGTCTGGAACACTAGATATATCTTCAAAACAACATTTACAAAATGCCTACGACATATATATCACCCAAAAGATATATTATTGTAATAATAATTATACATCGGTATACTATATGAACAGTTCTTATACCATTGATTTGGAGTTAAAGTTATATATTCGTTTCTTCACACCAAAGTAGCTCTATGAAGTTTGTTATCTGGGAGACCTCTGAATATAAAAAATAACATATCCAAATCTCCAGGGTATATCAAAAAACCTTGAAAAGTGACAAATTCCCTCTTATCTGTTATGGTTACTGGAAGAAATACAAATTGTCTCCCAGACAAACATTTCGAACCCTTTTGTAGGAAATGATTCTTTTGACCTCCTTCACCACTGAATTTTTTTAATTATATTATTATATATTTCTTCCAGACATCCCAATCACGCTTTGAGAATCATAACCGATCACAATAAGGGGTCAAGTACGAGGACATGGTTGGTAGAAATTAATTCCTTTCATACAGACGTGTAATTGGACGACCATGAAGAATGAACCCAGCCCATCCCCCCAACCCCTTATTTTGATAAGGGGTAAGAAAGAAGGGCGGTAGTTAGACCTTTAATTAGAATACCATGAAAGTAAGATCAATTTCTACAATCCCAGTGTCACCCCTGTGATGTTGTTGGATGCTTGTTGCTTCTTATTCACAAATTTAAACTACCTCGTTTTCATATCATATTTTAATCTCAGATCTTTGTTATTCATCTCCATGTCAATCGTTTACAATTCTCCTTTTTATGTCACTAGATCTGATGCTATGAATCTCGCTATGAATATTACAATTCTCCCCTAGGACATTTAAAAACTTTCTGATTAGATTGCACAACACATTACAGCCTTAAGAATATTGAGCTGATATCTTGAAAACTAAATTACAATAACAATTTGACAACTAATACTAAATTACTATTCTACATGATACAAAACAGTGCAAATCAAATGTCACCAAATACAAAACACATTTGAAAATGAAACTTAATACAACACAAAGTCTTTCAAATGATTTGGCATTTTATTGCCTCTCCTGGGCCTCTCGAAAGTTGTGGTTGCCTCAATTGTGTCTGTCACAGATTGAACAAATTGGGAAGTTGATATATTATTTCGATCTTCTTGCTCAGGACTTTTGGAAGATTCGGAGTTACTTGATTCACCTATTGCTTCAATATCGGAGTTTTCAAATAAATTTTCTAATCCATACGATTGTACAGGTAAATAATTGTCGCTGAGGTGATCTTCCGTTCGACTGTCTTCACTTTCCGGTGTTGGTGGAAATGTTACAAATGGCTGCATTGGTGGTGGATCATTGACAAATCTCCGACGAATGATGGTTTTTGTGGTTGGTAGGGTTTTGTTTTGATAATGTTCTGGATTGTGTGTGTTGAATGGTGTAGTTTGGTTTTGAGAATGTTTTGAATTGCTTATTTGACTATTTTTTTGAATTTGTGGTTGCTGGTTTGAAGAGCATCGAAATTTCTTGAAGAATGATGAATTTTATTGTGATAATGAAGTTGTCTCTTTTAGCTTTTATAGTTGTACCCATAACTTGTATAATTTCCATGGGCTTTGGATCATAATAAGGTGTCAAGATATTTTTCTTCATCTGTTTACATAGCACTAGATCGCCTATTTGAAAATCGTGGTGCTTGGTTTTCCTTTTGTTATCTGCATGCACTTTCTGTTTCATTTTATTATTAAAATCTGCTTGTTTAATGTCTTGATTCGAGTTTGAGTTTTGGATATGAGATAATGAAGGTAAAAAGTTATTCATTTTTCGTCCAAAAATGATTTCATAGGGTGATTTTTCTGTTGTAGAATGAGGGGTGCTTCTGTAGTTAATTAAAAATTCATGTATTTTCGAATTAAAGTTTCCACTTTCAATATGTGAACATACTAGTGATTTTTTCAAGGTCTTTACAAACCGCTCAGCCATTCCATTCGCTTCTGGCCATGCTGGTGTAATTCTAATGTGTCTAATACCATGATTTCGAAAATAGTTTTCAAAATCATGTCCATTGAAAGGTGGACCATTGTCAGATTTGATGGATTCTGGAAATCCCCAGGTGGCTAATGTTCTATCCATGATGGGTTTTATTGATGCAAATGAAGTTGAATTTACCAGTTCTATTATGGGGTATCGTGAGAATTCGTCTACTAGGCTATCAGAATGTATTTGTTTTGATGGAATGGTCCTGCAAAATCGATATCTATTCGCTGAAATGGATAGTCTGGAAGTAAACCAGATATTATTGGGTCTCGGAAACTGCTCTTTGTTACTGCTTGGCATGGTGTGCAGCATCTGATATATTTCTCAGTCAATATGTCTAGGAAACCATACTTTTGTTCTTAAAAGTTGTTTGGTTTTGGTTATTCCTAAGTGTCCTTTGTGAGCCATTTCTATTGCTGTTTGTTGTAGTGACACTGGTAGACAATTCTGTGATCTCTTAGTATTAATCCATTGCTGTAGATGAATTCATCTTTAAGTTTAGCAAACAAGGTCAGGTCTGGTAGTTTCCAATATTTTTGATTCGTACTGGAAATAGCGTTGATTAATGTTTGAATTTTTTCGTCATTTCTGGTGGCTTCCTGCACTTGTTGAAGTGTTATAGCCTTTGGTAATGAGCTATTGATACAAAAGTTAACGTATTGTTCGATTCTGTCGTGCTCCTGATGTTTATTACAGCTTGTTTGTTCCGGATGTCTGGATAAATAATCAGATGGATTGGAAATGCCTTTTTGGTGTACAATTTTGAAATTATAGGACTGAATTCTGAGTAAGAGCCTTTCCACTCTCGCGTTTGGAGCGGTTCGAGTGTTCTCTAAAATTTTGACAAGTGGTAGGTAAGTTATCACAATGTAGTATAAACTCTGAACCATAAAGGTAATTGTGAAAATGCTGGATAGACCAAGTGCAAGCAAGGGCTTCTTTTTCAAAATGACTATACCTTCTTTGCACCCCTGATAATGTTGTGCTTGCATAAGCAACGATTTGTGTTTGACCCGTAGAACTCTCTTGTGCGAGTATTGCTCCAATTCCAGTCGGTCCTCCATCAACATAAAGATGTGTTGTTTTCTTTATATCAAAATAAGCTAAATTCTTGGTGTGACTAAGTTCTTGCTTAAGCATGTTCATGGTGTTCTGTCCAGTTGAAAATGGGGTAGTTAGCAATTTTCCAAGTATTTCTAGCTTAGTTGTGTGACCATAAGGAAAAATTTTACTGCTATCTGGGTACAGTGGGCGTTTGGAAAATTTTGTAGGTACGTTTGCTCAGAAATTAAATTTACTGAAGTTCCCGTGTCAATGATAAATTTTATTGGTTTATTGTTAACTTTCAGAGTTACTTGTGGAAGAACGCTGCTTTTTGTTGTTAGGTTAAAGGAATATTCGGAATCGCTGTTGTTATCACCTTGCATTGTATGATTAACTGATGATTTCTTGTTACATTGTTGTTCATTCAGTTGTTGATGAGACCTATAAGGTTGACGATTGTTCGAAGTGCCTGCTTCCTCAAGTGCTTGTGTTCGGTTGTGATTTTCAGGGCGGGTGTTGTTTAGTTTAGCCAGGCATACGTGTGCAAAGTGACCTTTCTTGTTACAAAAATGACAATTTACTTTTAGAGCGGGACAGGTTTGTCTCCCTTTTACGTGCCAGTTGTTACCACAATTCTTGCACATATTAAAACTGTTGTCATTTATTTGTGATTTTAACCTATTAACGTTGATTTCCTTATTTTCCATTTCTGAAACTTGTTTTTCAGTTAATTCATAGACTTTAGCTTTTTTGTAATGGCGGATTATCAGTCAAGGCATATCGTCGTAATTTGGACAAGGTTGTGCCCTGAATGATCTGCGATTTTATTTCTTTATCTTTATCTACAAAGCCACAATTTAAGCTAAGTTTAAAAAGCCTAGCGTAGAATTCATCAGTCGTTTCTAACTTATCTTGTTTGGACTGCCTAAAGTTATATATTTCAAACTCGCAATTGATTTGTGGGGAAAAATGCTTGTTTAATTTTTGTTTGACAACGTCATACTTCAGAATTTCAAGAGGTGTGTTGGTAATGGAGTCAACTTGGGGTGTGGGTTCAGGTAAAGAAGAAAAAATGTCAAATACCTCTTCTCCCACGCAGTGAAGTAGCATTGCTTCTTTCCTGTCGTCGTTTGATATCCCGGCTGCGATTAGAAAATTGTCAAATCGCTTCATCCATTTTTGCCATCTAACGCCTACGTTTGCTGTGTGGACATCGAACGCCTCGATTATTCCTAGGTGGTGTTCCATTTCGTGGTTCGCTTCTTTGTCACCAAAATGTGATGTTGTTGGATGCTTGTTGCTTCTTATTCACAAATTTAAACTACCTCGTTTTCATATCATATTTTAATCTCGGATCTTTGTTATTCATCTCCATGTCAACCGTTTACAATTCTCCTTTTTATGTCACTAGATCTGATCTAAAGTTATACTATGAATATTACAACCCCCACTGATCTTGAAAAAGGGAATAAGAGAAGAATTATTTCCTGAGATGCCGTTTTTGAAAATAAAACGTGCATAAAATTGATTTCAGATTTTGCATACGCATGCTGTTGGTGGTGCCAAGTAAAACTTTTGAGAATGGGGGGGAGGGGGGGGGGAGGTTGTGAACAGTCGTTCTACGCTTCATAGCATTCTAATGAAAGGTCTCATTGAAATGGATTGGTGTATGCAAGCTATAACTTCCCGGCGCGACTTCTTTTCCCTTCACTTCCCTTCAGTTGTGCGGGGGGTGGGGGATGTATAGGTTGATTGTATCATTTATAGTTTTCTACCGCCTTTATTTCTTACCCCTTATCAAAATAGGGGCTGGGGGGGCGGAATTGGCAGTATTCTTCATGGTAATCTAATGAACGGCCCAACAAAAGGAATTATTTTCTACCAACCATAGCACTCCTCCTCGACCCCTTATTATGTGATCGGATATATTGTAATTCCTTATATCTCAAGAACGGAATGTTGGAGGAGCGTGTTCACAAAGGACGATTGGGACGTCTGGAAGGAATTCATTGGTGATGCCAAAACTTTAAGAGCGAATATCTCGAAAACGGTTTGTCACCGAGAATACTCTCAAAGGCAAAGTGAATTGTCTAGGCCTGGACGAAACATATGTACTGGTGATGTCAAAAGTTTCCGAGCAAATATCTGTGTAACGGAGTGTTGGAGGAGGGTACTTTCAAAGGGGGGAAGATCGTCTACACGCGACACATCTACTGGCGATGTATAAACTTCATTGCGAACATCTCGAAAATATTAAAAGGAAAATTCAATATTTCGGACAATTTCTCTAGGGGCTTGATTCTTCCTGCATTATATAGCGTAGATTTTGAATGTATACCATCCGGCCTTTAAATGTTTCCCAGCTAGCAATTTAGGTGTCGGCAACCTGAGGCAAAAGAAATTCGACCAAAGTAGATGGAAATTATGTAATGTTTATGTTGAATAGGTGAAAGTAAATATGTTACCTATTAAGCACTGGTGACATATTGGTGAAATAAATTCTTATTAGGATCCAACAAAGTATGGTAGTGGTAAATGGTCATCTAATAGGTGAGGTACGTCAAAAATACCAATTAAGGAGTGGCATATACCTAACTTGTATCACCTAATAGGAGCAGTAGATAGAAGGACCTTATTTGTGCCAATTTGTAACCTAACTAAAGGGACGATTGTTACCTAATTGGTAATATATTCGTTCCATGACTTATTAGGTAACTTTGTTCACGTTATAAATATAACCTAATAGGAGATATAGGCCAAAGTCGACAAAATGACTAAATAGGAATACAAGAAAATTTCATAGACACCTAATAAGAGAATACAGTTACTTACATTTTGACCAATAGGTTGAAATGACTTGAATATTTCACCATTAAGTTTTTTCGACCTATTGGTCGAAACGACAGATCACCTATTTAGTACCATTTCACCAAAATAAATATATTCCACTCGAGTGTAATAATGGCGCGAAAGTGCTGGTCTGTTTCACCTATAATCTGTTCACCCAACAGATGCAGTTAAGCCACTCCCAATAAATTTTGACCAATGTAATAACAGACCCGTTTCACAGTCACAAAATTATAAAAACCGGGAAATTTAAAATCGCATATCACATTGTACGACGAAGTTATAAAGTGTTATGTTTTGAATATTGACCTTTCAACACACAGCAGTACATAGTTTCAAATTGTTTATTAAGTTCAGAAAGATTATTTTGTTCTTATAAATGAAATTAACCGCAATTTGAGGCAAGGCAAATACAAAACGCAATGACAGGTTTGACGTTAAGGATGTCAATTCAGATACGGCAATTATAATTGGAAGCAAATCGTTGCGTGTGTTACAGGTTTTGAAAATTCGGCCAATTAAAAATGTTCATTTAAATTTGCCGGGAATTTTTTGGGGGGAGCTTTACTGCATCTGGTGGGTGAACAGATAATAGTAGGTATCAATGTCAACCTAAACAATAGGTAATAGGTTGTGAATCCCTGGTAGTAGGTAACAATCATAAGTTGTGTTGCTAACAGGTGTATTAATCTACCAAAAGAAGTTACATGCGCTCCTAATAGGTGTCGATTTAGTGAACGTAGGTGGAGTTTGGTGTTGGACTTACACTTACAAGGTTGGTTTAGTTAGTTAGGTCGAATTCCCAACATACTTAGTTGCGATTACACGTTTTAGGTGTACTTAAACAGACCACCAATAAGTATGTAATACGGTATTTACATGAATTTGTTACAATTAGGTGTATAAAAATTGGTAATATTGTACACCAATTAGGTAATAGGTATCAAAAGTAGCTTGTTCTTCACCAACTTGAAACATGAGGTCGAAAATATAGGTGCAAATTAGGGTACTCTACTTACTAGATTAACGAGAAGGCAGACATATTTATTGGCTAGCGTAGACGGACGAAATATCATCATACATGTTTTTTTAGCATTAATGAATAAATAATGTTCTACAATTAAAATCTAATTATATTTAGGTATTATTAATGATTGTATGTTTGAATAAAATAGTTAAACTGCCAAAAATGTACAACTATAAAAATGAAAAACGAATAATTATTTTTTTTATTATTTTTATAATAGTTATTTCAGAGGGGCTTTGTGTTTTTTGAAGGCAGAAGATATATGTTTGTCATAGAAAATGCATTCGCACGAAATATTTCCACATAGAAATCATGAAATTAAACATATTCAATATTTTACATATAATAGGTAATTTGTCTGATATGACGCCAGCCATAAAGTTCATAACAGTATTCTTATTAACTGTAGGTACTATTCTTTAAAAAGAGAGGACAATAATGGAAGTATGGTTATAAGTTCAAAACGACATGTAGAAAATAAGTAATCCGCCACGTCGATTCGACGTAGAAAATTACCTAATAATGTGTCTAGACACCTAACACCTAGTTAAATGACACCTATTTAACTTATTTCTCACATCGAATCGACGTGTCAAAAAACACCACTTAAGTCGATTCGACATCGAATTTATGTTATACTGCACTTATTGAAATTGGTGTCGTTACTTATTTCAAGTCGAATCGACGTCGAATGACACCTCAATTGCTAGCTGGGTTATGTGTAAAGAGCCCCCTCCCCTTATAACCCAACCATTTACTGAGCTATTTCAGTTTAAAAAAATGCACTTTATCTGAACAAGAGTTGTGCACAATTTATACTTGATTCCATCTTAAGTCAATTAAAAAACGTCAAATTTCTAAGCAGCAGCGGTCCGTTTTTGAAATTTCTTTCGACTGGATACTGCATATCTTTAGCTTGGTATAACCGGGTAGTATCAGTGCTATATACGAATGTTGAAGATGCGAATGAAGTGTCAATTATTGACTCCTTCTCTGAAGTGGTCATAAGTGACCCCTGAAGATCTAGCAGTACATAATGGTTTAAAAAAGCTGTATAGTGGATCGCCTGCCATAGCAGCTGTAAGTAAACTAATGTTTCAGGACAAAAGACAAAGGAGCTGTCAACTTCCGTCAGATGATGTAAAATAGGAGAGTATCGCCTTTTAGATGTAGGTATAACAAAGAGTAGGAATGTTTTGCATAGTGAAAACCCTTTTTTTTGTGCGGGTAAATTCCACTACACAATTTATAGCTACTTGCTATACCTATATATTTTTTGATGAGTGTTCACAGTAAATCTCTTGCAGCAATGGTTTTTAGGACCTAGTGTGTGCCATGTTTTCATCGCATTTACGTCACTTATGAACATTATTCTGTGATTATGAATTATTTACACTTCGCCCTTCACTACATTCGTGGTTGCCATGAAAACGTGTTCATACAAACATAATGGAGTTACAAAGCAGACCTACTTCAAGTAGACATTTATATTTTTTTTTTATGAATTCATTTCGCTTTCTAAATAATGGCTAACAGTGCAAGTGCGAGCTCAAATGAAAAATCCCTTCAAAGGTGAGCAAACAATTTCATAAATATGAGTACATGGTGTTCTCGTAGGAGAAAAAGCTGTGACACAGTATGTTCGTCAAATTCCAGTTGTTTAATGCAGAAACGTAAGCAAGTGCATCCTCTTGCTGCATCTTTAGGAACTTACGCACCACGAAATACCTCAGTGCAGCAACGTGTGCTTTCTGCTCGGCTATTGAAGCTGAGGTCCCTCCAGAATAAGTTAAACGACGCCAATTTTCATGTGGCCGTATGTTTCTTACAACAAATTTAACGAAATCTCATTGGGCTTCTAATTGTAGGAACTACAACAAGAAAATCGCGCTTTGAGGAACTTGCAAAGTAGACAAGATAAAGCGTTATCGAGGTACGAAGGCACGAATGCTGATTTGCCAAGATTGCTGAAATCTTACGAAGAAGACATTCGAGTTTTAGCTACAAAAAATAAGGCACTACGAAAAACAATAAAAGACGTCAGTGACCAACTGAAAACCAAAGATGAAGAATTGGCGAATGTTCGCATGCAGCTAAGAAGTTTGACGGTGCTTACAAAAAATAAGCATCTCGGTGAGAGACAGATGTTAACTGACCAAGTTGAAGACCTGAAAGAGAAATTGAAAGGTAGTGACGAGCAGATTAATCTATTAAACAGGAAGATCCTGCTGGAGTCTAAGAATTATAAAACTAAATTGAACGCGGAAGTGATGAAAAGCAAACAAAGACAAAAAGAACTTTCACACGCACTTTCTGAAATTGATCGGCTTAATGGGTTACTAGAGGTGGGTAATTAATGTCAAGTGTAATGTATTGCTGACTTTTAGAATTGCAGGGAAGCTCTAAACATGGAACGGTAACCGAAATTAAAGATCACAAGCGATTTTCTAGTAATAATCGACAAACTGTCTCCCTTACTAATCTGATAAATGACAGAATGAAGCCTAAACTAAATTCATTGATGAAGGAGAAATTGAAGGACTTTGAAAACGGCGATGAATCCGAACTTAAATTGGAACCTATTGCGACCACAGAAACAAAGGTGACATTTTCGAGCGAGGTAACAATGGTGTCGCCCAGTGAAAATATTAGAGCAAGGTTATCGGCGAATCTTGGCAAAGAAATCGATCATCTAAGTAAATCAGTCGAAGAACTAAGCTTGCCAGATGAAGACAATCACTTCCGTACAGTAAAACGTAAACTTTCCGGTAGCAAACTGGAAAAGTTTCCGTCTTCGGATATTTTCGATAAGAAATTCGAAGAGGTAAAAAAGGAGCAAGACATTAATAAACGTCTAGGGAACTGTTGCACCGATATACGATCTACGGTTGTCGACTGTAGTGCGGTCGTTAAGAAACACCAAGAGGATTACGCACAGGTGCACAACGAAACGGAAAAACTTCTAAGAGATTTACACGAGACCGACGTCTTGAATTCCAAATTGCGCTGCTCGAAGTTTTTAAATGCAGACAAGATCGAAATACCGGAAAAGGATTTCGAAATCGCAAACGAAATTTGGGAAAACGAGTACAGCTTTCGGACGGAGTTGATAAAACAGAACGGTGATGGCGACGGTAAATCTCAGTCGGAATTAGGGGACGACATTGGCGCAGACAAGAAGAATAAATTGTTAGCCACTTTACGCGCGATCGACAATAATAACGAAATTGACGAATACTCCTTTCCAAGCCCATCGAGTAAATCTCACAAATTCTCTGACGATTATTTTGACAGTTTGAAGTGAGAGTGTTGGATTTAATTATTACCACTTTATAACTATATCTCTAATTTTTATTATATATGTTTTTGTACAAATTTTTACACATAAATAATGTATAATTCGAATTATTATTTATATTTGAAATGTTTATTTGTTGTTACTATTGGTTACTTAGTATAGTGGATTAATTTTTAAATATTTTGATGATATATTACTGTTTGATGATATTGTTGTATATGTATTAAAATCAAAGTGGAGATTCCTTGAAAGTGCGAATGTGTAATATTTAACCTATTTTGTTGGTTACTAAAAGTGACAAACCATATTCTTATATCAGTTATATCCATTGATGTAAGTAGGAACATGGGAGACACAGGGGCAGTGACTGAAAGGTTTTTTGCGCCTCTATCTGTTAGTAATAATCGTTATCCGAGGGATATTACTCATTCCCATAAATACACACTTTTATGATGGCTACCACAGTGTTGTATCTAGAATTCTAGACCATGGTATTACTTTTAGTGCAATACTGCAGGATTACCTATGTATTGCGTAGTTTGTGTCCTATTAGAAACCTTCCTCCATGAAAATAGTCAGATCTCTTTCTATGGAGATAGTTCAATATAAGTAACATTTACAACTTATCCAACAATTTTAAAACACTAAGCTTGGGAAATTTCAAACGTCAAGGTACTCGCAATAGAATACTATATTCTTAGTTGTTAAACAACGTACACGAAACATGTTTTTTATTATTACTATTATTTTCTTTTGTCGCTTTTGTTCAATCGTCATTCCCATATGTATGTTAATCATACGCTTCACATCATTATATAGTTAGTTTCATTCCACTTTGTTGTTTAGTTAATTAAATTGGAGGGGTTAAGTGGAAGAGCAGATGTGTGGTTATGTACCCCATCTGAACGACTGCGCCCCATTGGATGGTGTCAACATTAGGTTTTGTTTTTCCTTCTATTATGTTTTATATATATTTTATACAGTAAAGAATAATTAGCACTAAGAACACCGCGGGGTGGCGACAGGAAAAATATGGTGATTATTCAAAGTGGAGCCAAACGAAAGGTTCAATTAGAACCTTTTAGGGGTTACTCTGGTCCTAATTTTAGCACCATACGGTACTAAACTTGGCCCAGTTATAGTTTGTCTAAAGATACATTGTGCGTTATCTTTGGTTTGTCTGAGGCATCGCGCGTACCAGCGCTGCTTATCTTGGCAACAAGGTTATCAATTGGCAGAGCAACGCGATGCAAGCTTTATAGGGGAGTTGATGGTGTCCTTCTGTCCGTGAACACGATAACTTGTAAACGCTTGGACCGATTTGGTTCCAACTTTGCACAGTTGACCTATGTGCCCAGGAGCGCCGGAAGAAAATGCGCTAGGGAGGGGCCCTTACATTTTTGAAATAGAAAATGTTACCCAACTGTTTTTAAATTAGTAAATCAATAGGATACGCAGCTAAATCATATATCCAATAAAAACTATTGTTGTAATAGGTACATATTAGACACAAAACAAAACAAGAACAAAAGTAACAAGTTACAGTAGTTTACTGAAAAAAAATGAAATTAATAGCACTATATTATAAAATTTGCTGTGGTTAGTACAGATACCACCCGTAAACCGGCGCATATGCGCGTTCTACCTTCTTTTAGGTCTAACAATATGTGTACCAAATTTGGTTCCAATCGGTTCAGCCGTTTAGCCGTTAATGAGAGTTTAACACACTTGTGCATATACGCTATTCTCCCCGAAAGCTTTTCAGCTCTTCCTTTTGTATCTAAGAATATGTGTACCAAATTTGGTTATAATAACAGTACACTACAGACAGACCGACATCATCAAAATTTTGTTGGAATCGGAATCCTGGTGCTTCAAAACGTGTATTTGCGTAAAAAAGTGGTGCATCTATTCTATAACAAGTTAAAAACTTGGTCACTCGCGACCAACGAAAGCGCATTTTCCCCGCACAGAATCAGTAATAGCTCGGGGTCGGGAAGGAAGTGACTAATCCAAAAGTCTTTTGTCGTTCTGCCCTCGAGGCTGTGCTACACTGTATAAGAAAGAAACCACAACGAAAAAGCTTAAAGTGGAGGACTAGTAATGGTAAAGACGGACAAAGTGCGGACAATAGCGTTCGTTTTCCTTTTGGAAAATGCGCTAAAAAGCGCCGAACCGAAATATATAAGTGACATGACAATATTGTCATTGATGTTTTTCCAAAACAAACAGCCACCCTGCGGTCTTCGGTTAATTTAATCTCTATAGTCTATAACTATACAATATGCATGGGAACTTTATGGACATTGAAGTAACTCAATATAAGGTTATAAAAGGTTTACCTACTTTTTCTTTGTCACCGAACAGCGATGGGACAGGAAAAGGTGGCTGTGTTCTGGTTTTATTGTGAGCTTTCAACATTTTCTAAAATGGATTAAGTGATTTGTCAAATCCCAGGGAGGGGCCCGGGCCCCTCCTTGCCCTTTAGTAGCGGCGCCCATGTAAATGTGCCCCATGTAATAAGCCTATTGAAAATGGGTCAAATCCAATGACCCCGTGGGGTCACGCTTCTCTGTCCCTGCCAAACTTTTGAACCTATTCGGTTGAAACTTTGCATAGTAGACTTGTATGCCACATGTAACAAGTAGGTATATTGAAAATGGGTGAAATCCAATGACCCTGTAGGGTCACGCTTGAACCTATTCGGTTCAAACTGTTAACATACGAGTTAACATACCCCATGTAACAAGTCAATTGAAAATGGGTCAAATCCAATGACTCCGTGGGGTCACACCGGGGTGCCATTAGGTCCAAGATTGGGTGGCATCGGGTTTGAGTCCTTCCCGATTTTCAATACAGAATTTTTGCTTTAACCTGGAAATTCTTTAAATTCGTAGTTTCAAGTTTAATGTCTAAAATTCCTTTCTGAGTTTAATTAAAAATTATTTCAACTCATAATAGGCAAAGAGATAGCACAAGGATCCGCTAGATGGCGCCATCGCGGTGTGGTTTTTATTTAAACTAACTGCATTGCATGGAATTGACAATTGACGAACGACTTGCAAATGCGACTACGTAAATACATAAATAATGGCAATATTAGACCCTCGTATTGTGACATCTACGCTTAAGAATTTGCTAAATTGTCATTTATTGTGATTAAGTCGTGTGTGACTTCACCGTACGTGCAGTTTTTAAGTGGAAATATTTCATGTAAGTCCCTAAACTTAAGCATCTTTATGCACACGGAGGTTAAGTTCATTTTCCTTATCAAATTCCATATTATAACCTCAAAAAATCAGATTTTTGTACAGCAGTCGCCTAATTTAGTGCTGACCTTCCTCAATAAATTGTCATGGCGGCTTGTATTAAAAATTGTTACAAATTCTTAAAAAATGTATGTTAACCACGATTATTCTTCCATTACATAATTATCCTACGTACATCGACCTAACCTTGACCGTTAAATTCTATAGAAATGTAAAGAAACTCACTTTAATTTTTAATTGCCAATTGAACAAGTGCTTGTGCCGACGTCCTGTTCCAGGCTATTTAACATCCTCTCACGGATTTTACTGGCATTTGTTATTCAGATTTTATTTTTGATAATTACGAAGAACTTCAAGTAGGTATATAATCGAGATTAACATACTCTATGTTGAATGTTTTACATAATTTGTAAAAAGCGAAAGCTTTGAAGTAACCTGTGGTACGGTCATCATAGTGAAAACCAGGAATCGGTAGTACATTGTCCTGCGACAGGAGGATTATAAATTAATCTTGTCTGATCCTTTGCCATTGAGGTTGCAAAATCCTGCATAGGATTTCATTTAATCAAGCAGCTACAATGTGCTGTATTATTTTCAGATGCTATTGTATGCGTTTGTGTGAAACTTACAATGAAATATGTTGATTGTTAGCTAAAACAATTGAGCAGTTTTTTGTACCCTAACAATTATTCGTTTACTTAATTACCGAGGCACGTGGCACAGTGGATGCGCTCACCGATGCTATTCGGGAGGTTGTGGGTTCGAATTCCGCTGCCGACTGCTCTGTCTGGGGTTTTGTCAGGGGGTTTTCCTCAGACATACGTAGCTTCGCATAATGCTAGCATTATGTTGAAATCTACGAGGCGAATGCTGGAGCAGTACTCTCCCCCTCAGCACCCTAACTCCGTTCCTTCCGTTCCCATCCCTAACTTAACCCATCCTTACAATCCCGTTCTCTGGCTGAAGAGGTATCCCTGTAGTCAGGGGTGCCGGAGGAATGAAACATGTTGGCCTTTTTCCTTTACTTAATTTGTGAGTAATCCAAGCTTAATACCAGCTCAGGTACGATTTTAAGCTATGCTTAAGCCGAGGGTTAAGCTAATCTGGGCTAAAGTATGTCAATGCAAACAGCCATAATTGACGTTGGACACTTGAGTAAGAGCATATTTAATAATTGAGTATTTTGTAAGTACTTACTTTGTAAATTCGAGTTTAGTCCTGTGCTTGGACGCTAGTTTTTGTACGCAATAAAGTCCAAATTTGAAAGCAAAAATTCTGCTGTAATTTTATAATACCTGATGGTTGAGCTGACGGTAATAACTAATCAAGCTGAGGTTAAGTGGAAGAGCAGCACCTGGGTGTGCTGAATTTCGCCTCTTATTTTGCAGTTAATCATGTATATTACAAATTAATTAAAATAAAGTCATTTATTATTATTTATTTGTGTCTCTAAGGTTTTTAGTTAAGCCTGATTGTGGGCATATCCGGAAATTGAGAAAAATGTTACTTCGTGGTTCCTTTTTGTATACCCATCAAGACACCTTGTAATATTACAATTGTTATGGTGTAATAATAAATATAAGTTTAAAGATTCTTGTACAAAATGATGCCGAAACGGTTTATAAACATCCAGCTATAAGGATATTAATGCCTCCCAATGTCCGAATTCAAAAAGGTATACAGTGATATTTATTAAGAAGTAGACATGGGATTTACATGTATTGTTTTTCCCTATGTCTACTTTTGAATGACAAAATCGCTTTTGAAGGGCGCCTAATTTTATGCAACCAAAATATTTATTAATTTGAAAAACGATACACGTAAATCCCTATGTCTACGTCTTAATCAATCACTGTATAGAAAACGGTAGAATGAGTATGAAATATAGTCTGAGAACCAGCATTTACTTTATCCAGTGCGTCAATTTGAAAAGTTTCAATACGAATATCTTGTGAAATGGAAGAATTGGACAGGTGGTTTGTGGGTGGTGTAGGTTAAATACCAATGCACACAGCATTATTTATTTGGCACCCGACGTGGGGTCACAGCAATTTATCAACGACCCTGTATAATACCTGTCTCATTTGGGAGTAGGTCAGCAAAGGTGTTTATTCTAACACCCCATTCTTGAGATGTAAGCGATTGAGTTTTGACTCCCGTCTTGTAGAACTATAATCTAGCTAGACCTACAACAACTAATCTAATTTAACCTCGAATTTAACCCTTCTCTTTGAATTTTTGTTTGTGTGCACCAAATTGTATCTAGTCACCATATATTTGTGTGATTAGGAGTCAATAGCCAGAAACCAAATTTGCAGTTTTTTAATAATAATAATAACTTTATTCATGCCATAGGCATTTTACAAAGTAAAAAGAAACAAACTTTAAACTAAAACACATTACTTAAAATATCACATACATTGTTATTTAATATTAACCTCGACAGTAACACTACGTTTAAACGAGAAAATAGTGGGACTGAAAAACACTCGCACTGAACTCATTGATTAGGCCAACCATCCGATCCAAATTTGCAGTTTTGGAAGATATGCGCAACCGACCAAGGATTACAAATTTCATCAATGTTGTCACTTAAGCCATAAGTACATGCTCATTGTTTTCCTGTTCAGAAAATAAGCTTCGTAGTTGATAAGACAAACCAGTTTCCAACAGCAGCCATTTAAGGAAAAGCATTTTGTCATTATATAAATAAAATGATTATAAAAAAACGTGGTTCTTGTGTATCTTGTATATCATAAAAAAAAAAGCTAATTAATCACTGTGTTTGGCTTTGATTTATAATTTTATCTCGAATTTTATTTGTATTAGGTATTTTTAGATTTAATTTACATTATAGATATATGCAAGTAGCTATAATTAAGTACAGGTTAAATACCGAATAACCTTGCATTTGCATAGACCGATTGTACTAATCAAAGTCAATTTTCTTATACAAATTTATTTTGTTGCATGTCTAAAAATGATTTTTTTCCAATTTTCAGATGCATTTATGGAAATGTCCCTATAAAGTAAGTTTGAGTGATGGGTAGCGTAACATAGTCAATGAGCAATCACGGTGAAGAATCACGATCGAGGGGGTCTATCACAAGACCCCCGTTGCTGCACGAAAGGGTTGGGCAGGTGTACTACGCCCATGGCTTGTTTTGTACGTCTTATCCGGCATCTGTGATATCGTTTGCAATTTTTATTGCTTTATTGTGTTGGTAAGTGTTCGAGGATTGTAAACATTTAATTATCTGCATTAAGGCGATAATAATTATTGTTATCCTTGGATGGTATTGCGTCACTATAATATTACTTGCTTGGAGGAGTGTTTTTAATTGAAATAACTATACCTTTTTGCAACATTTATATGTATATTTACTCATACATTTTGATTGATAATTCGAATGTTTGTTTTGAAAGAGGTGGATACAATGAATGTAATTGATTGTCCTGTGAACTTCACCTTAATGAGTAAAATGTAATTAACGAATAAACGTAAGTGGATGTGCAGGAAGTTTTCACAATTTGATTTTTGATTATACAGGGTGTTTCGAAATTCGCGCACACGGACTATGGGATGGTGTTATACGACAAAAACTGAACAAAAAGTTCCTCTACCAGTTTTCCATCAGACCGCTATTTTTCGAGATACCGCGGTTTTAAAAATCTCCGCCCCCCCTACGATGCGCCACTGGTTATACTTTAATAATAACACATTTTTTAAAAACAAAAGAAGGTTCAAAATAAACTATAATTAGGACGAGTACGTAATTACAACAATTGTTCAAAATGTCCGCCGTCTGCTAGTAAACAAGCTTCAGCACGTCGAAAAAGAAAAAAGTTCCGGTCTGATCAAAAACTGGTAGAGGAACTTTTTATTCTGTTTTCGTTGTATAACACTATCTCACACAGTCTGTGTGCACGAATTTCGAAACACCCTGTATATGCCAATTAAGTGGGCTTCGCCAAATACTGGCGGAATAAGGTGTTTAATGATGCTTTCTTTGATAACCGAACCAATGTGTTTTGTATACTTTATGGCGAAAAAAATATGCGTAAGGTATGATGTTACATAATGATTTCTGACATTATCTAACAATTGTATTTTAAGTGTGTTGTTTTGTTTTCATTATAGCTACTATGAAAAAAATTCTAAGTGCAGCAGAATAGCCAGTCATTAAGATATCAAGTTTGTGATTTTATTGCTTCATCAGTAGCGTAAAGGTGGGTACCCACTTGAGCAAATTTGCGCGCACATAAAAGATTTACGCATAACGCAAATGAAAATATACGCAAAAACCTGCTCCACTCGTTCGCGCTACGATGGGGGGTACTCAATTGAGAAACTGACATCCCGTGCGCGCAAGAAAATTTTTTGATGTTTCTCCCGAAACCGACAGACGACGGGCCGACGGCTCACATTTGTGGGTGTTGTATACCTCGTACACATTTTAGCGTATTTGCGCGCAAAGGGCTTCGGTGCAAGATAATCGTCGGGCTTCCCTCTTTATGGTAAGATTGGGATTTGTTGTGGTAATGGTTTCCCAAATTCTTCTGCATTTCTGTTTTTGACGTAAAGTGCGGAAGATGGTGAACTGGTGGATCCAAATATCATCCACTCCTCAACAAGCTGGGATTACTCTTTCCTCTAGAGGAACCTTTACGCATCTTTGCCTTTGTGTTGAATGAGGACCTGGTGGAACGTCTCTTTGATATTAGCAGTACGCAATTCTGCTCTCCCTGAACTGCATCAAAATCGCTAGAAGGAACTCCAGCAAATCAGGACCTGTGAGAAGATTGTCGTTGAGACTCACTCTGATTTTATGTGACTTTTTGGGATTGAAGTCTACCATACCTTACCCGAATCCACTTTGAGTTTGTCCATATTAACTTTTTGAATATATCCCATTTGTTCATTCTGAGTTATCTTATCTCAGTAGAGCATAGCAAACACCTGGTTTTTCTCGAATCTTTTCTCCAGAAGATTTAGACGTCGCACTCTGCTTTCATCTCGCCAGAGCAAACCGGTTTCCCAACGTCCCCAGTTAATTCTTCTCGTGGTTAAATCCATGATCTGCTCTGCACCCTTGTCTTTTTGTACCGCGGTCGGTCATCCTTCACACTCACGCTCAGTGCCTCTGTACTTATGAACTCTTGCGTCATCCCTTCAATTTCGATTTTATTCTCAGCCATGACTATTCTCATTTGCGCTTGTGGACCATAACTTCTTACACTTGGCGAGCCTGAGTTACGATTCATAAATCACATACAGATCTTCCTTGCACTTCTCTTGTTTGGTTGATTGCACTTTAGGGGGCTATATTTCCATTTGTGAAGAGAAAGTTCTTCTTTTGCGTCACCCTGAAGTGCACGTATTAAGAAGGCAAATTTCTCATCCTGCACCATCTTACATATATCCACAATATGTATAAACCGTTCAATGAACCCCGGCACTCTGCTGGATTTCCAGAGAAGACTGGTGTGTCTCCCAATGGACTACCTGTGAATAGACACATGGTGATAATAATAATAATAATATTTATTGGTGGTGTTTATACGGTCCACCTTTTTGTGGTCGACTTGGGAAATACCCAGCACCAGGCTCAACCCAATCACCACACTGCACTTTACTCACTGGTAGTCCAATGTCTCTTTCAATGTTCAACTGCAACGATTGCACTACACCCACTTTTTTGACGGAAATACATGTTTTGAAGCACCATGAACCCTAAACAAACAAAATCTCGATGATGTTGGTCGTTCTGTTGGTATGTCTGTCTGTACTCTCATTTCATTGGAACCAAACTTGGTACACATATTCTTAAATATAAAAGGGCAGAATCGCCCATGCGCAGGTATGTGGGTGGTATCTGTGCTAGCCACAGCAAATTGTTTTAATGTTACTGTACTCGTATGTGACAGTTAGTTTCCATGGAAACAAAAATATTCATTTCTCATTATCGCATTTAAAATACAACTGTTAAATAATGCAAGAAATGCAAATCGTCATTATTTGAAAACACTTTGAAGCACACTTTAATAATCAAACTACCAAGAATAACATAAATTAGGTTCACAATTGACGCGTTTCCCAAACAAGTTAAAAAGTGCGTTTGCAGTTACCCATTATTAAATTTGCCGCTACCCGGAAACCTTCCCCTACAAGTTTGGAGCTCGGAATCGAACACAACAAATATAGAAGCTCTATCCGGAAAACCCCCATCGTTCTACGTTCAGCAGGTAATATTGCGAAGTGCGGTATTGCCATGGGACTCAAACTTGTACGTAAGCGACGCATTTCGTGCCCCATTATATGAAGCATTTAAACTATTGGATCTCGTCAGAAATTATCAGGAAGCACAGGGGTAGGTAGAGAAGAACTTGGTCACCCGATGGTCTGATTCAATTTCTAGCGCGAAAACGTTAGGGCACCTTTGTTTGCATGTTGAAGCTGTGAAGAAAATCAAAGACATTCGTAGCGACGTTTTACCTCAGTACAGCTGCTTGGTATTGTCTCCTGCGAATTTATGGCACCAAGATGCTCAGCAATTCGCCCAAGATTCATCCATTCTTAACACTGTCTTCAATCATCAGGTGAGAATGCGAACGGTAGACAGTTGACTTTAACCTAATGTTTTAGAATTTACAAAAAGGGAAAACCTCAGTTGCCGAGATGCTATTTGGGATGCATTTATCTGATACCGGAATTAAAAGGTACCCATTTAGAAACCGACAACGGATCCTGCAGTACGCAATTACATTATTTTTTAAGGAATATGATCAATCGTAAGCAGTCTTTGTAATCTTCTCCCTTACACCGTAAGCCTTTTAGGTTTGTTGCGGGACTACGCCATAAGCTCCAAACGTTATACCCATTGCATCAGAACGCCAGCCACTCAGAAAGTCCTATCCTTTATAACGAAACAGCTATTATTTATTATCCCGGTGAATTTAATTACAATGAATTTCTTCCCGTCGCCACCGCCTTTTTTTTGTTGTTTGTTTATTATTACTTTTCAGTCCGTAAAATCGAACTGATCAGCTCCAAGTTGGCTATGGCCCTTACAGTCGTTCTCACAGTTTTGATTAGCTTGGGAATGACTATAGGGATCTGTTTCTTTTTTGGTTTAACCTTCTCCCTGCGCGAGAAGGAGATATTTCCTTACCTAGTTATTTTAGTCGGTTTAGAAAATGTATTAGTCATAACCAAAAGCGTCGTATCGACACCGCAGCACCTGGATGTTAAAATTCGAGTCGCTCAGGGCTTGTCTAAAGAGGGGTGGTCCATAACTAAGAATCTCCTAATCGAAATTACTATTTTAACTATTGGATTGTTTACATTCGTACCTGCTATACAAGAATTGTGTATTTTTGCAATTGTCGGTTTATTAACCGACTTTTTTCTACAAATGGTATTTTTTTACACTATCTTAGGCATCGACGCGAGACACTTTGAAAATTTAGCGGAGAAGCGCAACCTTAACTTCCGAAATAGTCTCTACCAGACACAACATGATAAAACACATAGTACCTCCTTTCCCAAAACGGGTATACACAGATCTCGGTCTCATCCTAGGTTATCAACCGACGTAGTCGCCGGTCAAATGCAAGGTGCTTTAGAGAGAAAGATACCCAAACGTTTAAGACTGGTAAATATTTGGGCGCGAACGCGGTTTTTCCAAAGAGCATTTATGTTATTAATGGTAATATGGATCGCGCGTATATTGTACAGTAGCGGAATCGTGGAACAGTACATAATGGAGTTAACCGAAAAAAATAATCATAGGGTTACGGATGCCGGTTTGGCAGAACAAAATGTTTCCAATATAGTTCTCAATTTAAACCCCTATAATTTTCCCACCACTAACGAATATGCCAATTTTGTAACCGAAAGAAGCATCGAGTTTACCGATCAAACTGACGAGCTTAACAAGCTAAAACATCGCGAGTATCCGCCTTGGTTGAAGCTGTCGACTCAGCATTGGGCAGCTATTCTAAAGAAATATAATATTTCGTTGAGCGGTTCGTCCGTCGCTATTTTACCCAATATTAAAATCTCCTATTCAATTAATCCTCAACAGGCTGTACTTCTTCGTAATCCCGAAGAGAAGAATGGACAAAAGTTCCATTGGCAAACACTGGCCGCTGCTTTGGATCCGATTGATTTCAACGGTAAGTATTTTCCATTGTATCCAATGTTAGAAATGGCATTTTTAGACTTGGATGGTAGTCCGGAAATTTCGAGTACTGTCTACAGTGACCGTCCCTTTTATCCTAGCTCGCCCATGGAAATTATGTTGACTACAATTTTATGCTTCATTAGCGTGGCAGTGCTGGCGTACGCCTTTGTAGTCTTGTATCGTTGTATTTGCTCTCGGAATTACGCAGAGTGGAGGGCTTCGTGGTTTAGCGACAGCACTGAAGAGAAAGAAGTGCAGGTGTTACTAGAAGCTGTACCTATAGCGTTAGATGGTCATCCGCAAGAGATCGAGTGTATAGCCACTGATGGTTATAGTGTTGCTAGTACCTGTTTAGGCGGTCATATCAAAGTGTGGGATACGATTACGGGGGAGCTCATTAAAAATATTGATCGCAAATCGTAAGTGTTACACATAACGGTTGGTAGTATTTTTAAGTTACATACGACCTGTTTGTCACAATGTTCATAAATAATGTATGTGGGTATGAATCTTTTGTTTTGTTTACAGGAGCAAATATGATGATCGTATGTTACATAACGTCTTTTGTATTGCTGTCTGTCTGTCTGTCCGTCCGTCTGTCTGTCTGTGTGCACAATAACTTTGTGTAGAAACGTTCGATCGCTTTGCAAATTGATACACATGTTCTTCGTGATATATGAGCGGTCGCTATTGTTTTTTGGCTACATAGACTAACGGGCCAAAAAGTTACCGCCCAAAAACTGCCCAAACCTCCAAAAAGGGTTTCTCTTGTTACAAAGAACATATGAATGTCCAGTTTTCTGTGTTAGCAAATATTTCTTAAACTTCAGGCAACTATGCAGATGCAAAAAAAAAATATTGCGCATGCGCATTACAACTGTTATATTTGCGCAATCCCAATTTTTTAGTTGTTACGATATTTAATGGAAATTATGTATGTAGGCACTTCGAACAAAAGTAAAACTAGTGCCGAATCATAAAATTTGTTTTGCGCATGCAAACTAATGCCGATTCAAAAGTTGGTTTTACAAGCCATGCTGATCTGGCGGGACAGAATCAACCCTTCAATAGAATTTAAAAAGCTAAGCAGATTAGTAGATTAGTAGATTAAATTGGCTTTCAAATAATGTGCCATTTGCCATAGGATTCCATTTAAAATTTTAGGAGTTAAGCTCCCTACTTAGAGGGGTGAAGACTTGTGTTCGTGATTTGTATTCCAAAAGTTGTCCCCCTCGAATACAAAATAGACGTATTATAGGATTTTTCGAAATTTCTAAGTTTAATACCCTAAAAGCCCTCTGTATACTTCTCGTTGGGCCACTCTGTATATGTTACACACAAATATCAAAAACGCTCAATGAGCGAAAATAAAATTATGGACGAAGCAAAATGACCAAACACCGAAATTAAATATTTTTCCGTGTTATGGTCGTGAACTTATGCACCTAACGCATTGTGGTCATTTTAGAAGCGACCACAATGCGAATTGGATGGTTTCAATCAACCGGACACTGTTTTTTTTCAGTTTTAACGTGTGTCCGTAATGTGATGTATCGCTAGTAATTCAGTTATTAGTTTGATTTTATGTTAGTAATCCTAAGAAATGGCAGTCGCTATAAGCAAGTACTATGCAGCTCCTGACTAGCTCTTGTACGAACAAATAATGTGTATAATTTGGTTCAATATCTGTTTTAATCAAAAATTACTTTTTTTGTTTATTTAACGATATTATAAAATAAAATTTGCGTAAAGAAGCGTACACGCTTTCCGACCGTCGCGAACCAGCCACGTTTTCTTCATTGAATCCAGTATTTAACGAAACACCACTTCACTATTAAAAAATCTTTTTCTCCAGGACTTTCAAATAAAGCCTCCCATCACAATTAGGGTCCAAACACACAATTCGGCTCAAAAAATATAACCGAAACAACGTGTGCATGATGATATGTTCAAAATATATTATATTTTTTTATTTTATATGATTGACATTTTAGCTTGTACCTGGGTTTGGGTGAGTAGGCTAAGCCGTTCTTTAACCGTAAGGATAGATAAAGTGAAAAAGGGTAGATAAAGTGAAACAGATGACTGTGCATTGTAATTACATCTGTCATTCTTATTTCAAATGCACGATATACATTGGGCCGTATGAATAAAAGTAAGCAAATGCTTATACTTGCAAAATTCAAAGTAAATACTCGTAAGTGCTCCTTTGCACTGGGCGACTTAGCAGCGCTTCTAAGCAGAAAGAATGGACGCAGTACAGCGCTGCTAAACCATGCTAAACAGACCAGTATGAAGGGGCAGTTACGAGTATTTACTTTGAATTTTGCAAGTATAAGCATTTGCTTACTTTTATTCATACGGCCCAATGACGTTCAGAACATATGACAATTCTGTTACTATGGAAACGATCACGAGAGCAGAACCGAAGCTTGCTATTTTTGACGTTAAATTCAGAATTGTCAGAAGCTTTACAATGATTTGTATGGCTTCTTCTATAGTAAAGTTTTGTATTATAGACGACGATAAAGGGAAACTAAAATATCCCTTTATCATCTTATATAACATTATTAACATTATTATATAAATATAATATTAATTAATAATTAACATTATTATATAAATATGTTGTCATTTAATAAATAATTCAATGTATTATGGTCATTCTTCAAACGAACAAAATGTGTTGTGTTAACGACCATAACACGTAAAAATATTTAATTTCAGTGCTTGGTCATTTAGCTTCGGCCATAATGCGTTGTATTCGTTATTTTCGCTCATCGAGCGTTTTCGATATTTGCGCGTAACATATACAGTGCGTATATTTTAAGTCTGGACATAAAAATCTCCTATTTTCAAAGCTGAAATATACCCCTTAACATAGGCAACCAATTTTCTCGGGTTTCATTTTTTTCAAATTTTTTCAATAAACGTCACTATTATACACAAGAAGAAAAAATTAATTGTGCGGCCTCCTGCCGTCCCAAAAATCGGGGACATGTTTCAAAATCTATAGTAATTAAGCTCGCTTCTAATGAAACGACTCTCGACTGGTTCGGATGTGATTTACTGCAACTCATTTAATTAGCTACTGTTAAATATATTTTTCTCTGAAACGGACGAGATGAAATTTCTAAACTTATACTTCTAATTAACCCCCATTGTCTCTTGGAATTTCTCAGGTTAGATAAAAAAGTTTTTATCAAACTGATACAGGCGTAAACAAACCTGCTAATGACGGAACTGTAACTTAAAGATATTAATTTTTCCCCCGCGTTTCCATGCCTTGGGCGGTGGGATGCTACAAACACAATTAAAATATGTCTACGGGAACGGCTGCAAACGGCAAATTAATTGCAGTATCTTGATTTCTTCACCGGCGGCCAAAACGATGCCACAAACTAAAAGCAATTACCTTCACCCTCTATCTCCAACTGCTAAAATAAACTAAACACTTTCGCCATGACTCTTTTCGTAACGAAGCGCCTCCAAATACTGCGTGTTCACTGAAGCTAGTAAACTTCAAGGCTTCAAAAAGTAACTACTTTTTGTATAGTTACCATAGTGATGCCGATTACTCGCGAAAGCGTCCGTTTTATGTACTTAAAACAATAACAAAATATCGTCTAATTCAGGTGGTTGGAGAATGAAATATTTGTAGGTTTAAACTTCAATTGGAAAGCCAAATTGTGGAAAGGGGATTTTCCATTTAAATTTTGAAAGATAATTTAACTATGAATTATTTCAGATACTTCTCGCTACAAAATAAATCACCAGAATTAAGCATGGACGTGGAGGACAACAATCTATCAGATTACGAATCAGGCTCGCCGCCATCACGTGACGAAACACTTCCCACATTTCCCAGTTTTCAGTACAAAATCAACACGAACTTTTCCGGTTTAAAATTGCAGCCGATACCGACGGCGGACGTTACGAGCACGAAATTTGATTTCGGCGTGGAATACCGTCAACTGTACGCCGAACATAGGAAGGAGCAAAAATTGAAAAGTAGAAATGACACGGTGAAATGGGTTCAGGCGCAAAGACGTATTGTGAACGATTGTGATGCGGTACGAAGCGAGTGCGCGAATAGGCGGAACGTTTTGAATCGCGAAACGCACGCGCTTTTCGCCGACGAGACTTTGTCCGTAAGACATGATAGTGAAAGTTCGACCACGTCGAACGGGAAAAGTGCGCCGATTTGGTGTACGGATTATGTTGACAATTTAATAGTAATAGGGTGTTCTGATGGTTCCTTAGAGTTTTGGGAGGGTACTACTGGTAACTTTAGGGTGCGTATCTTTCCACCAGTTAAGGGGAATAATTTTTTTTCTTTAGTGTTTGTACGACGACTTAAGTGGAATAGGAGTCACATCTGTTAAGATAATTGGATCTCATGTCATTGCCGCACGATTGTATGGTACATTAGATTTTCTCCAGCTGCAGTCGTATAGTCACGGGCGGCCCATCGATTGGAATTTTACATGCGCCTATCGACGTACGCATGTTCGCACCTCCTCTGCTGGCTGCATCGACTATAAAGATATGCAGGTATGTGGATTATTTGGAGATAATTAGTCTCTAATTGCACGATCTTTAGTGTTATGAGGGGACGGAGGATATTCGTTGCACCAAAGTGCTCACAACCAAAGCGCATCAGCAGCCGATTACTTGTTTGGATGCTGAAGGTGGAAGTGTTCTTACTGGTAGTCAGGACCACACTTTAAGAGTGTTTAGGTTAGAGAATGGGAACCCTTTGTATACATTACATGGACATTGTGGCCCAATTACGTGCTTATTTATTGATCGAATATGTCCTGCTATGTCAGGTAGTGGATCTCAGGATGGAATGCTTTGTGTATGGGATTTACTTACAGGTAGGAGTAGGAAACGCAATTGGCTTCATTTGATTGTATGAATTCACCTTACCCTTCAATAACTTTCTATGTCTGATATTTACACTGAAAGCTTATGAAGATTTTACAATTTTGTACTTATAACTTGCATTGTTTCGGAGTTGTTTCAGTTGGATACGTCTCTTTGTCAACCTTGGCTGTACCTGTTCTCAATTTTAATCCGATTCTTGCCTTCCATGAGTTGCCCATGCTCTATCCTACTTATGTGAAGTTAACAATAGCATTCCAGCAATAGATACGCATATTTATTGTGAAGTTAGCAATAACTATTCAGCCAAAAATGTGCAAACAATGTAATAAAATATTGATAGAAACAATTAAACCATATTCCCAAATAAGATCCCTACCTTACCCCTTGACGATCATAAAACGTAATCCACCCCAACTCCTACTGTGACAACTTTGCCTCAATGGTGTCCACGCTTTGCGCGGGTAAGGTAGATTAGATTATGGAACTTTGATTTTTGTGTAAATCGTGTTTCAATTGGTATTAATGATTTTCATATTTTTGCACAGTTATGATCAAATAGTTATTTGCTAACTGCACACTAAATATGGAGATCACGAACTTATAAATTAAGATGGACTGCAGATCAAACAGTTGCATAGAGGTAGAAATGACCCTAGCATGGGCGCCGCCATGATGTGCACATTTTAGTTATTTTCTAGGGGAATTTTCCTAGTGCTCAAGTTTTGAGACTATTGCAGCCTTGGAAAATGACATGTGTCACAGTAATTTATTTAGAAAACGTGAGGTTAATGTTGGGTTAATGCTTGTTTATTAGTTGATTTGAATTTCGCGCTATGTGAGTGCACATCATGGCGGCCCCCATGTAGTTGTCATTTGTTAATTCAGCATTAGCAGTTCATCTTAATTTATAAGTTCGTGATGGAGATCTATCTATAAGCTGTTGCTAACTTCACACGGGTTTCCACCTATGTACCTCCTCCCTCTTAAACCCTCCTACATTGCCATAAGTATTACCACAACATGGCTTTTTAATGATATGTATCATTTGATAACAAGGTAATGTTTCGGGAGTAAGTACCTCTACTAGACTAATCTGCACCTGTGGCGCCATCCTGAGCTAAGTACTTAAAACAATGGCATTTTCCCCTACCACTTTCTAATAGTATGTTTTGATGCCAATGTTTATGTCTATCACTCTTCGAGTAACTGCAGTTCAGTTGTGGATTTTCTATACTGTTACACCTCGACAAAATTAGGTAATGAGGTTGCATAAGAAAGAACAAAATGTTCCATTGCATTTCTCATTTGTCTTGATCACGTGTCACAATATAACATAAGCGATCTTGGTGGTACACCCCACAATGTAATTTGCCATGAATGAAAGGAAACTCCTACAGTCTTACACTCAATCGGAAGCAGAATGCTCCAACAAAAAGTTGGTATTTGTTCTTTTTCGCTTTTGTTATTCGCGCTACTCTTTATGTTTTGAAGAAATCAACAGTTTTTTGTATTCGATTTTGTAAATAAAGAAATGATTTTGAATAAATATACCTCACTTGTAAAGGACCAGTGGTTTGCTGCGGATTAAAGGCGGAAACAGACTGTTGTCACGTCACGTGAGGTCGCCTGAACTGAACAAAAAGATTTGCTGTGGCTAGCACAGACACCATCCGCACACCTGCGCATGAGCGATTCTGCCCTTTTATGTCTATGAATGTGTGTACCAAATTTGGTTGTGATCGATTCCACCGTTTAGCTGGAAATGAGAGTTCAACAGACGTGCGCATGCGCGATTCTCCAAAAGCTATTCAGCTCTTATTTTTATGTCTAAGAATATGTGTAGGTACCAGTTTCAATTTTTTGGCACATGACAGCTCAGAAACACTGCGTTAAGGTGTGAAAGCATTTGATTTGCCTAAAATGGAAACTGGTTCCGTGAGTTCTTCCTCAAGTTCATCCGAGTAGGAAGAAGATTTGAAAATGGCAGCTGCTCATTTTTTTTTGTTTAGATTTTGGAAATCTGAAAAAAATTGTCTATCAAATGACACGAAAAGTAAACAGTACTCCCATAAGAAAAAACAAAGTTGATGATTGGTCAGTCGGAGACAAAATGTCGGATTTAAAACTTAAAACTTGTAGAGGGAAAAAAGTGGCCATAATAATGTGTTATTTATTTTGAAAATAGTATATTATATACTGAGGGACTAAAGTGTGTGTTTTAATCTCGTGGGTGCAGATTGTTGCCCGAAACGTAGTTGAGGGCAACAAGCACCCGAGGGATTAGGACGCACTTTAGTCCTGTGGTATATACGCTATTTTTTGTACTACGGTAATCAGCTACGGCAATTTCAATGTTAAAGTGCAAATTTGAAAGAAAAAATTTGATTGATTGTAGGATCAATATACCTGGTAATGTCAAATTGTGACCGTATAACGATAAATCTCAGTTTGATTTAAAGAGTCTATATGATATTCATTTTAAGAAGGTAGCGGTAGAAGGCATAGGGACAGTTTGACCTTCACTGTGATTGGTTAAAACACGAGGAGTCAGTATTACCCTGAAAAATAAAATGAGTGACGAATTCTGTCTGTTAGAAGTTTCAATTACAAACTAAACTGTTGAACTGTCATTAGCTGTCAATTTCAAAGATCCAAGAGTGATATCGTTTGATTTATATTTATATTTTTCAAATTTTTTGCCGTTTTATATTTTTCCTGTGTGTGTCGATCTTCAAACACAGCGCCATGTACTACCTTCTTATAATGAATGCAGAGTTTAAAACTACGGCGTACTAAAGTCACTAGATATAGAAAGTACCGCAATCATCCGCCATTTTTGGGCAAATTTGCTGCCAACTTAAAAAAATGGACAAATAAAATTTGAATAGCTGTCATTTTTTATAACCTCACTTCATAGTACTATCATGTTTTATAAAAATATATACAGATATCTCCAAACAGGTGGAACAATCCCTAACATTAAAGTTACTAGAATCTGGTAACTTCCGCCATTTTTGGGCAAAAATCATGCGTTCTCTCTCTAACACACGAGCCCAATGGATTGCGGTACTTTCTATATTTAGTGACTTTACGGCGTACAAATGATCGTTTAAAACCTACCGCCTTCCAAATTCAAAAAGATATATGGAAAACGGTATAATTAGTGTAAAATATGGTGCAAGAATAAATATGTACAATACAGGTAACCATTAATCATTAAATTGTATTTGACAATTCAGTGTGCACTGTCATCTTTTTGTCTCGCGTCGAGTTTTTCTCCCTCCGGGAAAAAAGTTGTACTGTAGTCCCTTAAATGAATGACAAAACACGTTGATTTACTCCACGGAGTACAAAAAAATTTTTAATTAGCTTCAGTAAAAAATAAAAACGATTTTGCAAAATTGCGTTTGTTTCAGGATATCTCCGAAAGTAGTCGGAATTTTTTCAGTTTCAAAACTGTATTTTGACAAAATATTAAAATACGCAACTTTGCCAAATTTAAACTACCTACCTCTCTCTTACAGTTGCCGAGATTCCTATGGTGTCCCTCGAATTTGAATCACCCTGTATAATGCCACTATCTTATGGTGTATAAATGCAATGGCCTCATGTACAATGGGGATATTTTGATTTTTTGGGAGCAAATTTATTGATCACGTTATCAAAGAGGTGCAACCGCATGCAACATCCTCTTCTGAACATTTAGCCCAGGAGTGCGATTTTTACTAAAATGCTTTTCGAATAGCATAAGTTTCATGTCGGGCAAGTAGAAGGCCATTCTTACTCCCCAAATATGCTGTTGCGGTATTGGCTACAATTTTCTGGCAGTCCGTAGCACAGGTCGAATACAAATGAGAGTTTAAATTGAATTAGACCATTATTAGCTAACACGTACTTTGTTTGCAGGCGCTTGCGTTTATAGCCTTCAGGCTCACGATGGAAGCATAATGTCCTTGACATACTCATCCAGCTACGTAATCTCTTTAGGTTCCGATGAACGACTGTGCGTCTGGGAGAGATTTCAAGGGCATCTGCTTAACACCATTCAAATTGTACATCCATTCCCGAGTAACGTTCTAATGTTAACGCCGCAATTAATCGTTACTGCTCGTTCGGGTGGATTGGTCGTGTGGGACGTCCGCAATGGCGAATGCGTAAAGACGATCGCCCTCGGGCGGTCCCCACTTGTTTTTGTTAAACAAATGCTTTTAGTTAGAGATGTCGTCTTATGTGACTTTGGAAATCAACTTCGCATGGTTCGTTTTCCTTTAATTACTAATAAGCTTGATTAAATTTATGTAGGGCACCTTCATAAATAGACAAAAACTGCGGGATTACTCAAAAAGTATTTCGTTAAGCCTATCATCGTTAATTTATTATTCCATTTATTCTTCACGTGGTGTTCTGATCTCTTTATAGGTGCTTTATTATTGTTTATAAAAGAGAAAATGTATCACTAAAAAATTTGACCTGTCCACCATCTTACTTAATCGTTTTTATGAAATTTTGACTAAAATCAGGACACTGTAATTGATTTTTGTGCATTTTAGGTGTAGCCCATTGTGGGCAGGCTTTGAATGCAGAATGTCTTTTAAGCATATATAAATTAAACAAATCTATTACATAATATTCTGTGGTTAAAACAGGGGGGACTTGCTACTCAGGCGATCGGGTAATCGTCTAATGGTCTAATATGTCTCAAACTTATTGCATGCTATAAATTAAAATTAATATTGAGTAATAATTAAATAAATTATACCAAATGTAAGGCCTTACGATCCCCCCCACCACTTGTCTGTTTCAAACATTATGGGCCCATGAAATCGTAGTGTTTTGTTTACTTATTTGACATAAACTTTTTGTTTGCGATGAATAATGATTGTTGCGGCAGTCTAAAATATGGACTCCGTCTGTAGTATAAGTACAAAGTGAATCCAGTTTATAGCAATGTAAGAAGACGGCAAGCTTGGAGGTAACCTATCACACTTCTACTAATGGCGTTTTATTGTATGTTCGTATAAAAATTATGATTGCGCGCATTTATTTCAAAATGGAGGCAAACAGAAAAAGATAAGAAACAATGTATGGAAGCTGAAAAATCGGTACCTTTTTTAAATGTTTTAAACTGCTTTTTAAGGCATTAGCTCCCATCTCTAAATTATTGTGGGCCTGTAAATTCTTTATCCTGATCACTTTGAGGTTTCGAGTTCCTCCAAAAATAGAATCATTAAAAAAACCTAAGGTATTTAAGTGAACCAACAAGTGGCAAGGTTTTTTTTAAAGAAAACGATAGTAAGATGTGTACAGAGCAAATTATTTTTCGTTATTTATGGAGGTGCAATGTCTGTTGATATAAGTGATACATTGTGCCTTGTGTGTTTTGATAAAAATGATTTAGCTGTAGTTTTTATATTACTCAATTTATTCATGATGTAGTGCAATTGTTTGTGTTTTATATTTTTATTTATTTATATTTATTTTGTTTTGTATCACAAGGTATTTAAAAAATACGTTTAAAGCCAAATTCGTCCAAATGTAGAGATATTTTCATAGATAACTATTATATATCGATCGTACCATTATTTATTAAATTATTTCTACAATATTAAAATAAATTTTTGCAATAATTTGTTTTTATTGTCTGTATATATCTTTTAATTGTCTAAGGATGTCTTTATAGCATAATTATTCAAATTCATATCGGTTTTTCGAGAACCTGTATGCAATAGGTGGATTGTGAATTTTGAGAGGGGGGCTGAACAGATATTGACGCACATTTAGACTTCACATTTGGAGTATGAGAAGAAGTTGAGCAAGAAACACTTCTAGGATTAAGTCGCGTTTAGGGTGCTTTAGAGAAAATGATGCATATGCTCTGATTGTTAATACGGCCATTGCATTAGCGCCCAAAACACCTGTGATAAGTTTCCAGTTTTTATATATAAATTAATTAGCATCGACATAATCTATATCCACCTCACTGTGAATACTGTGCTAATCTAAACAGTCGCCCCGCCAAAATGTCCCCCAAACAATGCGTCCTGATGCCAAGGTGTCTGTACCCATGTATCTTTTTTTCTTTCAATTATGTAGAGCCGAACCTCATTTTAGAGGTTCTAATCCTACTAGAATAAGGAATGGTTCGTTGAATATATTATAATCTGAAAATAAAGCACCTATCCATATAGCACAACAACTTTCCATGGATGTATTTAGAAGGTTCAGTCATGGACATTAAAACGTTTCTTGAACGTCCACATGAAGCACAGTGGATGTAACATGGACGTTCGCAGGAGGTTACTTTGGCGCAAAATTTTAACGAAATCATAGTACTTAACCGTTTTGGCGAAAAAAATTTTTTTTAACTTTGCAGGTTGTACAGAGAATAATAAGATTTTTCCAATTAATTAATAATAAATAAAAGTTGCTATTTGAAAAAAGAGGTGCGGTGCCGGCGCTCCAAAATTTTTGTCAAAAATTCGGTCCATTGTTTTTCGTTTCCGTATGTATGAACAAAATCCGTCCAGTCATATTACCTTGGAAAATTGCCAACCGGCGTACCTATGTTATATACAGATGGAAAAATTTATTTTTTAAGTTGTAATTTGTTTAAATTATCTAAAACGTCGACATTTGACAGAATTTTGATATGTCCAAAAAACGGTATCGCATTACCAATCTACCCCATGCTAGCGAAACTAAAATAAACACTGATAATTTTATTATTTATAGTTTATATTGTCTGTCATTAATCTTGTTGTTTGTTGACTGTGACTTATCTTATCCATGTAAATATGGTCAAAAGAATAAATACATGTACTTCGTACCACAACTAATTTGATGACAAATAAAAAAAATTGAATGAGACTATTTCTAAGCACGGGCGGGATATTCGGGATATTATTTTCTGAAATTACGCAACAATTCTGGCGCATTTTTAATCACGGTAAAATTTTGTCGTTTGCCATAGTAATTCTAATTATTTTAATATATGACGGAACAAATGTAATAAATTCGATAAAGAATAGGAGCGTTTTCTCCATATAAATTCGGTGTAATCGTGAGAACTGGTCTCAAAGTGAAACACAACACCCACAAAGTAGATAAATTCAAAGGAGATAGGACTGTAAAAGCAGTTTCCAACAATATCTCATTTAGAGATACATTTGTGATAAAAAACGGAACGTGTATTTTAATTATTGTAAATCGGCGGTTTTAACATAGCCCAGCACCAAATTATGGTTCACCCTTTTATGATCGCTCTGTATAATTTTTCTTATCAAGAGATTTGGCAACATTGTGAACAATTATAATTGTCTAAATCGTCCACGCCGTTCTATACATGTCGCGACTCCGAGGCATTTTTGTGGGCTTTTTAAAAAAAATCTACAAACCTAAAGTGCAATTACTCTGAATTGAGTACCCTTTTTTGGAAAAAAAAGTACTTTTTCATACAAAGAGTAGAGCTCGAGCCATTCGGATCCAAGACGATTGTTTTATTAATGCGGAATTCGCATCAAAAGATTTGAATTTAAAATAATAAAATGGGAAGGTCTACTTTTCGCATGCGCATGGAACGGCGTGGACGATTTAGGCAACCGTGTAATTCTTTGAAGTGTCAAATTTCAGTTTCCAAGTACTGTCAAGAATTCGCAATTGTAAGCAAACTGTTTCAGACGAGAAAAGCTTAGCTTTTCAATTTTTTGTTGCACAACTTGTGTTTGCGTTGTTTGTTTGTGATAGTTTTTCTTTTAAAAAATGGGTGTTCCTAAGTTTTTTAGATATATAAGCGAAAGGTATCCGTGCCTTTCCGAAATAGTAAAAGAATACCAGGTAAATTCCAACAGCTTTTTTCTTTGCAACATTTCATCATATTACTCAAAACAGATTCCAGAATTCGATAATTTATATCTGGACATGAACGGCATTATACATATGTGTTCGCATCCCGATGATGCCGACCCGCACTTTCGTATAAGCGAGGAGAAAATTTTCACCGACATTTTTCATTATATCGAAGTATTATTTAGAATGATTAAACCTCGTAAGTTATTCTTTATGGCTGTCGATGGTGTGGCGCCGAGGGCCAAAATGAACCAACAACGTGGTCGCCGGTTCCGTTCCGCCAAGGAAGCTCAGACTTCCGAAGCAAAGGCGCTTGAACGTGGTGAAGTTTTACCCACCGAAGCGAGGTTCGATTCGAATTGTATCACTCCCGGAACCGTTTTCATGGCTAACTTACATGAACAATTAAAGTATTTCATTGTTAATAAAATATCTACGGACGCATTGTGGAGGAACTGTAAAATTATCCTGTCAGGACATGAGGTTGCATATTTTTAGTGTATATAATTATTTAACTTGGTTTCGTAGACTCCTGGCGAGGGTGAGCACAAGATAATGGATTATATCAGGTATATGCGAGCACAACCCGGATATGATCCAAACACTAGGCATTGCTTATATGGTTTAGATGCCGATTTGATTATGTTAGGTTTGTGTACTCACGAACCGCATTTTTCTTTGCTTAGGGAGGAGGTAAGTGTTTGTTGTAACGGTTGTAAAATTACATTAAATTTTTGCTTGTGTTCAGGTTCGCTTTGGCAAGAAGTCGAATAAGAGGAAAAATATTCCCGAGCAAATTACATTTTATTTGTTACATCTTTCTTTAATGAGAGAATATTTAGAATTGGAGTTTCTTCCATTAAAAAGTAGTTTAAAGTTTGAATATGACATGGAGAAGATCATTGACGATTGGGTATGTATGTTTACGTGTTACGATTGTATTAACACAAACAAAGTACTACCATTGTATTAAAAAAGTTACAATGGTGTCATAGCGGAATATGCGGCGCATAACTGTTTGTGTCCGGCACTGTGTTCATTATTGCATCATTGAAACAAACTGCAATAGGCGATATACTAAATGTAGGGCCACCGAAAAAGAGTACCAGCATAAATTGCCTACTTTGAGTAGGATGAATATATAGAGATGAATATGGTTTTAAATTAAAGAGGGTTGGGAGTTTTTATTTTTACAGTTGGTAGTGATGATTGTGTTGTGTTGATGCCAGTACGATGTGGATCATGCAGCAGATGTGTTTTTGGTTTCAGAGATGAAATCAATATTGTGCATGTTTTTTTATGGTAGTCTTTAGCATTCCTAGTTTCGACGAGCCATAAAGTTTTTAGGACTTCCAACACAAGACAATTGAATACACTTGACATTTTCACCCGATGTTTTTAGCAGACTTGGTGATTTTTGTTTGCTTACACTTCCTGTTTTTTTACTATACCGCCATGATATTATCATGTTGGTATGGTCAATTTAAAAAGACAGGAAGTGTAAGCAAACAAAGGTCAGGTGCATCGATGGTTAGTTTGTCTAAAATTACGTTCCACACACAATTGATTTTTTTATACATTTAATAGTAATAGTATAGCGTTCTGTTACCAAATAAGTATTTCAAAACTTTTAGAGCGCTTTGAGACGATCGCCATCAGGTAGGTATAATTGATCTGTCATAATTTTGAATAGCTTTGTATCGGTTTGTCTTTCCGTTGGTACCATACATGGTATATACAGTGTGTCCCAGATCGCGTGGGATTGCATGGGTAACTTTGTTATTATTAAAGATAGAGAGTTGGTTAAATGGGCAATGTTTTGCAGTTTTGGATGCTTATTTAAAATTTCCTTATGGAAATTCAAAATGTCGCATAGGTTCGACGTAAATTCAAAAAAACTAAAATTGGTCATCGAAAGTATAAGAGATATAAAAAAAAGTTTTATATAAAAGTGACTGTCTTTGATACTCTTAATTTAGAATTGATGTCAAAAAAAACTTCAAGATGGCCACTTTTGAGAGACATTTACCAACTTCCTAAAGTTAAATGGGCGCCATATTGGATTTTTAGATTACTTGATAGATTTTTTAATTCTCTTTTCAACGAGCCATCATAACATAAGATTGAAAATAAGATACCAGTTATATTAACGGTTTTAGTATTTTAATCAAGTAGTCTGTGACGAATAAAAAAAAACAAAAAATCTATTCGAGGCAACAAAACAATGAAAATAATTACACCAGACGTTTAAAATACTGGCCATTATTAGTGAAACACACTTCAAGACAGTAGTTTAGGCAACGTGTTGCCATTGATGATTATTATTGTAGTGGTAGCTACTTCCACTTTACTTTTATTTTTTAATTAAGTACTTACTTTTATAATTTAATGTACCTACTGTACATAATATAATTCGTGAATTGTGACCTGAGCAGCCAGCTTGTTGGTAGGTATAGCATAAACCAACCCTTTCTTCGAAACATACGTTGTCGAGAAAAATCCTTTAAGGAAGTTTATTGGAGAATTTGTAAATCATGGTGAGCAGTTAAAGATCCAACAAAGATTACCGGTCCAATTGCATGACTTCCCATTATGCCACAAAATACATTAATTTAAAAAAATATTACTTGATTTCGGCGTGAAACTACAACATGTAGGTTTTCCTGTGACGAGTATAGTGTTCATTATGTCGATTTGAACACTCCGCAGTTAGAAAAATAAGATTCGCCTATCCATATACTCGGACTGGTAAAACTGTTAGTTTTGATATTCTTGCGGATAAACCACCTACTGACCTACAAAATCTGACCTGAGACAATACATCAATACATTGTGTAAAATAAAGAGGTGTGTTGAAATGTGTTTAACTGGATAATGGCATGACATTTTTTCGAGGGGATAGTTTGTAATTATACCACCAATTGTAGGTATGTAAGTATGGATAATAAGATAGTCATAAGATGTTATAAAAATCAAAATTTTTCTAGGCCTACTTATATAAAATTTTGGAGGGAGTTGTAATGCCCAAACCCCCCTCTCATGAGTGCGCCCCTGATTTTTTTAAACATCTGATGTAATTATTTTCATTGTTTTGTTGGTTCGAATAGATTTTGTTTTGTTTTTTTTTAATTCATCACAGCCTACTTGATTAAAATATAAAAACCGTTGATATAACTGGTATCTTATTTTCAATCTTATGTTATGATGGCTCGTTGAAAAGAGAATTAAAAAATCTATCAAGTAATCTAAAAATCCGATATAGCGCCTATTAAACTTTAGGAAGTTGGTAAATGTTCCTCAAAAGTAGCCATCTTGAATTTTTTTGACATCAATTCTAAATTAAGCGTATCAAAAAGACAGTCACTTTTACATAAAACTTTTTTGTATATCTTATGTACCCTTTCGGTAGGACATAAAACATACGCAAACATTTACAAAAAAATAAAAATTATGTAATCATTGTGAACACCTACGTTGGTTTGCTACTATTCAACATTATGAATTATGTATCTGTTATGTTTTTGTTACGCTTATGTCCATTGTGAACAAGCACTTATACTTTCGATGATATAAGACATTCAAGGAAATGACCAATTTTAGTTTTTTTGAATTTACGTCAAACCTATGCGACATTTTTAGGTCCCAAGAGTTCGTGACAATCGCGTTCTCGCGTTCAAAATTATTATTGATTGTATTTTACATTTCCGGTATATTCCTACTGGTCTCCGACATATATTAAAATTTATACATTCTAAAGGCAGGTTGACACTGGCAGGGAAGCACGTTTGTCTCTTACGTCTTCGTAGACCACGTCAACAATAGAGCCGTGATATTAAAATAGAAACACATTCACATCCACTGCGAGGCTCCACAACGTCAAAAATTGACAATTTTTTTATTACTCTTGACACACTTGTCAATGGCGTTGCTTCTTGCTTCCAAACTTTGGTGTAGTATTGTTTACATAGTTTAGTACTATACCATTGACGATAGGTGGCGCAACAGTAAAATCGTTTTTAAAGGTAGATAGTTTAGCATCGTTTGGACAAACAAAATTAGTAAAGTTTTAATTTTGGATTCCTTATTTTTATGTTCAAAGATTTTCAGGTAACAAGATTAGAATTCATTTCGCAACCTTTTCTTCAAGGTTTACCGTCGTGGGGAAATATTGAGCCAGTCCGTGTGGGGCAGTTTAGTTTAGTTCGGGCATAATGTCTAGTGGGTTAGGTTGGTAGAGCAGCCTTAGCTGAAACTCCGCCCACTCAACAGTAAATAAATAACACATTTTTGAAAAATGTTTACTTATATGGTGAATGGTTATTGAGAAAAATTTTAAAAATAGAACTTTTTATAGGAGCTTTCAGAGCAAACGTTTCTCACAACATATTTTTAGACAACAGGAGTGAAGCAAGGCAATGTACCTCCTTGCTATTACTATATGCCAATGAAGCAACAGGAGTTGAAAGTTTGTCTATAACACAAAATAAAACAAGCGAACCATACCGAATACTACAAGAAATTCTAAAATATTAATTATTACCTACATATATTAAATAGTTACAAAAATGGATCTGGTCAAAGTGACCAAATTTATTGATGTTAATTTGAAGGTCTCCAGTTTCTGGAGATCAGAACTGTGATGTGATTTAACTCCGCAATGTAGCAGTGTTACATAATATGTTTCAGAATCTGATCTACAATGCAATTATTTAATTGGGCCGATACATTTTCAGCTTTCAGGTCTATTGTCTGCTTACAAACTGTTACAAAGTTAGATGCCTCTTGCTGGCTAAGCGTTGCACCGGCTCGAAATAAAGGCATCATTATCATTGGCAGCTGCACTACCTTTTCCCAATTAAAATTCCTGTTTTCGTCCATCATTCCCATACGTGTATGCCAACAGATTGCATATTCGTTCAGGACCGGGTCGTCCAGCTTGACCTTGTACTGTTTATCGAAGAATGTCGCCAATTTGTTTATATCAATCTTTAGAGCGTTCATACATTCGTGATCTTCTGGCGTTATCACTTCGGTGAGAGTTTCCGCGTGCGCTATCTGATTGCCTTGTTTATGATTTAAGAGCTTTGTGTTTATATTTACCTGAACGCGTACAGCTGCCAGTAGAATAAAAGGAACTTGCCACATTATGATTTATAACTGAACCTATTTTTCAAGTTAGATTGCTACCCAATTTCTTATCATTGTTTATTTCAAAATGATATATCAATTGATTATTAATATCTCCTTCGTTCAGTGAGTTTTGATACTCAGTTATTCATGTATAAAATCATTTAGTGCACACGCCATATTTTGGGACACCAAAATGGCCTGCTTGCTATTCATTGAGTGTGTGAGAACACAATATTAGAATCTTGTAGCTATTCTTAGTGGTAGTTGCATACAAAAATAGGCAAAGGGAAATGAAGGACTATACCTGTATAACCCTGGACGATAAAAAATATGTAATTAAGATACTTGGTGGTGATTGTCACTGATAGTCTAGAAGAAACATAGCAGAAAGAATACAAACACAAAATTACAAATTCTATATTATGAAACTTAATCCTAACGCTATTCTTATCAATACCAGAAGGTCAAGTATTGCGCATCTCTGAATAAAATAAAAAGTAAAATAAACACACACTACATTATAATTTGCTCAATTGATCACCAATACAATTATTTAGGGTGGTTGCAATATTTTGAGAGGCTAAAACATCTTCTCTGCACTTTTGCAATACATTGGCCGCTACTTCTTCTTTGTTAGCCATATCTTGCTTCCCATATAGGGGCATAATCATGATCGGTAGTTGTACTAAGTTGTCCCAATTTAAATTGTTATTATCGTCCATCATTTTCATACGTTTTAACCAGCAAACCCCTTCCGCTAGTAATACTTGATCGTCAGGCTTGAGTTTAAAATCATCGTCGAAATGTGCTAGAAGTTGGTTTACATCAATGTTTAAATCTTCCATGCATTGATAGTCTTCTTTAGTTAAAAGGTCCAGAATAGATGCTCCAAACGCGATCTGAAATGATTTTGTAAGCGTTGCTTTATTGTGCTTGGACACTTACAGTAAAATATACTGCTGTAAAAGCTACACCCTTAATAACCTGCATTCTTAAGTACGCCTAGAGCTACACTAACGTAAAGTAACACAGGCTTCTTACGCGTTATATTTTTATCAAAGTCAAGGGCATAACGAAAGTTATCACATTTGCCGATTCGATAACAAATCACAACTTGGAATTATTAGTTTTATTGATCATTCGGTTTGTCTTTTGTACTTCACACTACAAGAACACGGAAATAAAGTTAACTCAGCCATCCGAATGACTATACCAGAGTTCGCAAATAGTCTCTATTTTAGACATTGGTCTCTTTTTTCAATGCTGGTCTCTAAAAGTCTCTATTTTTCATATTTGGTCTCTAAAGTCTCTAAATTTTGCATGTTAAAAAAGTATAATTCATAATTGATAAACCGCAGAAATTTTACATTTTTAGCGTATTTTTTAAGAATTAAAAAAAATGCGTTTTGTCCGTCCGGACCCACTTCTGCCATTTCGAACTACTTCTAGGAGAATGGTAGGTAATCCTGGAATTCTTTGCCGTAGGTAGCCTATACTTTGAAGGTGTGCCAGACGGCCACCAAATTTCGCTGTCTAAAAGGCCCCCCCCCCTCCACGAATTATTTCCTGAGATGCTGTTTTTGAAAGTAAAACGTGCATAACTTTTACATACGACAACCAATTGATCTCAACGAAAGGAACCGTTTTCTACCAACTACTGCCCTTCTTTCTGTCCTCTTATCAAAGTACGGTGAGGAGGGGAAGGGGGGGGGTGGAACTAGTTTTATCCTTCATGGATGAAAGGTCTCAACGAAAGGAAAATTAATTTTTACCAGCCATAGCCCTCCTCCTCGACCTCTTATCGCGATCGGGTATATTCCCTTATACCTTGAGAACGGATTGTCGGAAGAGGGTACCCACAAAGGGCCATTGGGACGTCTGCAAGAAATATATCCATTGGTGATGTCAAAAAAAAAGCTATTTGGGTTAAAAAAAATGCGTTTTATCCTCACAAGAGTTGTGCACAATTTATACTTGTTTAGATACAGGGTGATTCCTATAGTACCTGCCACCGTTTGGGAGCGTATAGGGGGTGCCTAGGGGAGTATTTTGATATAGGACACTTGGGGTCGGAAATCTAAAACAAGGGCGCCAGAACCAAATTTATCTTCTGGAATTTCACGCCTGTATGTAGGCAACCCAACCGACCGACGTTTCGCGCGGAGCGATGCAGAGCGAGTTAGCGCGAGGAAGCGACATGGGAGGGAAAACGACAGTCAAAAGCAATAACGTTTACAAGTGTTCAACGTGGCCACCGTTGTTCTCAATGCACTTCCTACATCTAGCCAACTATTATTATACTATTGCCATAGTGTTTATTCACTTGATACGCGTCGTTGCAGACGGGATTTCGTGGGTTTAAACAAAATTCTGATCAAGTGTCAGCCCCACATCGCCGCCTGAGATCGCACCGTGTGCACCGCCGGCCGGTTGGGTTGCCTACCTACAGGCGCGAAATTCCAGAAGGTAAATTTGGCTCTGGCACCCTTATTTTTAGATTTCCGACCCCAAGTGTCCTATATCAAAATACTCCCCTACGCACCACCTACACGCTCCCAAACGGTGGCAGGTACTATAGGAATCACCCTGTATATTGCCGTTTATGTATCTCATCTATTACAAAATAAATATTTTTTGCTTAATTTTGTATGGAAATTGGTTCTCGAAGGTCTCTAAATGGTCTCTATTTTTAAATATGTAATTAGAGACCAAGTCTATTTTTTTGCTAAAATCAGTTGCGAACCCTGCTATACAGATCCTGCGTAAATTTTAAATTGAAAAATGTTTTGAAGATTGTGAAAGTTCGGAAATGTAAGTCGAAATAAATTACATTGGAAGAGTAAACTTTGGAAATGGTAGTTTACCGAATAAAACCAGAAATATTCTGTAAGAGAAGAACTTACCAAGCGACAAATTAATGTATCACAAAATTAATTGTGTGTAATGATGTGAATGCATAACATATAATTATAACAATATTAACAAAATATGTACATATAGCCTTCGGGAGATCAGGTCAGAGGACAATGGGTCAGGTAAACAGGTATCAAGATTCTTTGAAAGGGTGACTCATCTTTGGTGCAATAATTCTTCTGTTAAGAGCAAGATGGAAAATTACATGGCCTTGTAGGGTAAATTCAATATTACAACAAAATATGTGGAAATTTTGAATGGCAGCTCATATAACACACATAGATTCTAAACCGAAGACTTTTAATTAGCAGAATCTCGCCCCCGAGATAGACAACTCGTCCATCGTTCGGGGTTTCGAGCCTTCAGTTGATTGTTGATATCAGTTTCGGTATTGAGTGTCGTAACTCATTTGGTTACAGTTTTTGCCACTCCCGTGACCGTCTCTTACAAACGACAAGTCTGTACACATACCCACATCAAACAATTCGTTCATTTCATTTATAAAAGGTAGTTGATACGAATCTCTGAGTAATATTTGACATATTATTTTCTTTATCTAACTTGACGAAAAAAAACCCCCTGTATTTCCATAAAAGAATTTGTTAAATTGGTGTACTCTTTCTCCGCTGTTAAAATAAGGCGTTTGAATAATGTTAGTATTTTCGCTTATGGAAATACCTACTTAATGGTAAAATCATTTTTAATTCTAGGTGCTAATGGGTTTTTTGGTGGGAAATGACTTCATACCACATCTCCCGAACATGCACATCGACGGCGGCGCCTTACCAGTTTTGTATAGGGCGTACATGAAGGTCCTACCGCAGCTAGGCGGTTACATTAACGAAGCCGGTACTCTAAACCTATCTAGGTTTGAAATTTTTATTAAAGAGTTAGGCAATATCGACATTAAGAATTTTTCTGACAAATACGCTGATCTCAAGTGGTTCGAAGCAAAAAGGCTGGAGGGCAAGAAAATAGTTGAGGAAAACGTAAGAGTGTAATTAGGTGTTGTTCGTTAATAATCTTGTTTGCAGGGACATGTGGAAAATGGTAAGAAAGGAGAATCAGATTATTTGCTTGATTTAGAATCTGCGAAAAAAGATATCATCAAATGTATGCAAAGGGTATGTCTCACGTATGACTGGCGATAGTGTTAACGTTTCCTTTCAGCTGAAATGTGAACCCCAAAGCCCCCAAGATGTGGAAGAGGAATCTGATTTAATTAATAGCGAATTGGATCACAATGAATTTGATGTACTAATTAGTGAATCAGAATCGCAGAGTGAAGAAGATGACGAACTTTTTCAAGCAGAATTTATTCAACATAAGACTGATTATTATATGAATAAGTTAGAATATGAAAATGTAAATGAGTAAGTATCATGAGTGTACTTCTGTATGCAATTTGATATTGAAGTTCTGGCCTTCAATGTTTTCAGGGAAGACAGAGCGTCGGGAAATATAAAACTGGAATAGCTACACTACAATATTTTCTGATATTATGAAGCTTATTCTTTTTTGGCCAGTGGTTTTTTTCTTGCACATTTATTCTTCTGATGTCTGTATACAGGAAATGTCGGGTGCGTTGCGCGCATGTGCAGAACTAACTTTCTTATTGATGGTGCAATCTTTATGAAATTTAGTAAAAGCATACTATGTCAAACATTTGGGGGGGGGGGGGATTTATATGCGAATATCTTGAAAACGGAGTGTCGTAAAATGTGGTATTTTATATATAAGCTCTGCATGCTTCTTTTTTTTTTCAACTGGTGAGGAGACGAAATTAAGCAGGGAGAAATAATCTACATTATGGTAAATGATATTTCGCCCCACGTAATTACCCTCCCCACAAGGCCACAAGTCCATATATACGTGTGTAGGTCCACAGATTAAAGGCTTGTTTTACCTTTACCGGTGCCTTTACTTGCTTTTCTGAGAATTTAGATTTTACCCGTCATTGCCTTCCGTTAACCGTTGCCAGCGTGACTTTTGTTAACCCGCATCCTCTGTATTTTGTGTGCGTGCTCACCAGGAATTGGGACAGTAATATGCCTTCGAGGTGAGTGGGTGGTTGCACTACCCTCAATAAAACGGCAACTCTTTTGAAACTTTATTTAAAGGTAGAAACGTTGTAGCACCTCATCCTATCCATTTTCTCTGGTAACTACAGTTCCACGTTGTATTTACGTAACGAATGGGTTACAATAACAACCAACTACCTTAGTTACATCTACCATTATACCTACACCTTGGCGCCCGAGCAGGGATCAAGGGTTCCTGTGCTGGCCCACAGCCTCAGGGTGACTACAGTATAAATCATTCGGAAATCAAAGTAAATTGTAACTTAATAAATAAATACAAAATGAAATTAGTATCTAAATGTAAAACTGATCCGGACTACGGTTTCGCATAGGATTCATTGATTTTGTTTAATAAATTTGTTTCATTTGTACATGTTCTATGTGGTGTTTAAACAAGCCCCGATTATGACCTAGATTAAGAGTTCTCATGCTACATTTTTCTGTTGGTATCCAGGGTTATGTAGGTGTTATTGAGATTTCTGGTAATAACAGATGCTCTATGTCCCTTGAAAAAATTATTATCATTTCGTATAAAAGATTTTGAGAGTACCTGTGTTTCATTGAGCTACAGTCCTGGATGTGGACAAAGCATAGCCGTCGGTAGGATCAAAACTTCCAATGCGAATCACTCGACAATGGAGTGTTGAAAGAGGGTACTTACAAAGGTAAAATAATATAATCAACTAAGTGCATCTATCAGTAGGGTGAAATCTTCAAATGCGAATATCTCGAAAATAAGAGTGTCATATGGCAAAAGTCCTGAAATTGATTCCAGGTCCACAGATGGAGGTATAGCATGGACTAATAGATGGATAACGAGCACCTAAGTACTACCACTTTGTAACTGCACCAAATTAGATAATTCCTTTTTTGTTGTTTGCTATTATCAGGACAATGTTTGTAAAAAAGATAATTTTCAAAAATTGTATGGAAAGACAAAAATCAATTTTACTCTTTTCCGTCATTTTAAATCGTAATGTAACGAACAGATGGCGCCAAAACGAGATCTACTACGGCTCTAGAAGAATCCATATCGTCGACTTCGGGGGAGAGGCGAAAAAATAGGCCGTCAAACGTACCAATTTACGCATTCCCGCGAAGGTCTTTTGATGTAGTAAGACACTTTTCGAAATTCCCACGGGAACGGCAACAAACAGGATGTTATGTTTGAGGCAAAAACAGACTTTTGACAGTTCGAACGTATGTTTCTTTGAAGGCGTTAAGGTATACTTCGACAGACACTCGCCCGAAGTTCCCACGGGAACGGGGTATGGGAAAAAAACGGGATTTCTCAAAGGCGGTACGAAGTTCGCTGATGTTGCTAGTCTTTTTATAAATAAATTGTTGACCTTGTTTTAAATTTCGAACTCTTCATTGCTTACAGTTTTTGATGCGAGGAATAAACTAAAAAAAGAGATCTTTTTACCTCCTTTTTATTTCCTAACTCTGCTAGTCTCTGAAGTTCTGCCTTGCTTAGTGTAGCGAATGGATACTCGACTACTGCACTGGGGGCAAATTTGAACTATTTTTTTGTCTTATTGTTAGACAGTCTGTATAGAATGTTGATTGTTAGTGTACTGAAATGTTTACAGGGAAGTATTGAAGTCTCAAACGAAAGAATATATACGGGCAATTCAATGGAATCTCCATTATTATTACAATGGAGTCTGTTCATGGTCGTGGTATTATCCTCACCATTATGCGCCCTACATTTCGGACATAAAGGATTTTGCAGACCTAAAATTCGAATTTGAACTTGGCAAGCCGTTCCAACCATATGAACAGGTAATCTTGTGCCTTATTCTTACAAATTTCGATAACTTCCGATTCATCCTGTATATGGGTTAGCGACAGGTTTGCTGCTATATATTAATTTTATTTCTTTTGTTTAGTTATTAGCTGTATTGCCAGCGGCTAGTAGAGTCCTTCTCCCGCTACCTTACCAAAAACTAATGACTGAAGATGATTCCCTAATTAAAATGTACTATCCCGAAGAGTTTAAGACGGACTTAAACGGAAAACGAATGGAGTGGGAGGCCGTTGTCCTCATACCTTTCATAGAAGAGGTAAAATACGTTCCAAACCGCATTATTTATAACCTCTTCAAACAGGAGCTGCTATTGCAAGCAATGGAATCGTGTAATTTAGAATTGACAGGAGAGGAGGTCGAACGAAATACGCACGGCCCGATGTTAGTCTATCGATATACCCCTGAAAACATGCAACAATACAATGCGCCGAAGTATTTCCCAACCATAACTGCTTCGCACGCCAAGTGCGAGACCGTTAACATTAGTGATATACGAGTTCCAATAGAGAATCTAGTCAAGGGAGCGTATCCCGGCGCAAAGTTCGATGTATATTATCCCGGATTTCCGACGTTGAAACATTTAGAATATACCGTAAGGACCTTCATAGATGAACGTTAATTAATAGCATCTTTAGGCATCACTCAAAAAAGCAAAGGTACGCGTATTCGAACAGCCGAGTAGGTACGAAAGTATGATTTTGCAAATAACGCAACCTGACGATGAACTACCGCAACCTGACGCTTTTGCGAAAGATTTACTGGGGACAAGTGTACATGTCGGATGGCCTCATTTAGTGGAGGCTCTGTAAGTCTATGGTAATCAGAAACTTGTGCTATGCCATTGTACAAGTCTTTAGGTTGCCTAAGGGTTAACCCTTTGATCTTATTCACCATGTAGCTGTTTCCAGGGCGGTGGGTATTTCCACAAATGACTTTAAATATCACAGCACTGGTCAGATCGGTCAGTACAATGTCGTCGATAACAAATCTCCTGTAACCGGATCGTGGAAATCGGAAAGGAACGCCATAGTGGAACAGTAAGTTGCACTTTGTACATCGTGAAGGTAAATACAATTGATTCAATTTAGTTACCAAAATCGGCTCGGTATCAATGTCGGCAAAACAGAAATGTTGGTACACGTTAAACTGTTGACTGGCAGGAAATACATATTCAAGAACAATAAGTGTATCGCGTTAGAAAAACAATGGACCAATGTAGCTAGCGCTTATCCGTTACAAACTGTTGTCCACAACATTAGAGTTTACGAGGAAAAGTTCGCGTCCTACAACAATATCGAAGATCTTTTTCCTGTCGGTTCACAGTGTTTTATGCTGGGTCATCCCTGTTACGGTGCTCTTGGTGAGGTTGGTATTAAGCGCTACTGTACTGGTTCTTTTATTTGAAATGTAACGGGAACCATTCTCACGTTGTAGGTTATAGACAGCACTGAGACTCTGAAAAATGGTAGAATAAAACTTTGTATGAAAAAGCAGGAGGAGCCGGACCTTTCACCAGTAAGGCATTTAGACCATAACATAGCTGTACGATTCATGAACATTCACATGGCGTCGACAAAATTAGGTAGGAAAACAAACAATTTTAATCACCCTGTTAACGATTTTCTGACAATTGATGAAACATCAGACAGGGCCACTAGTTTTACTGAACAATGCCATTGTCTTGAGTTGAATTTGAACCCACTGACAAACAGGATACTTATCTGGTGCCCTTACTTAGTGACATGTTAATAAGTTAAAAGTCTGGTGACATTTGATAAAACACAAGAGAGCACAGCATTGAACTGTCTACTAAATGCAACTGGAAGGGGGACCAGACCAGTACAGACGACAAATGCATAGTATTGACCCCGTGAAACAGGAAGAGGTGGTGCTATAACTATTTCAGTCGCTCTTATTGCGCACAGTTTGTTTATTACCACGTGTGGTAGAGAATCCGTGATTTTATTGTTCACCAGCGTTTTTCTGGTAAGCTCACAAAATGTGAATATGCAACATTGTGTGGCATATCACTGCTTAACCGGACTATGTTCTTAAGTTCTGGTAACACTGTGAGGTATCTCAAGATGCGCAAAACTGTCTAAATGAAACTACATAACAATTATTCCACAAACTAACGGAATAAGAAAATCATGGAAAATAAATATTGTTGTGTAAACTACGTTATGAGGGCGTTTTATTGAGCTTAAGTGCGTATAATAATAATAATAATGGGTTACCCTCTCTGTGTGAATTTCAATTATTTTTAAGCGTAAATGTGGTCGTTAATTTGAAATTGAACACAATTTCGATCATGGTATTTGAATTTGAAGTTAATGTGATTTTGTTTGTTTGTTTGTTTATTTTGTTAAAATAATAGAATAGTATTTTGATTTTATTTTATTGTTCATTTAGAAAGGACTTGTTACGGTTATCTCATTTAAATCCGGTCGTTGCGATAAGAAATGTTATCGCTGCGTAAACTAATGAGTTTCAAGATAAGAAAACGTAGGTGTTCTGTATTCAAACATGACGTAGTAATTTGTTCAGGCCGCATTTATTGGTACCTGTTACGGAAAACTTCGCTAAGAGAATGGTATGATATCAGTAGAGCAGTGTAAGGCATTTGGCATATTTCATAGAAAATTGCCAAACCTCTAGTTTACACTATATTAACAGTAAAATTTAAATCGTCATAGCTACTGCATTCAAAAAGAACGAACTAAATATGAATGAATGTATAGGAGTAGTGGCGGTCTTGGACTGATTAGCACAGGGCCTATCCATCGGTTTATATGGATAACGTTCAACAAATTAGAGACAAGCTGAAATTTGGCAAGGTACTTTGTTATAAGGGTCTAATCGCCCTCTGAAACCCCAGCGTCGAGGCGTTGAGCATTGAGTTTTTTGCAAATTTATTTGTAAAAAGGTAGCTTTTAATCTCACTTCGTCCGGCTGGCTGGCTGGGAGGAAATGCGGGTCCGTAGAAGAACGCTTGTGGAAAGAGGAGGAGTTGTACAATTGTACATGTACCTACTGGGGCCATGTAATGAACAACTTTAGGGACGGGGCTTCAAGATCTGCTGAGTATAAAACTTTATTTAAACGAAATATTTAAAATTGTGTAACAAAGAAGAAAACAATAATTAATTATAACAAAAAAATTTCGTCGAACTGTTTTTCAGTTGGGAGAGTGCCCAGGATTTTTTTGTCCGTTTTTTATGCTCTTTCCATTGATGCATAGTAAAGATATGGTTTCGATTTGAAAATTTCAAGTTTTTGACCAAGAACCGATTGTCAACTTTGAACGATTATTCGTATTATTTTCGAATAACATTTGAAAATCAGACCAATAACGTGGATTTTTAGCTGTCCATTCATAAAAAAAAACATTTTGCTAAGTTGTCAGACAACAGTGATATGGCTGAAATTACTGAACCTCTGAAAAAGTGAAAAAATGTCAAACTTCTAAACTGTGTCAGTTAGACATAGCATCATATTGACAAAGTCATACTGATTTTTTTATGAGGAATTCAAAAATGGCATCAGAAAAGATAGTGCCATTTGCAATAATAATGGTTTTTATTGATTAGGAAAAATTGGTTCCTACACCATAACATAGAGTAAATAATATAAAGAGGTTCCATGCTGTATAAATTTGTGGCAGTGAGAGACTATCCCTGAACATAGATGGCGAAAAGCAAATGCCGACGCTCCCTCTGAATTGAAGAATAGTATACTAAATTATTACTAACACTGCTTGTTAATGTTGTTATCTCAGCTCGCTGTGCATTAATAAGTGGAGAATGGAGTGGGCGACACGCGACCCTGAAATGTATACTTTTATAGGTATATCAGCAACATTTTGCTACTCACATAACATAATGAATTGCTGCTTATTCTGCCATTAACGAAAGATGGTCTTTACCTTGACCTACCACAATTTGTCATTTAATAATAAACTTTTGCATACCGTTTGATGATGCCCATTATAGAACATTATCTTAGCTATATTTGCATCGCAAGACGGCATAGCATTTTAAATGACATCACTGATTTACCTAACAATTATTTTATGAAAACTCAAATTCGTATATTGTGTACAATAGGCAAAAAAATGTCATATTTATTGTGTGCATGTTTTTGAACATGAGAAATACATGCATGTATGGGGTGCTAGGATTTGGCCCATTTTTAATAAGTTTATTACACATGATATATAGTATTAAGTATAGCCCATACACTGCCTTTTTTTGAGGCCCAAAAAAAAATTGTCTCAGATCGACCCGGAAAAAAAGTTTTCTTATAGAATGTGGCCTGTAGAATTGATTGGGCTGCTAGTTCAAAAGTTACAGCCCTTTGAATTTTCTTTGGAAATTGGTTTCTAGTCTATAACCTTTGATTGAGAAGTCTGATCGAAAATGTACGAATTGTTTTGGATTCTACGCCCCAAAATTAATAAGAAAAAGTGTTTTCCCGAGAAATTTTGGTGCAGTCGATTTTTGGCAAAAAAGGAAGGTTATATACAGGGTCATTCTTGACGAGCGTCAGTTAGAAAGATATGGAAAACCTTTGAAAATTAAGCTGAACTGATAAGTCCTTTAAGGGTTTTGGCACATGATGAATTGAACTAAAATATTTTCAAAAGGGCGCCACTTCCGGAAATACCGGAAGTAGCCATCAACTTTGTTATTTTAAATAGGGACCCTCTATTTTTTCTACATTTTCGGATTCTACGTCGAATTTGGAGTACAACGATATCCCATAGTTGACTCTTTGCTCCAAGGGCTTCGCCGATATTCAAGTTTTTGTGTCAAAAATTGAATTTGCAGGGGTAACTTTAAAAATTTATTATTCGAAAACTGTGAGAGATATTGCAAAACAGTTTTCAATGCTTTATTAAGGAAAGATCAAATTTTCTTATGGTATGCGTAACCGTCTAAAAAAGTGAGACTACGTCACTTTTTCAAAGCTCTCAACTTTTAAACTTTTAAATATCCGTAACTCCATTTTTTCAAATGGCACCCCCCATTTTGTTCTTCACCCTTGTTTTCCTTTTTCCCAGACGTTTAATTTGATGCAAAATGTCAAAAGCTGCTTCAAACGGTTTCCGAGATATTCCATGTTTTAGTTACTTCTTGTGGAAAGTTGATAAAAAAATTAAATCGCTTGATGTTATTCTTTTGTTTTTATTATGATAATGTTTTTTTGCCCCAAAAAAAAAATATTGTATATAATATACATCTTTATATACAATGGTAGTATGGATGGAATTGATCTTTTCTCTCACAAATACACTATACTTACAGTACATTAGTGAATTGCGCAAAAGGACCTTGTTTGCGTAAATTCCACACAAAATTGCTAAAGCAGTGTTAAAACGGTCTACGTGTACCGCTAATCCAACAAAAACGTTAGAAATTATACGCATAATCAGTTATATTTTCTCGCTGTACCTATTTAATTTTCATTGCTAACTAAATTCAAATAAAGTTTGTAATTGGGTAAAGGCAATGGTAAAGGTAAGGCGTTAAAATAATAAAATAAATAGGTCTATGGCCTGAAAGACTTCTTGCATAGGAAGCATAATATCACATTCCGGTGATTAAATATAATGCTGACAGTATCATGGTCTGTGTCTGGTGCAAAGTAATGACGTAATTCAAATCTCAACTTTGTTGTTAGTATATTTAAATAGGTAATACAGGTTACATGCTGCTATATGGTAATACAGCGATACAACAGCTTTGATGAACAGTCACAAGATAGCAACACTTCCTTACAAGATTTTCTACTGCAACAATGGCCCGTATGAATAAAAGTAAGCAAATGCTTATACTTGCAAAATTCAAAGTAAATACTCCTAACTGCCGCTTCATACTGGTCTGTTTAGCATGGTTTAGCAGCGCTGCACTGCGTCCTGTCCTTCTGCTTAGAAGCGCTGCTAAGTCGCCCAGTGCGAAGGAGCACTTACGAGTATTTACTTTGAATTTTGCAAGTATAAGCATTTGCTTACTTTTATTCATACGGGCCCATATCCTATCCCATGACAGCTCTTTATATTATTTACTCTATGACCATAATCAATAGGTTCAGGCTCAGATAAACCATTAGGTTATCTGTTCAATAAGAAAGTTCCGGTATCGTTCTGATACAACCGCAAAAGCGGCCTTCTTGAAAATATGTTTAAATGATTCATTTTGATCCATTATTCAAAAAAGGTAATGGGTCCCGAATTAAAATTCCAGACTGTTGCTGAGATACTTCTAATGGTCCACTTAAAAACACCACCCTGTAGAAACATGTAAAAAAAGTAACTTTTAAAAACATTCAGTTGCTCCCCCCCCCCCCCGCCCCTTTTTGAAAATGTGTCATGCCTTAACCGTGATGGCGTTAGTTTTAATTCAAGTGGCGCAATTGAGCGCATATCCCGATGTATCAGATGGCATAGATACCAGCGACAAAATACGAAGTGGGAGGGGGGCTACCTATACTTGGCCCCTCCCAAATGTGTTGTTTTTGGATTGCTAAAAAAACGATAATGGTGCAAGAGTTATTATCGGTGGCGCGTGTGAACGTATTACTTTATAATAAAACGACATCAAATCTGAAAGTGGGGGGGGGGGGAGGTTAACGCTCCTCACTGCAAGTAGGTTTCAAAAAAGGTAGATTTTACGCCATTTAGGGGGTGGTTTTGGGGTGACGGGCTCAACGCATCGGCGCTGGGGTTTCAGACGATATTTAATACCTTAAAACAAAGTACCTAGCCAAATTTCAGCTTGTCTCTAATTTGTTGAACGTATCCTGTATGGTCCCTGTGCTAGATGGACGGAGAAAGGGGCCATAATAGCGCCCTCCAACATGTCACATGAATTGGAAAATGCCCTAAAAAATGCGGTTTAACTAAAAAATATATCTAGTAACAAATAATGACGCAGAAACATGGTTGGTGAAATGAAAGGATAGGTACTATAACATCGTCCATATCACTATGATTCGTTTATTCACAAATTGGAGATCAAACTTACATGGTTTTGATCTTTTTCTCAAAACGCATAGTGAGACCTACACAAATACCTCTTCACTTGGAGCAAAACCTATATTGACTCATGGTTGATGAAAATTTTAATAATTCGGATATATTTTTGAGTAATACCTTGTAATTGAGGTTCATTGGAAGAACAAAAATATTTTGAACTGCGCCTCAAGATTATCTTTTCCTGTGTTTTGCTTGTTATATCTATTCTGTGTGTCTTCTATATCTTGCGAGGCAGGAAAAGACAATAAAGACCTTTATTATTATTATTAATGTGACAGTAATTCAGGAACAAATGATTATAGGTAATTCCTCACATGGTTTACATGCATTTCTCTTGACTGATTCTACTAAACAATACCATTGTCAGGTTTTGACAGAAAATTTAAGCAGTTAACAAAACCCTGTTCTTAGTAACATTTTAGGTACGTTTAGGCTCGGTTGTATAATGTCAGTTTAAACTTCAGTTTATAGTTGAATTGTGGGTTAAAGGATTTGATTGGCTAATATTTCAAAAGGTAGCCAATTGTATTTCTGAAATCTGTTAAACCAACCTGAAGTTTAACCTGATATTGTACAACCGGGCCTTAATGATTTGAGACAACTTGCCATCTTTGTTTCTCATGTCTTTTTATGAATATCGTTAATTTTGTCAGAAACTGTACATGATTTTCATTTCAGCTATATCGAAGAATTTATTCGGACGAATCACGGGAACTATCTTTTTAATACCGCAAAAATCTCCCGATCTTGACTTATACGACGTTCCTCGGACTAACATCGGTCTTAACCTAAAATTTAATAAAAGGAACGAAGAGATTCCGGGATATACGCGCAAGGACGGTAACGTGTGGTATTATTCTGAGAAGGCCGTTGAACTTGTCGGCGAATATATGGCGCGATTTCCTAAGGTTTTCGAATATTTGAACTTTCACGCCGGAAAGGACGTTTACGAGGAACACAAAATGTTCCCGACTGGAGATGTGTAAATATTTAAATTTTTCGTTAGCAATTTGCGAATTTTATTACATGTCTATTTTAGGAAGGAACAAATACGTGAAATTACCACTTGGATCAAACAGCAACCGTATTATTCTATTGAAAGACAAGTGACCGGTAGTTCTATTATTGATCCAGAAGCAGTAAAATTGCTAGAGAAGGTTGTGGACCAGTTTGCTGTGACAAACACTAACTCGAAACAAATTGTAATGCAAGTGAAACCGCATTTATTGTATAAGGTTTGTATTTTAGAGCTTTTTCGGTGGTGGCATAGAAAATTAATTCAATTTAGAAAATCATACTGAGCAGTTTTAACTACTAACAGAATGTTAACTGCCATTTATTCTCTGGGAAGGGAAAGCGTCTCCCAAAAATTGAGTTAAAGAACTGGATTTTGTTTAGATGAGTCAAAAATTGTGAGCCTTACGAGACTAGTATCAGCTATTATACAGGGTGTTACATTGTAGTTGTGGCAAAAAAATCGGGTGATTCATTTATTAAATATTGGCACATTTCAAATTATCTTGGAATCTAGTTGGCGCATTAAAGTCGGATTGAAAAACTGAACATACACAGGAAATTTCGTGAAATTTTAATCAGTTTCATTGTTCGGTCAAGAATTGCAGTCAGAATTTTGTTGAATTTAAAATACTAATTGCGGATTGGGCATTTTCTAAAAAAATTTTATCAAAAACTGTGTAGAAAAATAAATATAGGTATATAACATGAGTTTGCAGTATTTTACCAATAACCTGAATGATTATCCCGCATCTTGATTACAATGTGGTTTTTTTAGCATTCATTACAAGTGGGATATTTGGCACCCGACCCTGCAACAACGTATGAACTGTATGATCGAGTCATAAATGTTAGAGAGGGCTTCACAGTTCCGATGGGATATAAAGGAACAATTACTGCCATACATAAGCCAAATGGAAATGACGCATCTGAGGGGACTTTTGACGTAGTATTTGATAAGCCATTCGCTGGCGGCCTGTCAATAAATGGTTCCTCAAATCGAGCATATCAAATGACTAAACCATCTATTATCAACATCTCTTACGGCTTACGAGTGTTTGAGGAAAAATCTGGAAAACCAGGTAAATATTTTTGTTGATTTTGTTAGTCAATTTATTCTATTGTGATTGTAGGGCAATTGCAGAACATGCAGAACCAACATACCCGAAATGATGTTCACAATAACATGAATTTTAAACCAAATCAATTTAACCAGCCGCCTGCTTTCGGACAATGGTTTCCGAATAACAATAATTACTATCCTCACCCACCCGCACATGCGCCAATAACACCTTTCAATCCCAACCCTAATTTCAGTGCGCCTCCAAATTTCCCTCCCACATACAATCCGACCTATAATCAAACGGGGCACTCGTTTGTTCCCTACAAAACTCATTTTGCTCTTAGTCCTGGTCCTCCACAATACTTCCCGCCAGGTCCAATGCCAGCGCCCGAACCGAAACTGAACGAAGTAACTGAGTCTGTTTGTTTGCACACTTTAATTTCATTTGTGACTATTTCAGAGAAGAGATAATTATCCAGTTCATAAGGCGAACATGTCACCTGATAAAAATAAAGTGATGTTGCGACCAGAATTTTGGCAACCGCCACCTCGCAACACGCCACAAAGTTCAGCAAGGAATGAGAAAAAATTAGTACTTACTCCAGATGATGTTTTTGCTGTAAGTTTAACCGCATTCTGTTACACATTGAGTATGTACACCAAAAACCATAACACAATTTGCGGCAAACATCAGAAATAAAAACAAGGCCTTGTCGCTCACTGATCTCGAAAAAGAGTCCCACGGGAAAATTAACGTTTGTACAAACCTATTTATTTCGATGAGACCTTTCATTAGAAAACCGTTAAGGGTAGAGCATGTGTTCGTCCTACCCCCTCCCCCATTTTCTAAAGTTTAACTTGGCACCACTAACGGCATGCGTATGCAAAATCTGAGACCAATTGGTTGTCGTATGTAAAAGTTACGCACGTTTTACTTTCAAAAACAGCATCTCGGGAAATAATTCGTGGGGGGGGCCCCCCTTTTAGACAGCGAAATTTGATGGCCGTTTGGCACACCTTCAAGGTATAGGCTATCTACTGCAAAAATTCCAGGACTCTAGGCCAATTCCCCTAGAAGTAGTTCGAAACGGCAGAAGTGGATTTTTTATTCTTAAAAAACGCGCTAAAAATCGGGTTTATTTCCGCATTTTCTGTTTATAATTTTGTCCTATTTTGGTTTGCATTTTTTAAAGGTAAGAGACTTGTGGCTGTCACGACCCTGTACCACTTTTTTGTGAAACTTTTAAAACCACAAACAGAATGTAGGTGCGTTTGTTTCTGATACTGGGTGAAAACGAAAAGTTTGACATGTTTGACATATTGTAGTTATGTAAGCTGGATAAAGGTAAGAATTACCCAGATATTTTTACATAGAATCCAGTGGCGTAGTAAAAAAACCGTTTTCTGAGATTAGACTCATAGTTGGTATTTTTTAAATGCAACACCCTGTATATCTTAACGTTAGTTTTTTTTGCATTGCATTTAAAATTATGGCAATTTAGTTATAGACGTGGCTTTGACGATTGTAGTTGCAACTAAGTTGGCAATTACAATTGCAGTTACAGTCTCAATTTTAATAACAATTGCATTTAAAATTAGGTACACTGAAAAAATCCGTTGTAATTGCAATTAGATTAGTTAGAATAGCATTTGCAATTACATTTACAATTATTACATTCTATTGCATTTACAATTACAACAAAAATTACAGCTGTAAGTATAATTTGGACAATAGTAGTTGTAGTTACAGTGACAATTACAATTACAGTTATATATTTAATGACTTTTGCAGTTGCAGAGGTTGTGTAGTTCTGATTACATTTGCAATTGTAGTGACTGTTGCATTTACAATTACAACAATAACAGTTGCAGTTCCAATAAGGTGTTTCGAAGAATTGCGCGTTATTTCGACGTAAGTGGGGACGTTTGGCGCGTTACTTCGTAGCTTGCGTTATCAAATCTAATTGTGATCGGCTGTGTTTTTAAAAATCCTGTAGTTTATTTTATAGTGAAAGTGGTGTTCCCTTAAATACTGGAATCAGCGTAAAAATAATGCTGATACTAGCTGTTAGTTCCCGCGACGGTTAAGCAATCTTAATAAAAGTGTAAGTTATCGTCAAGTGAAGTAATAAAAGTTGGTGGAAAGTTTTCAAATCGGTGTGTCTGTAGTTCGAATGTGAGTAAACAAAGCAATGCTCAGTGAAAGTTAAAAGTGATATTTCCTGGAAGTGTCGGCGAGTGTTTTTGTGTCTTTTATAAGTGCGCAAGAACATCGCAAACCTTTCATAATCAAATTATTTTATTTATCGACCGTCTGCGTGCGGGGTATTATGTCCAAACAAGCTTTTCTTTCTTGTAAGAATTTTGTTTTAATTGTTTCATGTGTTTCAGAATAAATTGTCAATTAATTGTTTGTTTGTGCGACCTGCATAGAGTTTTCATGTCAGAGTTTATTCCTATTGGTGCCTAAGATTTGTGTCAGGTGTTGATCAAAATGTGTGTAATAAATTCTTTCAAATTTTCTAAAGTTGATCAAGTCACTGAGTCAGTATTGGGATTTTTAGTTATAGCAGATGGCCGGAGTGTATCAGGAGAGATTATAAAAATTCAGTTTCAGTTTTGTTTTGTTTTGAGCTAGCTGGACAGGTGTTTTGTGTGTGGCGTAGTGAACGAACTCCATTGCACACAGCAATATACAGGGTGTTTTAAAAATACCAACTGTGGGTCAAAATCGTACTGATATGTAAACATCTCGAAAAGTCTCATCCTTTATCTCAGAATCAAACCTGCCTACATTGATTCTGTTTGTGGTCTTAAAAGTGGCACAGGATTGCAAAATTTCAAGTCGTCTCTTATATTTAAAAACAACTGACACACACTGCAGCCAAAGGACCAAACGGTATGGAGTATCGTGTAAGGCTCTTCTGTACAAAAGATACGCAACAAACAATGAAATCTAATAAAAAAATGTACTTATAGGAAATGGGAAAGCATCATTATATTTTTGTCACAATCACAACATCTTATCCATGTTTGTTTCAAACCCTAAACAAGCCTGTTATTGTACTGTACAGAGGAGTCTTAAGTTATATTGAAGCAAAACAATAAATGTTTTCCAGCATGCAAGAGCCACCCAGCAAAATATTGCTAAACAATCCGTGGGCGAAAGTGTGCCTACCGCAGACACAACTCCAAATCTGTTATACAACACCGCAAAAGTCTCAAAAGAATTTCAAATTCGTGGTTTGGGTTGCCCCAATTACCAGTACTTCGCACTAAAGGACGGTAATTTCGTGGCAAGCCTTACAATGGCAAACGGAGATGTGCTGGTCGGAAAACCTGCCAAATCCAAAGATCAAGCAGCTGAGAACACGGCTGTTGAAGCTTTAACAACTTTATATAAGGTAACTAATATACTCCAGTACTGCTATAATGGTTGATTGAGTAGGATGAGAAAGTCAATTCTTCATTGCCCCAAATGGTGCCACCTAAGCCTCCAATGAGGTGGCAGAATCCTCCTTATAATAATCAAGGAAGTCCTCAGAAACAATGGGCGAAACCCCAAGAGAGACAACACACAGAAAACTGGAGGACCGAGAGACATGATAATTCGAAAAATTATGTACCGGCGGATACGTGGAGACAGCCTGGCAACCAACAACAGACACAGTCACGAACACGAGTTAATGCGGATGCCATCCATAGGTACCTTCACAACGATGCAGAAATGCAAAGCAAAACACATAATACAATGCCAGGCAATGCTCCATTTATACCTTTGCAAGCAGTTCGTCAACAAAGAAGTAGGACCACCTCAAGTACAACTGAAACAGTTTTGAAGGAAAATACAAACGCTAATTTTCCACCACAAAAGCAAGAAGTAAATGTTCCTACGGCCCAGTTAGTGACAGATGTAAGTAGTTTCTCAGTGGAACTTTGCATAACAACTTTCCTTTCAGTTGTCACCCACTGTGGAGACAGTGAAACCGAAACGCGAAAGAAAGATGAGAATTGCCGCAAACTTTCAAATGGCATCTGAGTGAAGTGATTAACCATTTTTTTATGTTCTATTTGTAATTCGTCAATTAAGTCTCATAATTAATATTTTCGTTTTTATTTTACCACATGTAATATAAAAGTTTATTTTGATAAAAATGTCAAAGTTTAAATACTAAAATTACATTATGAAAACATTCTTACATTTGACTTAATTGGATCATCTAGTTGCACTAACTTTACTGATTTAATTGGTAGGTAGATAAGGGTGGAGATTTCTTTATGGTAATATGCTGGTGGAGGCAAATGTCATATGTTGCGAGTGGTTTCATTATGGATATACAGGGTGTTTACGGTCTTCTCTGTATTCTTTTAAGGGGCGGCAGTACAGCTCAAAAGGAGTCGACAAACCCCAAAACACATTTTCCACTTAAATTATTTTTTACTATGGTGTTTTGGGGTTTGTCGACTCCTTTTGAGCTGTACTGCCGCCCCTTAAAAGGATACAGAGAAGATCGTTAACACCCTGTATTTGTGACAACACCTTTTCCTGTGGAAACGGTTGGGAGGGAGGATCTAATTGTTGCTTACCTAATAGAAGTTAATGATGTGGCTAATTCTCCTAATATTTGATTTTGACTATGTTACGTATCCATTTTTTGATACTAAAACCTGTGCAACTTTCATTCTATTTCCGAACCATTTGCTGCAGTATGTTATCATTCTAAACCGTCAACTAGAAAACATTCCTCAACAGGAAGGCACATTAAAGTAAATTTTCTGCAAGCGATGATTGGTTGTCATTTGCATGGGCTATATATTTGCAGTGGGCGGCTACCTGCGATGATTGACGTGACTGTTTTTATACTAGAAGAGCAATAGTTTATGGTTTGTGTAAATTTGTTCAGGCAACTCGCGTTAAGCTAAATCACTATACTATATTCATTTTAAAAAGGTAGCGGTAGAAAGCATAGGGAAGCTTTGACCTTCACTGTGATTGGTTAAAACATGGGTCCGTATTACAATGAAACATAAAATGACTGGTGAATTTTGAAGGTGGTAGTTTTATGTTCCCAACTAAACTGTCGAAGTGTTACTAGATGTTATTGTCAAAGGTTTATTTCTGTTTGTAGTGCTGAATATTTCTACTTTACAATAATTTGGTGCCGTGTTATATTTTTCCTGTGTGTGTTTATCTTCAAACAGCGCCATCTACTACTTTCTTATGCAGTATAGCGTGCAGCTTACCTTCATGTACGTGTTTTTCAGTCACCATTGGCTAGAATATCTATCAGTAACGCCGCGATTAAGTATATTTGAATTGCCGTGGAATTCTGCTAGTATGTATGTATCGTATCTGTGGCATTCTCTATGTAGGTATATACAGGGTGGTGCCTAGCGCAACGCAGCATAGGGATTTCAATGGTAATTTCTTTATAGTCAATTACTAGCTCCCCTAATTATTTTAGAGCAAAAGTCTAAATAAGTTTTTTTTTTGAGAAAAAATGCGTCATCTGTTCATACTTTTAGTTATAATTTTCCATTTTTCAAAACCGTAGAAATCGATAAAATAAAAAATTACATTTTTATAAATCAGTGATGCTTTGGAATCTTTTAACACACTACAAGCGCATCGCATCTAAGTTATCGTTGTTTGACGTCGAACGATTTTCATATTTAATTCTGTTACAACTATCCGATGCAAGAAAAAGCGGCAATTGGGTAGGGTTTTTTTAGAGAATGTATGCTGCATCTGCATCAGATACTATTTGCTTATTATTTTCCGGAATCAGAGTACCTACATAATCGAAGAAAAAAAACTGATTTGAAGAAGATTTGTTCCTAAACTTATATTCGGATTTTCCGCTACTGCAGCCAAAACGTTGAATGTATTGTCACTTTCCTGATGGTTTTGACGGACATTTTGAACGTTATTGCACTTGCAGTTCTTAACTAATTTATAAACAAGTATAAATTTAATATACGTCAAAGGCAAATAATGAAACGTGATCCTTGTTTTTTTAAGTAATTCCAAGGCATATTTGATTTATTGTAAAATGGACCTTTTTATTTTGTCGATTTCTACGGTCTTGAAAAACGGAAAATTATGAGTAATAGCATGAACAGATTCAGTATTTTTTTCTCTAAAAAAAACTTATTTAGACTTTTACTCAAAAATAATTGGGGGAGCTAGTAATTGACTATAAAGAAATTACCATTGAAATCCCTATGCTGCGTCGCGCTAGGCACCACCCGGTATACAGACTAGTGCGTCAGCTTAACGTGGGTCGCCTGTATAATGTTGGATTTCTGGTATCATCACTATGGCACTTATTGAATTCATCCCAATACATAGGGGTCACTGTTTCTTATCCCTTCTCGTACTTACCTATAGCCATATTAACATTCTCATCTACGTTACATATTTATTTTTTTGAATATTCTTTATTTAGGGGAGAGTTTGTTTGACCACTGATTTAAAAATCGATTCATTTTCTTCTTCTTTATTGCATAGGATTCTGGCGGTCTTCTTGCAATTCATCTATCTCACATGAATCTTAGTAGATCTCTCATCGAGATTTCTGTCTGTTGTGACCCAAAGAAGCTTACTCCTTATAACTTTACCTCTCTTATTTTTCATACTCCATCAAAAAAAGTGTACCTACTGCTTCTTTAAGGGACTGGTATGCATACATTTTCTGGGATGATCATGGTTGTGTCCATCTGCCTCTTAACACCTCCCAGCAATAATACGAACGTGTTATTAGTCTGGATGTCATTATTTTAAGTTGGAAATTATAGTGAGTGATGTGTAGGTACCTACCAAGGACAATTCAAAGAAAGTTTTTTGTGACTGGAATCAAAGGGTAACCACTGGCAAAAACATTGTACACTACGCTCATACTTATCCAGGTAGTAGGTACGTACACTACATTTCCATTTTTGTTTATTTCTACGTACTTCCCCATCTTTTTGTATTACCACATACCCTTGTACAGGGTTAGTCAACGATTGCGCGGAGTAACTTAATGCCTTGATAATAAGATTTTTCGATAGAGTGCTTTTGTATTATGATATGGTTGAATATTCTGCACATTTAAAAAATATATGGAATTGTACAAGGTGCGCTCACGAAGTAGGGCGCCAAAATGGTACATTTTTTAATGGAACCCCCTGCTCTTTTATGTCTAAGAATATGTGTACCAAATTTGGTTCCATAATCAGTTTAGCTAGGAATGAGAGTAGAGACAGACCCATCCAGATTTTGTTTGATTCGGATTTCAGATGCTCCAAAACGTGCATTTCCGTTAAAAAAAGTGGGGGGTAATTTTTTACCCCAATGCAATACTTCCATATTAACGTGCGGGTGGCAAAAATTGTTATTGATCTGTCACCAACACCTATAACTGAGGATTCAAAGATGTCTCAGGCATGCGTCAACAAAGTACCTGATATGTCCCATCTGCAATGCTTCCACCATTGCTTCAAAAGTATATTCGCGATGTTCCATGATGTGTCGAGTAATATATCGTATAGACGGGTCAGGTACGTCTCGGAGACGATATGGGTAAACCATGTTTCATTAGTGTGTCAGAAATATCTCTGATCTCTAATAATTTTATTGTTCTAAGATTCTTAAAAAAAAAGTAAACTGTTTTCACTTTTCAAGTGTGTTTCACTAATAATTACCAGTATTTTAAACATCTGATATAATTATTTTCATTGTTTTGTTATCTCGAATAGATTTTGTTTTGATTTTTTTTAATTCATCACAGACTACTTGATTTGAAATATAAAATCCGTTGATATAACTGGTATCTTATTTTCAATCTTATGCTATGATAGCTCGTTGAAAAGAGAATTAAATAATCTATCAAGTAACCTAAAAATCCAATATGGCGCCTATTTAACTTTAGGAAGTTGGTAAATTGTCAAGGATTATATATTATATTATATATAATCCTTGGGTAAATGCATATATATATATTCTCTTATATAGGTACCTATATGGGTAAATGTTCCTCAAAAGTAGCTATCCTGCGCCGGGGTGCAAAAGGTCAGCATGCGCCCCCCTGTCAATTAAAAAATACAATGTGCTGTTTGGGTTTCATTTTAATATTTATTAATCTAATATCAAACAAGCTAAAATCACAATACGTCAATACACTATATTTAATTAAGTGGTACCTACATCAAAGTCAATTTTCTGAATTGGCAAGCGCATTTTAATATTAATTTCAGATTCTATGCTAATGATGTCAACCTATCTTGGGTCATAGTGGACCGTAAATAGTTTTTAATTAATTTTTCTTTTAGATTAAGACATTTATTTTTTTTCTTGCGTTTCCAATTTACTCCAATTCTCGAGATTATTCAAAAATGTATTAATTTGTACTATCACGATTTATGGCGTTCGGCGCCCCTTAAGGTCCTGCACCCCTTGTACCCTCGGTAAAGACGGCCGTGATCTTGAATTTGTTGTTGACATTAATTCTAAATTAAGCGTATCAACGACAGTAATTTTTATACGTATAAAACTTTTTTTTCACTACTAGCGTCTGATGACATGATTATTAACCTTTTTTCCACTTGTAAAGTAGGCTTTTTCGGCATTTGTTCAAAGTGGTTAATAATTTTTTATTATTAACTAGTAGTCAATAATGAGAACTGTCACGCTGTCACTTTTAGAAAACACAACCCGAAATTTCGCTCAATGAACGTTTAGACAAGTTCTCTAAAACGAATAATTGCCACCATTCGCAATTTCCAGAGAAATTACATACCTAAAATTATCACATTTTGAAAAATTCGAACGAAATTACTCTTTGAAAAATCTCAATGACAGAACAAAATACGGCCTGTTTGACTTGTACTTCCACGTACTTGATTGACATGTTACATTAAGAAACAAAATTCTGTCCAACCGTTCACTTTCTTATCAATATAATATGTTAATTTAGAGGACTTCAAGTGCTAGTAGTGAAAAAAATAGTATATATACCACGGTAGAGAAGTCTATTATTGCCTTCGCACCTTACACCCCTCGGCGCAAGCGCCTCGAGATGTAATCTTGGTGCTCAGGCAATAATACTGTACTTCTCTACCTTGATATATAATGTACTATTTTATATCTCTTATACTTTTGATTTGATATAAGATATTCAAGGAAATTACCAATTTTAGTTTTTTTGAATTTACGTCGTCGAACCTATACATTTTGAATTTCCACAAGGAAATTTTAAATACGCATCGAAAACTGCGAAACATTGTCCATTTATCCAATTCTCTATCTTTAATAATAAGAAAAGTTACCCATGCAATCCCACGCTATCTGGGATACACTTTTTTGTCATAAGCAATTTGATCAACAAAAATTATTAATAAGACCATCAAACCTAATACTTTTTTTGGAAATTAACTTGAAGTTTGTTGGTTGAGAAATTAAACTACGAGTACATTAGATGTATATTATCTTTCCTTGTATAAGTAGGTATACTACATAATGCAGTTTCATTTTTGAACGCATCCTACCTACATGTAGCTTTTGCATGTAGAGCACTCCATGTTCATTGTTTCTTTTAGTATTTGTAACTTCTTTGGAGTTTGCAACATACTTGAAGTAAACGTAAACCTTACTGTTAAAATTTGTGATGGTCAATTTGGTGCAACGATTGGGAAAGGAATGTTAGCAAGCAATAAATTACAAATATACCTATACAATTTATTTTCGAACTTAAATTATATTACCTTGGCAATTATGAACAATCGTTAACAGGTTAAAAAATGAACAGCTCACTTTCTTAATTAACTTACAGTTCCAGTAATAATAATAATGCTAAATTATCCTTTTATAATAGATAATTTGCACTATATTTTTAACAAACAGCCTATTGTACTTTTGGCTTGACACTTGACTGCAGTCTGGTCAGCACCTTGATAGATGCTATGTTTAAGTATTTAATGCCATAGTATTGCTGTATCCTACACATAAATAAATGTAACGTAAAAAACGCAAAAATCCCAAGTCATAAATGATGCAGAAAAATAGTTGAAGGACACAATTTTGAATGGGAGAGTACTATTGTAGACGATTGTATGTAGGACACAGTAAAAACAAGATGGCATACATGTGAATGGTACGTGAAACAAAATATTCATATATCACAATTACCTGAAAATTGTACACAATATTTGCCAACGTTGAGGCAAACAAGTAAAAACAAAAAATATTGACTAACTAAATTACAATACTAAACGAATTATTACGTAAAGGAAAAAAATATATTGGCCAGAAAATGAAGAAAACAATAAATTTCTTGAATTCATACATTACTAATTTATCTTCTCCTATTCTTTCTTCTTCTAGATGGACCTTTACTGGGAGCGGTAGGCGGTGGAACAGGAGGAGTATTGACGTGTGCTAGATTAGAATTGTTTTGAAAAAGTTCGCTAATTAGGCCATTGTTGCGAATAGTATCCAAAATGTCTTTAATAATTTTTTCTTTATCAAACAGTTCTGTAGATGAAGCACTGGACTGCGGCTGATTGCGGTTCACCACGTCTGCTTTCTTTGTTTTTTTATCGTTTGATTTTTCAGTTTTCTTTAACGGCTTATTTTTCTTCTCTTCTTCACAAAGGCCTTTTCTAATCAATGCCACTATACCGATTTGTTCTGTATTGGGCGTTGATAATTGAGTTATAGTATCATAACGGGACAACTTCAATCTTAAATGAAATTTTCTACTGACGCACAAAGCTTTCAGTTGATGTTTTGTTAAAACGAAGCAATTTTTTTTGTTGAGCATGTTTTCTATGTTGTCTTTTACAGATACCAACTGCAAAGGTAGGCACACTTAAATAATTAACCAAAAATTTTGGGTACCCACCTGAGTGCTATAAAGATAGCTTCCGTTTTCAGAGTAAAATTCTAGACTTGCCAAGCACCTTTGTGCTTGAGTGTATTTCATGTTGGCCCTTAAGAAAGCGGCCAGGTGGCCTGTTCGTAAAATCTAAAATTTGCATACTTCTGTCACATGAAAAAATATCACATGTACTACCTCTATATTAAGGAATACAACGCCAATTCCTGACACAAAGATCACAAAGGACATTCTATTGATCAGTTTTGGAGTGTTAAAGGAGAATTCCCATTCTTTTGTAAAGGAACCAGTTCCATCCAAGGCAGACTAGAATATAAAAGTACAAAAGTGGTTCTAAAATTGTCTACACCCCCACGGATTGACTACAAATTTACTTATTGGCCAATCAGTAAACTATATTCATTTTAAGAAGGAAAGCTTAGGGCAGCTTTGATCTTCACTGTGATTGGTTAAAATTCACGTTAGTATTACGCTGAAAAATAAAATGAGTGATCAATTTTGTAAGCTGGAAGCTTCTGTTTCCAACTAAACTGTCATTAGATCTTAATGTCAGGTCCAAGTGTGAAATTGTTTGATTTATATCTGTTCAGTGCTGGATATTTCTACTATACAATAATTTGGTGCAGTTTTATCTTTTCCCTGTCCCTTCTTATAATGAATGCAGTTTTTTTTCAGTGGCAACAATTTAAAAAAATAAACTTGAATGATAACAAACCTCAGTTAATTTATCAGCATGAAAACTCCGAACATGGTTAAGTAATCTACTAGCAGGTAGTCGCACGTCACAATTGTCCACTCTACAGGGATAAATGCCCTTCCCAGGACCATTAGCGGTTGTAGTGGTTGTTGTGACGGTTGGATCGAAAGCAGGCGCAGATGCATTGAGTTGCACCGTATTGTCTTTTGGGGGTTCCTCTAGGGGTTCATAGAGATTCATTATGTTCTAAAAAAGAGCAGTAAATCATACACAAATGCAATGGTCACACCTTTAAAATTTCAAAATTTTTCACAAGCTCCTCCACGACAAAATTTCTCGTTCCGATGTAAGTACATTTGCAAGTGGGGCAATTCTCAACTCGAGCCCGACAATTGGCGCAAATGTGGTGTCCATGAATGCATTGTTCTATTATCGAGCCAGGTGGTGATTGTACAATGTCCATGCAGATATGGCATTGTAAAATATCTTCCAAATCCCGCCATCCCCACTATAAGGTGGAAGTTATCACATCCAAGTGTTGCAAGATAAGGTACTTACCTGAGGAATGTTATAATTAGCCATGGTGGATGTTGAAATTACTGAAAATTATACTAAATTTAATTAAACTATTATACAGTGATAACAATCAAATATATTATTAAAGAAAAATTTCTTATAAAACAAATATTTGTCGTTACACAGTCAAAGACACTTGAAGTTAGGGTTGGTATGGTCATATGGGGACAATGTTGCACGATTGCAATAATAGTCCCAACCTAAGAGTAAAAAAATGTTCCACCCAAAGAACTTTTGTTACACAATTTCCAAGACTTGGCCTTGGACGGAATGAAGTTAGCTGCACAATTAATAATTAATACAGGGTGCAATGTCTAAAGGTGGGAATACACATGTAGTTATATCTTCTTAAATGCAATCGTCATTGTATATGGGTTAAAAATAGCTTAAGAATTGTGATGTTTTTCAATAGTTTGAATAGAAAACGTAGATGTCGCTACTATCAAGGAAAATTACAGTGGCTGTGTAAAGACAAAAGTGACCATGTACCTACATACTGGTCCAAAGCTTACAAACGGTACGGTAGTTCTTTGATATGTTGTCTAGGATGGTTAATAGCATAATTTCTCCCTCTCCGCCTTTATTGAAAAACCCGAAAAAAAGGGCACTTTCTTCAGTTTTTGGGTGATATCTTCATTTCGGTGCATTTTAGCTATAGTAGGGAAGTAAATTTCCTATAATTTATTTTTTTTTAAGTTTTGTTTTTGGGAGTGATAGTTACGAAGTGATAGTTAAAAAAATCGAATTATCCGAAAATTTGTTAAACTTTCTTGTTCATTGTTATAAAGTTTGTCAAGAGAGTGAGCAAAGTTTGTGGAATTATTGTTTCAAATGGTACTGTACTAGTTTAGTCAGTGAGTATTTGATACTTATCCTGTATTTATGAAACAGACCTTCGTTTTTTTGGGAGTGTCGACAATAAGCATCTCTTCTCCGAATTTATCCAGTAGGCGGGAATTAATTGCTCTTAAATCGATCTCATATTCACTCTTTATGCGACTCTTTAATGCATTAGAGTGAAAATTGGTGGATTGCTTAACTACCACAAAGATAAGTGCAGCCATTATATATTTATTAGAAGCTTCTATATATGGATCATATACGGTTATCCATATACTTCTTTTATACCGGGTGAATATTCCAAAACCGAACATAGGGAATTAACATGGGAAAAAGGTATTTTGCATATTGTTGTTCCCCATGTTAACTTAGAGGGTATAATATAATGACAGGAAGGAATATTTTTTCTCATCTAATGATTTACGAACTTGTCAATTTTCACTTGTATTTCTCATTATTTTATCAAAAATTCGGCAATAAACCCAACTACCAAAATCAAATATAAAAAGTGAATACAATTATATACTTAAATTACTTAAATGAAATTAAGTAAGTACAAAAAAAAACACAAAAAATATCTGCTTAATCTGAGCTCTAGAACAATAACCTGCACCAATGTAGACAACGATCGACCATCAGAGGTCCCTTCCAGTTGACCAAAATTTAATCAGCTAGTCTCTTTGACTATTGTCTACCTATTTACTGACCAACAGAATTAGAAAATTCGAAACCCTTCGCGAGTTATCATGTACACCGACAGACGGACGCACTAACAGAAAGTCCAAAATCATGAACTCGCTTTTTAATATGTGAACGTATGCACTTACTCGAACCGTAATTTAAGTTTGGGTTTCAAAATAGTATCACGATTTTAAGACAATCTCAAACTTTGATTTTTTGCGCTAGGTTGATTACATACAACTGTCCCCTCGGACATTACGTATGATTTCAAATTCCTTGCGTTAATCAATTTTACAAATTCAATTGCATTTAAGAATATCGAAATAAGTTGGTGTTTTAACGACTGTACCTCATAATAACTTTGGACTCGCCGCCTACTTTTCATCTTTTCCTCGTATGTAGTACTTAGGGAAATTTGGTTTGATACGATTGGCATGTTGTTTTTTTCATTGTCAAAAAAACGTGCGTATTTTGACAATCTTGACGTAATCGTTGGCTTCTTGTTCTTAGTGTTCTTGTGCGCGTTTTCTGTTTCTTGCAATGGTATAATTTGGTGCAATTGTGAATAAGTCTTGGATAAGTAGGTAATAAATGTGGACTATTTAACAAATATCTGTGTACTGTACATGCGGCCTTAAATTGAAAATTAGTGGCACACATAGACCAACTTTCCAAGCTGGTCAATAAGTTAATGAAACTGTGAATTTAGACCTTTTTAGTAGTTATTCTTTACATGCTGGATATGGGCAAATCACGCTCTAGAAGTAGGACTCCTCGCAAACATCACAAGTCAAAACACAACAAAAGAAGTAAATCTAGGGATAGAACGGAAAGAAGTTATAGAAGTAAACATCGGAACGTCGACGAAGTAAAGGAGAGAAACTCAAAATCCAGGTAAAGTGAACGTACTATAAATTTACCGGTGTAGTTAGTTTAACACCTACCATTTTGTCTATGCCAGAAAACGCTCACATTCTGCCTCATCGTCCTCGAGTAGCGAAGCTTCAATCGACTTACCGAAAGAGAAGCAGCTCAAAAAACTGTCTCACATTCGCAAAATGGACGAGGTCGAACGTCTAGCCGAAATGGAAAGGCAAAGGAGGCAGAGGGAGGCCGAGCAAAAGCTAGTCGAGGAAGAGACGGCGAGGCGTATCGAGGAATTAGTAAATAGTAGGGTGCAAGAGGAGTTAGAGAAGCGTAAAGATGAAATAGAGAGGGAGGTCTCCAAGAGGGTGGAGGAAGCGAAAAAAATCATGGAAAAGCAAATGATGGAAGAGGTGGAGAGGCGGAGGCAGAAACAAGTTTATGAAGAGAAACAAAGAGAGGTAAGAGAAAAATTTCGGCCGTCTGCTGGCTAATTTATTATGTGAACGTCTTATTATTCCTTGTTGGTCTAGTGTGTGTTTGACTTTTTTTTAATTATGCAAATTGTACAATTTTGTTGTTCGATAGTAGATTGTTTTCTAGGACGAAATTGTTTATAACGAAAACATTGATACCAACTTATCTAGTCATAATTTTTTTTTATATGTTTCTTTCATTTTCCTACTTTTTAATTGAACTTTGCTACAGTGCCTGTTAAATTTAAGTGTCAAGTATTCCAAAACTATTTTCTTTATCTGTAACATAACATTGTATTTTGGTTATGAATAGAGAAGGTTGAAATTTCTTCACCACAGCTCCACCAAAGCAAAAGTACCATTTTTTAATTTTTGATTTACCTAATTGAAGAATTTAGCAGGCACTTTGGTTTGTCATAATTTATATTCCCAATTAGCAGCTTAGAGATTTTTAGTTGCAAAATTTAATTTGGGACAGTAAGTAAATAATAATTTCGGTTTTGTGTTACTTATAACTTAATAAATAGTGTTGGAATAATTCATTTGTTTTACTATATTTTTTTGGACAATCTATAGTGCGACCATTTTAAAGAGCAAAATATTTATGACTAATTGAAAAAACAGCCTAGCCAAGGTGAATGTATAAACTGCAAAAATGTTGTCGCTTGTTCAGAGATAGGTCATGTAGTCAAGTGTCTCTTTCTCAAAATGTTATACAATTAACAAATGAATAGCTTTATAAGCTAAGAGGCCAGCAGATAATCAAGTGAGGGGGCCGAGACTTGATGCGGTGGCAGACTGCACCCGAGGACGGAAGCTAACAGGTATTATCTACCTTTTTTATATTTTATTACCTTTAAGTACCGTTTAAGATTGAGGACATCTGTAGTATATTAACTGGCCCATACCTAGCAGTGTGGTTGTTGAGTAAAAATTTAAGGAAATTTCTTGAGGTGACCATTGTCTCTATATACTCAAGGGATTTCCAAGTTTACGTATTTTTTTATTACTTTAACTTTGAAAAGTAAATCACTTTAACAGCTTCCGAGGTTTAAATAGAACGCACCTAGTTTTTTGAAAGACGTTCTATCTAAAGCTCAAGTATTATCTAATTGTTTGTGTGATGTGGGAATAAATAAATGCTAGGGTTTGGGCACCATCTAGCGGTACTCGGGTATTTAAATGTGAAATATTTTATAGGAGGAGGAGCGCAGGAAAAGAGAGGATTTAGAGAGAATTATGGAAGAGAATAATAGAAAAATTGAAGAGGCACAAAGGAAATTGGTAGGTATTATTATTATTCACTCTCATTATATCACATTTAATTCATCCATTGTTATTACATTTCAAAAAATAGATTTCCTATAGTTTTTTTGAAAACGGATGTCTCAAAAAATTGTTGAGAGAAGACATCGACATAGATATGGAATTAATGAATTTTTTTTAAATTGAATTTCTCGCACGGCATAATGAGGAAATTTTTTTTCAATTTTCAATATATTTTGGTTACATTATTTTTGTGTTGAAAAACCCTACATCCCAAATGCCATCTAGATCACAATTTTTTAGTACCCCCTTTATGGAGGTAAGGGGTGTTATAGGTATCTATTATTCTATAGGCGTACAGTATGTCCTATTTTCGTTGAGACTGCAGTGTATCTTGAAATAACGGCAACAAGGCAGCAAATTGCATATCACTTATTTTTTTCTGTTATCTCACTAAGGTGACCGACACAAAAATCCATACATTTATCAGGCATCATCCCCTAAGCGTAGTAGCAGCATGATTAATTTTCTGATTTCTTTTTTGAGGTTCTTTGTTATGAATTGTAGGCGGAAGAAAGGTTAGCGATGATCGAGGAGCAGAGGCGAATGGACGAAGAGAGGCAGAAATTGCGAAAGGAGCAGGACAGAAGAAATAAGGAAGAGCAGAAGAAAATTTTGGGGAAGAACAACTCGAGACCGAAATTATCGTTCTCCTTAAAACCTGTTATATAGCGAGTGTGTGAGTGTGTGTGTTAGACGAATGACATGCGGTGTAAAAATTAAGAACTATTGAAAAGTGATGATATTTAATTTAAGATAAAGTTTTAGGATTACATTTAACTCTTTTTTATATAAATTATGTTTTATATGTGAGCGCTTTTATTTCAAATATTAGTTACTGCGTATTAATAAAAGGAAGGCGCCATTTATGCCATATTTAATTGTTATACAATGCGGTTACCATTTATTGTGTACATAATTCTGTATATCGATTATAAGCCTTTGTAAGGTCTTGTATTGATTTCATAGTGTCTTTCAAGATTTCCGTAGTATCTAAACATCTCAATCTATCATCCCCAATTTCATTTGTGCTGTTTTCAGTTTCTGCTCCATCTCCTATTTCGTGTTCTGAGTTTTTATTATCATCACGTGGCATCACAGCTAACAAATTTTGTAGCGTTTGCCTGATTTTACCCACAGCTTCCTTTAGTTCATCGTGATCTAGTTCACAGGATCTGCAAAGTGGTAGATGGCTCTCTGATTCGTGCGGCTCATAAAAGTAACTGATAGGTAGCTGCTGCCCTTGAAGTTGCAGATTCGAAGCGTCAAGAGACGGTAATGTTATCTTTTCATCTTGGTATATGAGCTCAAATTGTCCAGTCGATGCATCTGGGTTCTGGGGATAATCGACGGCTACTGAAATTTGAAAGATCGTAATTATTATACTACTTACACATCCATGCATGCATTTTTTTACTTGCTGAAAGTACTGCATCGTTCTCTAGATATTTAGAAAAATAAAATTGTCTAAGATCCCACATACGTGCAACCTTTGCCTATGCGTTTACCAAGTGAATACCTTTTTTTAGCAATCTTGATATTTAATTTAATTGTTTGGAAATAAACAGGATTTTTCCTAATTAATACATTACATGTAAACAAACGCATTGCAAATGGGTTGCCTTAATTAAAATGTATGTAATTAATATTTCTGTCACATGGAGGGAGCACATGCGTTCTTACATTGATGCTTACACCACGAGCAGCTGTTACGCTGTGCCTTCTCTGCGAGAGAAAAACATAGTATTTGCAATGTGTTTGTTTGCATGTTAAGATTTGCTAAAATATGTATTTTACTCTGTAAACAGATGAGCGAAGGTTGCCCTTATGCGGGATCTTGTACTATTACCAATGCTATTACTACTAACTACTGTATAAAAATTATACAGGGCGACATTTTAAAAAGTTTCATTGGGGCATATTTTACCTATTGGAGACGGGTAGGGACGTTTCATACCCGGACGACTCATACCCGGACACCACATACCCAGGACAACTCATACCCAGGACAACTCATGCCCAGGACAACTCATACCCAGTATGACTCATAATACCCAGTACCCCTCATACCCAGGACAACTCATACCCAGTACAATTGGTACCCAGGACTATTGATACCCCATGATAACTCATACCCAGCACTATTCTTACCGACGATAATTCTTACATAGGGTGCGCCATACCCGGGAAATTTTACCAGCTAACCGAATTTTATAATGAAATCCCGGTCAAAAGCAAAGTAAAGAAAATTGAATTACTTCAAGTGAAATTTTAAACATGACCACTTTTAGTCTACATTTCACAGTTTAACTGTTGATCCAAATTTTCATTATAAAATAATGAGGGGAGGAAACTGAACAGTTCTTACACATGTTGAATATAAATAAACCTTGAGGATCCAAAGGGGTATATTGAGTATATAATGCGGTAGCTATTCCCTCGGGTGCTGACAAACGTGTCCCGAGATGATGCCCACATGTGTAAAATTTCCCGGGTATGGCGCACCCTATGTAAGTATTATCGTCGGTAAGAATAGTGCTGGGTATGAGTTATCATGGGGTATGAATAGTCCTGGGTACCAATTGTACTGGGTATGAGGGGTACTGGATATGGGTCGTACTGGGTATGAGTTGTCCTGGGCATGAGTTGTCCTGGGTAAGTGGTGTCCGGGTATGAGTCGTCCGGGTATGAGTTGTCTGGGTATGAAACGTCCCCGACCCAAAATTTTCTCACAAAATGAAGATGTAGCAAATGCACACGACAATCTCTTATTCAAAAGTGACCGGAAAAGAAAAGATAAGCGAAGGAATTTTATCAAAACCAAGGACGACTGGACAGAAGAGTGGACAACAAGAGCATAGGCAACACAAAATACTTCCGAGAAAAATAACACCGTTATAAGATATCAAAAAATGTCGAAATCATTTTCGTAGAATGGAGAATCATCAAATCTGAACGAGCAAGGACATATCTAACCACTTGATTATTGCCCCACCCCTCAAAATTCCAAATTGCAGTCCATCACTTACGACTCGCCATTGGAAAGCTCCTAAAATGATTTTAATACATTAACGGAGAGGTCTCCATTCCAACGTTGTGTAATATCTACAAGGACAGTTTTTTTATGTCTTGGGACGTGGGGGGACTTGAATTAAATGCAGAATTTTGTGCTTAAGAAAAGACAAGAACAAATATATAATAATAAATATAGGAAATAACAGCACAAATTGTAAGTGTCTAAGTTTAATGTAACAATAATTAAAGATTAAATGTAAGGACTTTGACTGCTGATTTTGAACTGATTGTTTTTATAAAAGGCGCCAGTAAGTATTTTTGCTGTTCTGTTTTTAGATCGGTAGGTAAGTAATTTTGGTAAATACTCAGAAATGACCGATCGCGCAAAAAAATATATAAAGCAACTACGACAACAAAACGTAAAAAGAAAAATATACAAATCAAATAGGTATCTCAAATCGTTCAATAAAATCAGGTAACGAGTCAAATGCCGTAAATCGAAAAGAACAAGACACAAAAGTCATAAATACAAGTGGAAAACAATCAATTCAGTACAAGGTTAGCAAATCTACGTTCAATTTAGACAAAACAACTCGTAAAATGATAAATTGCATGTTACAAAAAAAGAACTTATGAAAATCATAGTTCTACCTCCAGCATCGTTTCAATTCATTTAATTGGAAAAGTACATAAGTGAGACTGGCAGCAATAAGTAGGTAGGTACTAAGGTTAAAGCCCATTATCGCCTAGGCAAATCCTAAATGTTGTAGAAATCTTAATTACAGGACCCACTTTTCGTATGTGCTAAGGACACAAGAGCTGCAATCCGCACGAGATGAATTAAAGGAGCATATATGCAGCTGAGAATCAAACTGCACTCGTACTCTTTCCAAGAAATAGTTATATCGAAACGTACAGAGCAACAATACACTGATTGTTATTACGTCCCCAAACTAGAGTTTAGTTATTCTTTGAAAGTTCCTTCAAAGAAATTAGCCTAGCACGCATATACCTAACTATATAATTTAAGACCCTCTGCAGAGGCACCTCTAAAAAGCATTATGCGGGTCACTCTGTAATTGAGCGTAAGCCTGTTGAGGGCCCAGAACAAGAGAGGCATAATAAATAAATAAATTTCCCATATCCTTGTACATATTTCCACTTGTTAAGTGCGGTGCATGAGCCGTCAATATGCGCATTTCGACTAACAACAATCGAACAATAAGGAACAAGATGTCTTACAACCAACAATAATGATGTGCATGTCTGTTAAGAAGCAGTACCTATGGCATTTTCGTCGAACTTATTTGTACGAGTGAATTGGCTTTCGTCGTTAATCGCGAAGCTGTCGTTCAACCAGCCAGTAATCTTCGTTATCGCTAGGTATCTACTACAAAAAGGTAAGTAATCGCCTTCTTCTCAGAAGATGAAGACCCAATTCGAAACAACAATAAGTATAAGGCCTTTCATACCTATTCATATTCCTTTCGTAGGTAGTTATTCGAATTTTTAGTATACATGTGCCGTGTCGATCACTACCATCAATATTTAGAATCAATGTACCTACTTTATTTGTGTTTTTAATCAATAAACACGTTAATCGTTATTGTCGATCTACTTTCATCAAAAGCATAGCAAGAGTCATTACATTTCATATACAGTCCATTATAACTATCGAAGCTTGTACACGCAATAAACTCTTGTATCGTGAATACATAGGTAAATAAATACTTAATAAAACAATATAAACGCATATAATATCCTGTTCTCCATATTGAACATATCAAATAGACAACGAAACAAAAGCGATTCAATATCTTACAGGATTAATTAGGTATAGCACACAAAATCTCTACAGTTCCGTAATAGCTCCAATTGATTGGTATAGCTTCCCCTGTCATTCTTTTCTTTCTACAGGACTAGCTACATGGAATATAGTATGGGTGAGTATATAATTTCTTTGTATGTAAGCTTATCAGGTTCTCCAAAATTCACGTTTTGTATTCAACAGTTCCGTCTTCCGTCCGTTTTCAAGGTGTCACCCTAGCTGTAGAATACAAAAGGTGCATATGGCATTAACTTGTCCAAACTAAAATTTGACCTAACAAAAATGGCCAACCCCCATCAAATTTGTATCGAAAGGGAATCAAATTTCATTTTATTTTGAAATCTTATACATTTCTTCCAATTAGGAGAAACCTCCTATTTTGGTCATTTTGTGATGCCCATCTGTTCGTTAGGCAACCAACATGCCACCTTACCGACGGTAGCTGGGACCGATCTCTAATTTCAACTGTATACCCTGGACCAGGGCAAAGTTACACGTTCCCGGAGGGGGTGGGGCCCGCTAACCAAAACTCTTTGGTTGAGAATCTATGTGCGATATATGAGTTACGATTCAATAATTTCAACATGTTTTGTAATTTTAAAGCTTAGATTTACCCTCCAAGACCATCGGGTAATTTCTGTTACTACTTCTAAGAAAAGATTTTATCAGACCAGAGATAACTCACATTCTGTACACTTCACCCTTTCTCAGAATTGGTACTGCCTGATGCTTAAGTACCTTAGACATTGAATAATTTTTATTCACTTGTTTTTAACTTTCATTGCAACCAACCTCGTGTAGATGCAATGCAATGCATTCACGGTTTCTTTTAATTATTACTTACCTAAACTTGATAATTTTACAAATTACTGGTGCTAAGTAACTTTTTTTAAATTTAAAGGTCGAGGTCGAGAGTGTTGAATAACTGCACTTGGCACTGAATTAATTCATTTATGCTAATATTTTGCTACATGTTTCAGTGTTTTGTTGTAATGTTCATTAACGCTATGCCCCTTACACTATTCGAATAGGGTAATAATGAATATTAATATTTAACATCAGGGTGACTAGTTTTGAATATGTGATATCTCTACCTACTTAATTTTGGTAATATTAATTTGAGCGTTGCAGGTAAAAGTGCATAGGTATAAGCCATCTGACAGACGCCAGAGCCACTTTTCTGCAGGTATTGATAATAATCGATTCTTTTAGTTGACCCTTGGAAATGTTTCCAAAATTCTTATTCCTAGAGGCTTTAAACTCCCAAACAGGTCTTTGTTATTTGCATGTTTCAAAATAGGTACCCCACATCTGCCCAGATCGGATTTCTGCGTGTAGGAATTTTGGAATTTTTTTAAGAGCTGGGTTGTGTAAAAATTGTACCTTTAATTACATCCCTCAGTAATTGCGGACACATTCTGGCAGTAATCGGAGTTGAGGCATGTAACGCAGGTTTGTTGTTAATTTCGATTAACCATGGTGCGAAATCTTCGGTAAGTATAAAGTCAGCCCCATATATCTCGAAACACCTCTTTCTCACGTCGCAGGTCTCATTCATCAATACGGCGGCGGTAATCGCTTGTTTCATCCCTTGATAAATGATTTCTTTGTAAGCGTTTGGTTTACCAATGCTTGCCAAATACTCCTGAAATCGTGCCGAATCCCACATATTGCACGTTGGCAATTCCTGATGACGATCGCAGTTTCTGTACTTGCTTTGGACCGAGTTGTTCGTCAAGTGGATTGCCTCGTTAAGTCTGTTAAGCGTATAATTCTGTGAGCTAAATCTTAAGTAACAGTCTCTGAAATTTTATGTGCAAGCACTTCTCAATTATTTGTATGATCGTACTTATATATCCAGATTGTTAGACGAGTTGTGGTGCTCACTAGAAACCACTGCCTTATATCAAACTTTGTCTTGTGTATTAACAGAGGCTTTTCTGTAACAACATTGGAAGTTAATAGATACAATTGTTAATACAATTCGCGATACCTACCAACATATTTTTGGATGATATACTTCTTTGATGAATTAATTCTAATCGTCTTCATGATATATTGTAGCGTTCTACACAGATATATTCCTTCTCCTCTAGAACCATTAGAAGGCTTTAGAATCCAAACATTAAGCGTTCCATCCGTTTCTAGATTTGGTCTAAACTGTTTCATTTCTTCCAACAATCGCGTGGAAGTCTCCACCATGAACTTTACCGAATCGGCGTGGTCCAATTTAAATGGGAGCCCAATATGTGAAATTCTATGAAAAGTTTCTAAAAAGTCATTCCATTCTAGGTGCGTTGCTTCGTCTATGACATAATCGATGTCATCGTGTTGTAAACGCCGTATCGCATTTGTAATTTCTTTAACGGCGAAATTGTACATCTTCATAGGCTCTTGTCCATTTTCTGAAACGACTTGGGATGATCGTTTACGGTCAAGTTTGTTTGAAACATGTTTCAAAAGAGATAGAGCGGCAGTTAAGCGATAATCGCGCAAAAATTCTTCCATTTCGCTTTGATTGGATAAGTCGTAGGATCGGGGATAACGAATGTTGGCAGTGCCTGGACTTTGGACCCAATAGTACTTCTGTTTCATGGCTTGCGAAAATCCAATCTTCGATATGTAGTTGAATGCGGTGCGCTTGAATCTGTTAAATAGCGTTAACTTGATGGAGTCATTGCAAACGTGGTAACATTCAAAGTTTTGATCCCAAAACAAATCAACTTGATTATGATCGATTAGTCTTGACAATATCACCCGTTTATGTAAGTGACCATCGATTCTATCAAAAGCACCTTCGAGAAGCTCTGCAATTGGAGCCTCAAGCAGTGATTTAAGACGTTCTCGATTAATCGTGTTGTACATTATTCTAATTTTTTCCACCCAGCCTCGCGCCCATAACGCCTTTCTTACTGTGAAGAAATTTCCGCAAACTGTGAACGTTTTGTTGCATTTTACTGCAGCTTCGGCTTGGTCCCTTAGTAAGTTTAGTAATTTGCTTTGAGCGTTTGTAAGAGACTTTAAGAAAAGGCGCGACGCTGGAGGATTTTCATTGCTTTCTATTTTCCTGGGCGATCGCCGCATTTTGTTTCTAGCCCCATAGTAGTTATCTGCAGATTTAGAACGAAATCCTGATCGATCTATCTTATCCAGTTTTTCAAGGCGCCGAGTTGTTTTACTAAAAGGTAGCCGTTTTCAGCATTATATTATTACTAGAGCACCTGCAACATACGAAGAGCATAACTTGTCTTTTTTGAATGTAGTTCCTTTATCATTATCAGATGTTTTCCTTTCTTGTGATTTGTCACTCCATTTACCTAATCCCTGTTGAAGTAGTCGCAAGATTTCTTCAATGCTTACATGTGCCTTTGGAATAAAAGTGTAAGGTAGGTACTTTGTATGGTAAGCTAAGTACTCACATCAATTGAAAAAGAAATTTTTTTATTCCGAATTTGATCACCAGTATCAAGTATAATCTCTGTAATTTCCCCAATTTCTTTCATCTTACCCTTAATTTTGATATGGTATTTATCCTACATTAGATTTTTAATAGTTTTTTTTAATGATTTGATGTATTTGACAGTGACATTGTATGGCACCGTTGACTATGTTCTTTTTGTCCAAAATCCCACCCAGATCCCGTCTGCTGGACAAAACATTATATGCAGGTGGGAATGTGGGATGAGGTAGCCGCATCAGTGGAGTTCTGTTAACTGGCAATCATTAGTTTTCTATGATTGAGGTCCCGACTCTAACCACATGATTGCGATGTTCTGAAGATACCTACTTCCAGTAGGTACCGTGGGTGGGAGATAAGCTTAATATAATAAATAAGGTAGAACTATACGTAGAGGTAACGACTACTGTCAGATCTTTACGGAATGGATTAACAGTGGTTTTGTCCAAATTTTAGCTAAAAGCGTAAATTATCAAAATCATCGTGTGAGACCGAAGGGACTTCAGCGCAGTGGCAGACCAGTATAATGTATTTGACGTTATATTGCTTCCTGTGCTTATTTTATTATGTACACTTTGCAAATAAATAAATATTATTATTATTATTATTCTATTAGCCAGTGTTGACTCTACCATCAATAAGATCAATAAGAAGTACTCAATTTTTGGGCACTTTTCATAGCTCGAGCTTTTAATGGCGACATGAGAAAGGGACCGCGATTAGAGCTCTCAGAAACTTTTGGACGCCCAAAGTCGACTATACCCCTCGAAGGGTACTTACAAAGAAAGGTGTTAGGCACCGACAAGATCTAACAGATGGCGGAGGCAGAACTTCAAATGTGAATTGCGGCCGAACGGAACGTCGGAAGAGGGTACCTTTCTGTTTTACCAAAATTCGGGTCGATCTGAGACAATTTTTTTTTCGCGCCTGAAAAGAAGGCAGTGTATAACCTTTCTTTTTTTGCCAAAAATCGGCTAGGTACACCAAAATTTCTCGGGAAAACACTTTTTCTTATTAATTTTGGTGCGTAGAATCCAAAACAATTCGTACTTTTTCGATTAGACTTCTCAATCAAAAGTTATAGACTAGAAACCAATTTCGAAAGAAAATTCAAAGGGCTGTAACTTTTGAACTAGTAGCCCAATCTTGGAACTGTTTGAAATTATGGATTCTACAGGCCACATTCTATAAGAAAATTTTTTTCTGGGTCGATCTGAGACAATTTTCGGGCCTCAAAAAAAGGCAGTGTATAACCTTCCTTAATTTTGGGGATGACAACACTGAGTTTTATTATTCCAGTCATTAGGTTATGGTTTTCAGTATTGCCATTCCAATCTTAAGTTCCTTAGGTACTATTTTCAAGTTTCTTAATTTTTGTTTCATGTTTCTAGTTTCCGATTCTACTCCAAGTGTAAAAAAATTCATATGTAGCTATGCAGTTTAAGTGTTTGGAGACTTATTCTATCCAAAATAGAAACTCTTTATTGAACTGGGGGAGGTCGGGTAATTTTTCCCTTGTATCGATGTCAAATAAACAATATATCTTTACAGTGATGATGAATCTACTTTTAGTGCAAAATGGATTGTGTCGGAGGTTATTCATAGATTTTAAACTACACATCTAAACGGTTGATTAAATTAAAGATAACATCGTAAATAGACTAGAATGTGATTCCACTTCCTGTCATGGTAATCATATCTGATCTTGCACGAACTACTGAAATCAATATAGGTATTACATATTCAAAAAACGATCATTTTGCACTGAAATGTCGACGTCTATACGGAAAACAATGTTAAAGCTAGTGTTCAACAGATTTTGCATGACTACATCCTTACATGGTTTAAGATTTTTGGTGATAGCCAAAAGTACAATATGCGAAAGGTTTTTATGTTACAAATGCTATAAATAATTAACTAATTGTTTGTAGAATATTTTGGGGAGCCGTAATTCTTTCAGGGCTAATAGGGGTAGCGATTGTATTACCGTATACGCGGTACTCTATGAGAAAGGATGAACCACTCGTTGTGACAGATTTAATGCTCAACCCCATCTGGAAATATCCATTTCCGGCTGTTACGATTTGTAGTAACAATAAGATTTCCAAGAGAAAAATGAATAAATTAATACAGAAACTGTACGCAACCTTAGGAGTAAGATAAAATATTTAGGCACTTCTTCTAGAGTATTGCCCACGACCGCGAAACCTATAGGGATGCAACAGATCAGATTGTTGTTACAATTGTTTCCTAATGTTCGTGACGTTGAATTGGATATCGAGGATTTACAAAGTTTACAAACAGTTTTAGATTATAATAACATGACGGTACAGGACGCTTTATATAATATTAGCCCCAGTTGCAAAGATACAGTTATCCAATGTAAATGGAAGGGTGATATCAGACGCTGTGGCAGTCTTTTTGAGGAAGTCATAACTCCGATGGGCATCTGTTGTAGCTTCAACTATGTTCACAAGAACATATCGCAGTAAGTGTAAACAAAGTTATTGTGATAAATTATGATAGTTAATTCTATGGTAAGTTTCATTTACAATGGCTCTTTATTTTCGTCGTTAGAGGTCATCCTAGTGTTATAGGTTTTACAGTGACTCTTAGGTTTCATTCACCTTACGTTATTCTTTTATTGCTAGAGGTCACACTATGTACCTTCCAGCTACAGTGACTTTATAGAGACAGTGGCGACAATAGAGTGTCTAATTTCTGATTGCTGGTTGTTGAGATCGCCGCCCATGTTGCATCGAGTATAGACCTATAATATTATAATAATAATAAAATAATAAAAATAATAGTATAACATTGTATTGTAGCGTACGCAGCACGTCATACTGGTATTGTGTGTTGCCTACTTTAAAAATAAATTTTCTATGCAGCATGGCGACTGGGCTTCTATTGTCGCCACTGTCTCTATAGTCACTGTATTTTCTGCACGTAATTCTATCCTTTCTTTTATTTTTTCTTGCGTACAAGCTATACTTATTCCCTTCAGAGATGATCCTGCATTCATAGTAGTTACAAATTAATTTTCTTTTATTGTATTCTAATTAAAGGTCTCAACGAAAGGAATCGTTTTCTACCAACTACTGCCCTTCTTTCTGTCCTCTTATCAAAGTACGGGGTGGAGGGGGATGGGAGGGGAGTGGGATTAGTTTTATCCTTCATGGTACTCTAATGAAAGGTCTCACCGAAAGGAATTAATTTCTACCAACCATAGCCTTCCTCCTCGACATCTTATCGTGATCAGGTTATTCTCTTATACCTCAAAAACGGATTGTGGGAAGAGGGGCGATTGAGACGTCCATTGGTGATGTCAAAACAAAAGCTTATTTCGGTTAAAAAATGCTTTATCTGCATATGAGTTGTGCACAATTTATACTTGTTTTCTATTCTCTCTTAATTTTCTCTTCTGGATTTCGTTATTATCTACCATTCCTGGTTACCGAAGAATACATCTTTCGCACTTCGATCTACGTTATTTTTGTCACTCTGATTCATTCATGTTAGTGTGTTATACGAAAATATTTAGTTAACTATGCTTTGTAAGTTAGTTTTTGAAGTTACCGAGACCTAATCCGCAACCGATATCTATGACTTTTATTTGCGTTACATTGTTTATTTACAGTTTGAATTAATTAAATCATTGCTGTTATATAGAAATTTAGTTAATTGTGCATCGTAAAGTAATTTTCTTGAAGTTAACGCCACGTTTATGCTTTTATATCACAGATTTTTACGGACGATTCGTTGTGTATCAAAATTTTGCTTTTGTTTAGTTAACGTTAATTGCATTATTGATTCTTGTTGGGTGTTAATTAAAAGCATGAATAAAACGAATAACAGATTTGAATTAATGTTGTCTAAATTATCGGTAAATCATGTGAAATGTTAAAATAGGATAATGCTGTGATTTAAATGCAAATTAACAATAATTAAAATCTAGTAACAGTAGTTTATCGTAAATGTCTCACTTTGTTGTTAGGAAAGAAAAAAGACTAGCTGGCATGGGAAAATATTCGGGGCTAATTGTTACGTTATATAATGACGTAAATGACTATGTTTTCACTGACATACTCGCTTATGGACAAAAGGTTTGTATACATTTCAATCTGCATATTTCTTGTATTTAGTTTGACTGACATTGCGACGATTCGTCGTTCGTTATTTATTACGAAACATTATTTTTAGCGCATTTTTGAAACGCCATTATATTCGTTATGACTGGCTGTCTGGCTGGCAGGCTGACTGGTCGACTGTCCGGCTGAGATCTCAGCAGTTACAATAGCTAGAGACTTCAAATTTTCACTAAAAGCTTTCTGCTATAGTGTTGATCTGCAGGTTCTAGTCTATTTCGAGTTAGATTAATCGTGTGATCGATAATTTTAAACTTTGCTAATAAAATGATCTGAATTAGGTACCAAAAATGCGCTTTAATCGTGCACATGCTGATTTACAACTTGCTTTTAATAGCATTACACCTTCTTTACCAGCAAGTTCAAACTCGCCTACGATATCGTGAAAAATAACGTTTGTCGTTTTTAATCACAATTCAAGATGAGACCAAGCTCGTGAAAGCATCACATCCGTTTTTCACGTATCGTGATTATCGCGATTCGTAATAGACGGAGCGCTGTGTGAACGGGGTGTTAGAACCGAATGCACCATAGTGATTCGTCCTCTATTCTTCTTCATTTGGACACAATTACCTACCTACTTACAAAAATTAAACATAAAAGACTTTTTTTTACTTATGAAGTTCGTAGACCCCATCTTTAAATCAACTCTGCTTACCTTGGTTCCCTAAGTCATACAAAAACATTCTATTAAAATGTTACAGGCGCTGATACACTTTCCTTATGATGCTCCGGGTTTCACTCAAAGAATCGTCATGCTTCCTGATGAGGTGATGTTAAAAATATCGGTGAACCCAACTTTACACCGTGTTGATAAAAATTTGGCACAATCGCTTTATTGTTTGGCCCGTGTGGATCAAAATACAAACACGTTCTATACCTATGGCAATTGTAAGATTCGCTGCAAAGTGGAAGTGGTAATAAAATACTGCAACTGTGTCCCGGTGTTTAGCAATATAATGCACCACAACAAAGGTAAGGTATGAGTGCATTTTTGAAAAAATATAGTGAGTGCACCCTCGAAATTCCTTACTTTTAAGCCATAAAACATTTGCGATCATCTTTTGGCACATAATTTATTTTATTGGGAAATCATTCAACCTTACATGTAGATATATATTTACTTAAGAACCCTAACTGCTTAAAATATCAACAAAAGCCCGAGGATGAGGATTTGGTTTGTAAAAGAATTAACTGTGCTTTCAGTAACGGTAATCACAAATGTGCTATGCAAGATACCTTTCATTGGAACCTACAGATGCTCACCATTTTATTTCCGCTCGATGGTTCATTGAAGAGTCTCTTTACTTTCTTTTCTGTGTAGATCGGACATTTTTAATCATTTACTCATTTGATTTGTTTAACTCTACCAATTACGCTAACGCTAGGGTCACACTCCCACCCCCACGCCGTTTATTTTTGCAATTCCGCCAAACTGATGCCAATGGTTTCCTGACTCCATCAGGTCACAAGCACAACGCAAACCGAACTCAATGATGAATTAAAAATGATCGCCAATTACATCATTCCGTCCCTTAGGATTCAAAATGTCGCCAATTTTTAAAATTGGGGCGAATTACAGTCAACATATCGTTAGAGCGATTTTTACGTTTAGGGTGTCGTTTTCGTGATTTTCATGACAAAAATAAGATCTTCGTTTTTATATCTACGCCGATAGATTGTATGATATCTTTAACGTACGACAATACTCGAAAGTTTTGACTGATTTGCGTAGTTGATGCGGTGTGTCCAGTGTGCACATTCGTAAATAACAGAAGCGTTATCCCTCCGAAAAACTCTGCAGCATTTTTGTACAACTTTGCTTTTCAAAAAAAAGCCAAACTTAAACCTACAAATAACCTAATGTCCAACTCCGCTGAATTGAGATAAACATTTTTGTGAAAAAAATAAAAGTGTAAAGAATCGAACCTGAGCCGCCTGCAAGACTAGTGTCTATACCACTAGACCATTATGGCACACATTCTATCGTGATTAAAAAAAAAAATTAAATATGCATCCGGTGTTCTATTGGGTACCACCAAAAAGGCTCATTTTTTAATGAATTGTTATGCATTTTGAATAAACAAGTAGGTATATAAGCGAGTATGGAACATTATGTCAAGGCAAATGGTTTCTCGTTGGGGCCAGTCAGAGGAACGTTAAAGGAAAAACAACATTCTATGACGAACAACACCGAGGCGACCGTCCTTCCACTTGCCGTGCTCAGAATGTGGTTGAAGATGTCCGACGGGCCAGTGATACCGATAGGCGCCTAACGCCTAATGAAATCAGATCCCGAGATCGCGAGATCCCGAAATACCGGGATCTCGAAGCATTTTTGCGGGATTAATCCCGCACATAAATGGAGCGGGATCCCGCGGGATTTGCGGGACTGAGGAATTTGTCGACCAAGGGGACGACTCTGTTTGCTTTGTTAATGAAACGCATAACGGAGAAATTATTTTTAAAATAATTTTTAAATAATTTTTAAACTTTTTTTTCTTCGAATCTTATCTCATGAAATCGGCATAGATATAAAAAATGTTCGTGATACAGAAATTAATTTTCAATATTATTTTTCATTTTCTTCGCAAAAATCGCCCTGAAATAAATCTTAGACGCGAGAAGAAAAATCTGCCATGAAAACTATCCGGGAGCACAAAGGATTCGAATAAACACACAATTATTTGATTGACGTACAATGTTCAAAATTTTTTCCGATACACACGAAATGAAAAATTAATACAAAATTCCTGAAATAAAGAAAAGCTTTGTGGATATAATACTCAGCACGCAACCGTTCACCAAATAAAATAAGAGAATTTAAAAAATCACTTAGTTTTTTTCTCTTTTAATAATCCAAATAATAAATTTTAATAACAAGGGAACCTTAACAGAAGACCGCGCGGTGCACTAACTGCTTGTTTTTTTCAACTTGACAGACTTTTTCCAAAAATAAAACGGACCAACTTCTCACACAACTGTAGTTACCGTATAATAATGACAAATTACATACGCTTTCCAACCGTCGCGAACCAGCTAGTCTCGTTTTTTGGTTGATTCCCGCTTTTAAAAGAACACCACTTCCACAATAAAATAATTTCCTTCCTCTGGACTTTCATATAAAGCCGCCAATTACAATTAAACTTGATAACAGGGTATCCCGTCATTATTTTTGTTGTTTAGACCGAAATAACGTCTACATGACGTTGTTTACACAATACATTACTTGAATTTCGCCTCAATTTTACTAGTTGGCTCCATTTTCAATGTTAAGGGACGGAATTTCTGGTTCTGGGACTCAAATTACTCTAATAGGTCTAGGGAACATGCGTATGAAGTTTAATATGAAATATCGAATAATACCAGCCTTCCTGGATCTGTTTCTACTAAGATGGGAAGAGGACAAAACGTTGAACATTTAAGGGTGATTTGCTTATGGCGCTAGGTTTGCATGCACTCCTTTGAAATTATTATTTTGTGAAAGCGAATGGAAACATTTCCCATAGCCATATATTGTTGGACCATTTTCACTATGCATATTCCCTTTTGACGGTCATGAACATAATTTTGCAACTTTTAATTTTATTTTAAGTTTTAATACTAAGCTTTCGAAATTTCAAACATCAAGTGTACTCACAATAATACTATATTCTTAGTTGTTAAACAACACACGAAACATGTTTTTTTATTATTATTATTTTCTTTTGTCGGTTTTGTTCAATCGTCATTCCCATATGTATGTTAATCATACGTTTCACATCATCATTATATAGTTAGTTTCATTCCACTTTGTTGTTTAGTTAATTAAATTGGAGGGGTTAAGTGGAAGAGCAGATGTGTGGCCATGTACTCCATCTGAACTGCGCCCCATTGGATTGTGTCAAAATTATATCTTTTCTTTTCCTTCTATTATGTTTTATATATTTTATCCACTATCCAATAAAAGACAATTTATTATTATAATTTATTATATGCTTAGAGAGGAATCAAATGTATCTATTTTTCATAATGTATAGTTCTTTACAGGTCACCTAAGACAGTGCCGTCTGACCGATGTACCTTGTGTGTCCAAATACAATAGTAAGTGAAATTGCATAATTACTATTGTGAAACAAATAGCAATAAAGCCATACATTATAGTTCTACTGATTCATAAACACTAACATACCTTTTGGGGGTTTCAAGAAGTGATTCATTTTGAGCACAATACGTATTTCGATTCTTTTATTTGTTTAGTTTATCAATTTTGTTTTAGATTTGATCTTAAACAAGTCCTGGTCAAAAATAATGTATACTCCTCCAGATACCTCAACTGCAGAAAGAGTAATATGTCAGTTTCTCCGTGATTTAGTTATATTTCATTTCAATCTTAGACTTTCCTCATTTTGAAAAGAAGGTCAAAACTCACAGGAAACCTGGTTTATTAGTTATGTGCTACACTTGAGATAATCGAGGGACATTACTTCTGACCAAAACCGTACATTCTATTGGTTGGTGTTGAATTTAAACTTTATAGAACCCATAGAAATGACATCTACCTACTGTTATCTCTTCAGTCGAAACTTTTGCGTTATATTTTATATATAAAACGTAGATACCTAAATGTCCAATAGATAACTTTCGAAACTAACTTTTGCCTATGTTGCCAGTGGAAACACTACACACTTCACCCATTGAATAAAAACACTATCAATGCTTCACCGTAATGTTGTTGAGTTTGAAGGAAAAATAGCACGTTTTATTCTAAGTAAAGTCAAAATTACCTACTCATTTAGTTCGGTGACAAACAGTTTCACTTTAACTGATGATACTATCCTGACACTATAAAATTTGATTTATTTATAGATATTTTTTATGACGGATCACATGTGAATGCTTGTTCTTGTTTATCTAACTGCTGGTATGCAACATATAAGCTGGAGATATCAAATGGAAAACTACTTAGAAACGACCGAACGGATTATTTATTGTAAGCATCATGTTACTTATTTTGCTTTTAACATGGCCATGTGCCGATGGGCCCATCTCTATTTTTGCCTTCAATAAAATGGTTAAATTGATGACATCCTTCAAACACCCTCCATAAAACGTCACTTATTGTTTACTATAATTATCCCAAGTGTTACGTTTCATGGGGAGGTATTTGAATGAAACTATGTCGCATCTGTTACTAAAAAATTTTTCTGCTCTGCTGATTTGTGTGGTATGGGTTCTAGTTGTTCAGCTTTCTTAAAGGTTTGGCCATAAATGTGGATCCTATCAGTAGAATGGTAGCGATTGCTTCGCATCTTAGTAAACTTGATGACACTCTTATAATTTCATACATTTTGATAGGCCTCCAAATTACAAAAACGTCAGCTTGCTCTTTGTCTTTTTTGGCCGTATGTTTAGCGAAAGTCAAATGGCTACCGTGGTGAATACTTGGGAGGAGTTGAGCGGTAAATATAGTCGTATTTACTAATGTTTTGACTTAAATCATTCACTGCAGGATTATACGGAGGACTTCTCAGCTTGTTTGCTGGTTTCAGTTGTGGAGTTCTGCTTGAGCTAATACAAACAGTTGTCGAGTTGATAGAAGAGAAAAGTTTTAAAGATGCAATGGGTACGTCGAAAAGAAACAAACGCAAGCGAAGCTCGAAGAAGCGCGCGAAATTGACAAGAAAGGAAAATCGGTGGTAAAACGAGCATTAGCAACAATGTTTTTGTAAATTGTCACACACGCAATAAATACTAATGTAGGAGTTTGAGTAATGCTATGAGCATTGTTGGTATTTAAACAATGCTATGAGATAATGTTTTCAACACACTGCACAATTCATGGTGCTTGAGCATTAATAGTATACAAGTGTATACCAAGGTTGCGAAATAATTGTTTGGTGTACCGAGACAATAAGTTGTGGCCGAGGTGTAAGCCGAGGCAAAAACCTCTTTCGGTACACCAAACACATTTTGCAGGCGCGGTGTGCACACCATTTTTTGTGCAATCGCAATATTTATAAATAAAAATAAATTTTCAATTTTAATATCTAACGACCCTTTGTCAATTGTGGCCTGATGCCATGGGAAAGTGTACGTAATAGTGTTGCCATGGTTTTCCATTAATAAATATTACACAAAATGCTCCAATTTTACTTATTATAGCTATAGGGGCCGCTAGAGAGGTGGCGAAGTGCAAGGTTGGTATATACAGGTTGCCTCGTAACTATCGACCAATAGCAATCGAGGCGCGAATACGTCACTGGTATCCCAAAATTTATACGAAATAATAAATGCATGCAGCAATACAGCTGGAAAATTTGATGCGTAGCTATTGTTTACAGTTCTTTCATTACGTTTACGGTTCTTTCATTACGTTTGAATCGTTTATCTAGTGAAACACAAATATTCAGTTTTATATTTTAAAATTTAGTAATTATAAATCGTTATAAATAATACAGTCAATCTTCGTCTGATGTACCAGTGTTTACCGTGAAAGATAAACAGCTTCATCTAACAATCAATTGCGTAGTCACAGTTTATATCGTCTCTACACTTAAGTCTTCGATTTGTAGATGAGATAGGCGGTATCAACGAGACCATATGATCCTCCTGCTTCGGTCAGTTTTAAACACGTTCATCTTCTGCCGGCCCGCAAGCACTAAATAAGATGTAGGTTCCGTCAAAAAATTTGACCGGATGTCTTATTTTTCCCTAAAGCATCATTTTCTTTCATTCTCCGTAAATATCGTGACCGCCAATCAACAATGTTGCTACGTTCCATCAATAATTGAAATTGAAATTAACATTACCTAATTTAGTTATGAGTTTTATTGATTTGCCGTCACAGCAGCAGCTAGCTCTAGCCTTTTCCAAAGGAAATGCCCACATACTGGCAGCTTTCTGTTTGTCAAAGAATTCCACGACCCTTTTAATAATATTTCTAGCTTCTGAATGCACAGGTATTACAGGAGGTTCAATATATGTATAACCTTACGCGTATGTCACATAAGCGGTAATGACAAGATAACGAAATTTGAGTGGCTACCACTGACGTCACTAGCAGACGACTTGATCCCCATTACTGCAGTTACGAGGCAACCTGTAATATACCAACCTTGGGCGAAGTGCCCATTTCGCAGCCGATTGCACAAAAATGTATATACTATATGTACTTATATTATATACTTTATATTATGTGTATTTTGACTGTGGTAATTCCTGTAATAGGCATTATTGCTGTTGGAATTAGATAAATAAATAAATAACTAAATAAAATAAATAAATAAATTTTCATCAATAGTGTTTTAATTGTTACACAACGACGCTAGTTCAAAGAACAATTGTTCATAAATACCTTTATTGTACTAAGACTTTTCTATATCCTCTTTGGCCGCTGCTTCGATGTTCAATTGAAGTTGGCATCTCGGCTGTGCTTTGCAGTCTGCACGGACCGGGCACAGAATTTGCGTGTTGTTACGGATGAGTCTGTAAACGAAGCGAGCCTGTCAATCCGAAGCAGTCCAGCGCTCGCCGCCACGCCGCCGTCCTGTCTCCACGCTTCCAGCCACCGCCGCTCACAAGCGCTACCACGCCACCGCCATCCCGCAGCATAGAAGGCGGCCGTCAGCTGGTGGAAGCCCCATGGCGTATTTCACACACACATAGCATCGCTCGCTGACCTACTGCATCCCAAGGTGCGGCCGTTCATGCGCCTACGGACCCCCACAATGTGATCGAGATGCTGCAGTTTCACGAGGCCATCCGGCGCCAACCGTTCAAAGAGACAAGCTTCCCTGTCATTATTGTACTGAGCGTCAATTCCATCGGGACGCCAGCTAACGCAACTGGGGCTGCCAAATATCGCCATTGGGGGTCGCCACCGCCTTGCCCTGCTGAACACAACTTCTTCGACTATTGGTTGGGCAACCGCATCAACAAAGAAGGATGCGCGATTCACGTGGGCGGCCGCCTCGAAAAAGGTGTTCGATAGTCTCCAAGAAACCCTCGGCCAGCCACTGGAACTCCATCGTCCGGACTTCCGGTTAACGTTAGTGCTCCAAATCGACGCCAGCGGATGCGGTATCATCGGTCTTTTATCAAGAAGACGGCGACGGCACATAGTCAGCTATGACAGCTCGAAACTATTAACCTCGCTTAGGGCAAATATCACGACGTAGCCAAGCGCCTCTGAGGCTGGATCGATCCAAGGACGATCGGAGTAAACTTACACGCTTGGTCCTCCTCCGACGCAGACGAGGAACACCTGACACTGCCCTCACACGACCAACGCCCCACCATCAACTACGTCGAAATGACTATACTCGTGGGAGACGTCCGGGATAACCAGAAGATCAGTCTCGACGCTCAAGAGGCGATCCGATCGTTGGCGATTCATCCACAACGAAAGACCCGCCAACATGGGGCGCGGCGGTATTCAAATGGGGCTGTGTGCACTGTATCACACCTATTTAGCACCACAGCCCAACCCAGTGGGGGCGCGGGACCAGAAAGCCGGGAACTTACACCTCAAATGGACGGGAATCCATACCATAGAAACCCTGACTGGAACCAACGGCTACTGGGTCCGGAGGGGCAACGACGAACTCACTAATGTTCACGACCTGCGAACCGCACCACCTCTACCAGCTCAACCAGCCCCACCAGTTTCTGCTGGAGGCTCTTGGAGAAACTGACCTGCAAACGAAGAGAGCCTGATGTTATTGCTCAGTGCGGCTCATCTAATTAAACACCACGGCGAACCGTCCGCCGGAAATTATAAGCAGCGTCGAAACAGCCAAGAAGCTCAGTCGAGCTGGGAAATAAGCGACCACTGGGACTGGTGGCCATGGCTCTTCTTCCTCTACCGCCAATCCGAGGCAGTCCAGTGCCCGGCGCCGGGGCGTCCCGCCAGTAACCGCAGGGCAACCGCGACCCCACGGTCCCGCAACGCCCTCTACTGTAGGTATGAACTTCGTTCTTCAGAATCCACTCCAGTGGATTTAGCTTAAAACGCGCGACACACTCCGAGATTATGAGTGGCGCAGATTCGGCGGCTGGGGCTGCCCGTAAACGAATGCTTCTATCCCACTATTTCCACTTCTATTTATACGTTATCTGTTGTCATATTAATTTCCGCATATCGTACTATGCGAATTTGTGTATAAAGTTACCGCAACTCTCATAACTCATTTTAATTCCATTTATATTAGCTCATTCCGAATATACATACGTAAAGCAGTACTTATTATTTTATTCTATCTATGTAGAAATAAAATTGCATTTGTAACCGCGCTCATTGCTTTATATTTTTAATTTCCTGTTTGGTTCCCCAAAATACCAACTTGGGTGATAAATAATACGTAAATGAAACAAATTAATTTCCTTGTAACGCAAAAATACACATACATTCTTACGCTCAAGGTTACATTCGTACCTAAAATTAGATCCTGCCTTCGTTTAAATTTCTGTATACGGAAACCCCGAAGTCTAAAGCTTCAGTTCTGAAGTCTAAAGCTTTTTAGATGTAAACGTTGTATACGGCTGTCTGATTCTTAATTATCCGCAAGCCATCATCATCAGGTGTTCATGGTGCTACATTTTCTAGTTTTTACTGATTCCGTACCTTTTGATTTAAGACACATCCAACATTGGACCTGGTGTTCTAGGTTTCAAGCATTACGATTTACGCTTTGAACTTAAGTCTAAGGCTACAGCTGGAAACTTTTTAAAACTTTGAACATGTGTAATGATTTCAGACTATTGGCCTCTGGTTTCAAACTTTGCGCTTCAAATTTTTTTTTCATTTTTAGGATCTAGGGATCAGGCTTCAAGTTTGGGACTTTAAGCTCCAGGTTTAGTTCTAATGATAAACAATTGAAGCGTCAAGGTTTTTAAAGTACCGATTTCAGGATTTGGGACTCTGGTTTTAAAAAGTGGCAAGGTTTGCCCTTCATTTTTTCAGTTCAGGTATCAGGGTTGAAATTGGAAGCCTTTTGGGCTTATGGTTCATGATCCTGTGTCATTGCGTACTTATAGGCTGGTCTTCAGCAGTTACTCTTTAAACTTGGATCTAACAGTTTTAAGTATCAGATTTCTTTGTTACACAGACACTCTTGGTTAACGGCTCGTTGTTATTAATAATACCCTACTTGTAACTTGGGGGGAAAGGATAATCCAATACTAGCAAATTGGTAACTTACAATAGACACACTTGGGATACCATAGCAACAGAGCAAATTGGACAATATTTTTAACATACAGTTCATTTCATCACATTAATCAAACTGATCCATTAAACCTCTTTCATTTCCTGTAAGGGCATATATTATGCAACACCTCGGTAATTGAATACGAAAATGTAAGTGAAAATTAATTTCCGGTTGGTAGGATTTATTTGTCTTAAGATATGGATTAGAACCGAAGCTCAATAGTTGTGTGCATACTGCCGGCGGCAACATCTCAAATTATAATGGAAACAATGATAAAAGAAAACGTGAAGGAGTTTTGTACAAACACCGGTGGTCACGGTTTCCACTACATAACGAGAAGCAATACGTTAACGTCTGAAAGGTGAAAAGTAGTAACAAATTTACCCTAAAACGTTGTCCTCCTTTCAGATTGCTGTGGGCGACATTGATCTGTGGATCATTAATCAGCACAATCGGTTTTTGTGTATTCTCACTGAACATTGCACTGAGAGTTGCAACAACTACTGTTGCGGACACACCGAATCATCCGATATCCAATTTCCCCTTTCCTGCAATTACAATATGCAATTTTAATACGATTTCCAAAACGCGAGCTGAAAAGGTGGCAAAACAATTGTAAGTATTAATGTCACATTGATATGTACTCGTTAAATTAAACGGTGTACTTGAACTTGGTTTTCGCTAAATCAACAAAGTAATGTGTACAATTTTTGAAAGATTCAAAAAACCCTCTTGAAAAGTTTACAGTAATAAAACCATTATAAAATTAAACGTATTCGAATGAGTGAGTGAAGTTGTAGTTCAATTTCTGATTGTACAATAATTTTGTGCTCTTTTTTGCCGGGTCAACCCCACGCAATGTAGCCCGGTTCCTAAGGTTGTTATAATTACACGGCCCGGTAGGTACACGTACACTCCTCGTCTTTCTACAAGCGTTTTTTTACGGGCCCTCATTTGCTGCCAGCAAGTCAAAGGGAGATAAAAGCTACCTTCTTATAAGTAAATTTGCAAAAATGCGCACTGTAAATGTGGGGTGAATTATATCGCTTAAGTTATGCCCAGTTTGAATTTCATGCAATTCGGTTCTTAAATGGCCGAAATGATAAAAAGTAACTCTGAATGTTGAATCAATAAGGCTTAATTTTTGGCATTACGTATTATATCGCTAAAGCTATGCCCAGTTTCCATTTCATGGGATTCGGCACTGGTAACACTCGGTAATTTTTTTTTAGACAATCCCCAAACGGCTCTTTCGGAAGCATAACTCGACTCATGCCTTTACTACACTACCTAACCGAAGCGACTCCCCCGGAAAATATAAAGGAAGATTTTTTCCAATTACAAAAAACATTCGAGTATAACAAAATAATTGTGAAAGATAGAGTGGAAGATTTACTACGCTATCTAGCTCCGACGTGCAAAGAGCAATTGGAAAGGTGCGTGTGGAAAGGAGAACGGGTTGCGTGCGAAAATTTATTTCAGCAAGTGAAAACACCGAACGGTTTTTGTTGCGCTTTCAATTATTTAGCTTATAAGTCCGTAGAAAGGTAGGTCCGATTGGCGCTGTGACAGTTTTCACACGGAATACATTGCAGCGGAAATGTGAAGAAACCGATTGCGCCGAGAAGGGTGTCGGCTACCGGGTACTTTTCAGCTTTAGAATTAGTCGTTAATAGCGTGCCAGAGGATTATCTAGCAAGCGAACTTTCGTCGTACGGCCATATGGTAATGACAATTGTATCTCTGGATTATGGACTAAGTTTAGCGTTACTTGTAGGTAATTGTGCACTATCCGTACGATTTCCTTGAAGGCGCATCTCAGATGTTACTGCAGTATGTTAATGCACTGACTTTAATAAGCGTGAAGCCAATTCTATACCGTACCGATGATAATGTCAGCAATTTAAGCATGGGGAAAAGAAACTGTTCCTTCATTGGAGAAAAGCAGTTGAAGTACTTTGTGTACACGTACAATAATTGCGTAATTGAGTGTAAAGCTAACATTATATTGGAACGTTGTGGATGTGTTCCTTTCTTCTACGTGCATTTAAATGGTGAAGGTGGGTATGTGATAACTGATAAGTTTGCCAAAATCTACCTTTGGTGTTTTATTCTAACTAAAAACGAACAGTCTTAGCCTCTTTTAGCGTTAAATTTTGTCGTGATGGACGATCATTAGAGCATAACTTAAATCATGGAAGTGTGTGAAGTTAGCCTCTTAGTCGTAAAATTGTAATTAAAGTTCTGGAGGCCACTCATCAACCTTAGAACGACCATTAAGTAAAAAAATGAATGAAAATAGTGGGGCAATCACACCGACGCCCATTGCGGAATTCCACCAAAAATATCAAGTTTTGGGCGGATTGGGTTTTGAAAAACACATTTTTTTGGTAGAGTTACAGTTACGTAATGGAGTTCTATGGCAAACTTTATAATACAAAATTAAGTAGACTTATAACAAGAAAAAGATGCAAGATTTTTACTTTTGCCACTAAGTAACCTCCGCTATGGTAACAGTATTTGCAGCAACTGAACCTGGTTACTATCCATACTAGCACCTTTCTGCTCTTATTTAATTAATTACTACCCACAAAGTGGCGGATTGTTAACGCAGACGGATATATTTAATCGTTAATTACCATATATTTTTCAAATTTTCCAAATTTGCAGTTTTCAGACTGCTGCATTACAGTACGCCGAGTGTGATTTGTAACTAAAGAGCCCTATCAAAAATGACTGAATATGGCCAGACATCTTTTCGTCTAGGTTTCCGAAACTAATTAAGAGAACAACAGTCCATTCAAATTAAAATACCCAGAAAAGACGATCTTCAATTTCACTACCAAACACACACGGACTAATTCCACCAAATATTCACTCGTACGCATTGTAGATTTCACATGATATGAAATGCCTAAATTGACTCAAAGATTTCGATTTTACCTATTTAAACAAAATTTGAAAAATTAAATCTACATTTAAAGCTAGCGTTACAGAGCTTAGACAAAAGTCCTAAAGATTTGGTGGGATTTTACAGTATTGCATAAACTGTCGGATGACCCTTCAAAGACACTGATACTTTTTATAATGAAGTTCCCCGCGCATTGCACCCTAAAATATAAAAATTGTTTATAAATAATGTTGTATATTTCATGCGATGCCTTAAACATTTCCATAAGAAATATAGTTTGGTGACTTACTATGAACTTTATAACTATTGATGATGTTTTCAGAACTCTAAAAAAAGTTCACTTTTGACCCACTGGACGACTGAGTGGCGCCAACTTCACTTTCCTCATACTTTCAACATTGTTAGGCTTATTATTAAGAAATGTAGGACCTTATCGGGTGCTTCCAGGACGTTAATTACAATTGCAAAACTTTGTCAATTAGGGAATAACTTCATGTGCGAGAGGCCTTTGTTGCAGAACACTAAATTATAAGCTCATTCTATTTTAGGATTTGTGAAAGAACCTCGCGTATGTAATCTGAGAGACGTATTTTGCCTGCAGCAAAATAAAGGTAAATATTAGGTATCAATTTGCACAATTCTTCAGTGCATATCCCAATGTTTTCTTAATTGTGAATGTTTTTTAAATAATTTGTATTAAGTTCAGTTACCATTCAACCATAAAAGCTTTAAAGATTTTTTTAAAATATATTTGTAAGTTGTAGTTTGTGTGTCATATACAGGGTAAGTTTTTTTTTCATTTTAAGCATTGAGATCTCGGAAATCATAAGACATACAGATTCAGGTAAATGAGGAGGTCGTTTTAAGAGCTTATTTAAGATATTCTTTTGTTTTTTGAAAAAAATCCACAGTTTACTAGATATGAGCGAGAAATAGTTTGAGCGATTTTTCATATAACTGTGGAAGAATAGTTGTTATTAGAAATACAGCAAAATGACACGAACCCCCCAGCCCCCACTTCAAAAACCTACATGGCAACCACGTACTTGTGACACATCTTTGGAAAGCTTTCCAGTGGTACCAATAAGGTCAATATTCATTAAGACAATTTAACAAAACTTTAATAATTAACAAGAAAACTAATGTTGACATTGAGGGATTTATGGCAAATTGGCCAAGAACTTCAACCTGAGCTTCTTCATTAAGCAATATTGGTTGCTTTCTTTTTTTATTGATAACTGATCCCGTTTCTTCGAATTTAGCGACCAAATCTTGAACATAGGTATGGTTTACATTTCTCCCGAGATGTCTCTCATTAAACGTTCCAGCTGTTCTAAAAGATGATCGATTTTCGGAGCCATAAATGAATATTATTTCCACACGTTTAGCTGTATTGTAAGTCATTGTTAAAGAGAAAAAAGGCAACAAGAGTTTCGCCGACTTTAACAGGACAATTTTGTATCACAAAAAAACAATAACTCATTTATTTAATATGACAGGAATAAATCAGACACGTGCCTACTAGATTCCAACAGAAAAATCTCGTCTCAATTTATAACTGCAAAACTTGTAAAAAAATAAGAAGATAATACAATACGGATTTTTTAACACCCTTACAAAAAACCCTTAATATTAATTTTTTTTGTTATTATTAAATTTTTGTTAAATTGTCTTAATGAATATTGACTTTATTGGTACCACTGGAAAGCATTTGTCAATAGCTTTCCAACGATGTGTCACGAGTATGGGGTTGCCATTTAGGATTTTTGAAGAAGGAGGTTGGGAGGTTAAGGGAGGGGGTGGGGGGTTGTCACTCATTCTGGTTCCCCCTCGATACTCCCGAAACGGTTTGCGCGATTTTCAATATCTTCTTTAAGTTTGGAAAATATGGACGACTGTAAGTTTTAAAATTGACACCCTGTATAATAAGAGTTTATTCTGGAAATATTTACACTAATTCCTACCTCTTTCATCAATGAAGTTTTTAAAATTGGAAATCATTTTTGAAATTCCTCTCTCCTATTCCACACATTTGTCTCGTCGCCACTTCGCCCTTTTTTCTTAATTTCCTTATTTGTGCATTAGTCCCATTATTGCGTTGGATTTGGTACCCTAAGTATTTAAATTCTCTTACTTCCTCTACCCTACCAGTTGTTCCATTTCTTCTGAGGTAGCTGTGGTCACTATTAGCATAAACTGACTAATTATTAACTAAAACATCAGGGTAACGTAAATTTAATTACGCCATTTATTTATTTACAAATAATTAACAATCAATTTATAACAGTCATGAAATGAGTTGATATATACCTAACAGTAAAATATTATTTTTCTATTTCGGTGTCACAATGATGATTTTGTACAACTGTTTTCGGCCGAAAACAGTTGTACAAAGACAGTGATTATAGTCGTTTTTTTTTGGTAACTCATCTCTTAAGTTGGCAGTTACTAGTTAGTACAAGTAGGTACTTCGTTGGGTACTTCCATGTTTGAACTTCAAAATGTCAGTCTTACTACGCTGCCAACCTAAAACTTAACGGCATAAAAAGTGTTCCCAACATAAAACATGTTAGTTCTAATGTTCCCTATAGTTTCTGATAATGATTTTTTTAATTAAATTAAAGCACCGAAATAGAAAAAATAGTATGAAAAACGCGTGTTACAATGCTTTATTGTAATACTCCTATCTTGCGGACACTCGTGGCTACGCTTCGCGTCGCCACTCGTGCCACAAGATAGTCGTATTACAATAGGTCGCATTGTAACACTTGTCTTTCAATATACTATTATCACTTACCAATACACAATTGATCACAGTGCGAACTATTGATAACTTCGGCGTCGTAATTAGAACTGCAACGAAACGAAATTCGTTTGCTTATATAGCGAACGCCCTCTCCTTCCCGAAAGCTCTCGAGCGCTTCCGAAGGAATCCGTACTATTCTAGGAGGTTCTAGAACAAACATGTCAACTTCTCAGAAAGATTACGTCACATCCCCCTTTGTTCTTTATCGTCGGTGACTAATCTTTCATGGCGCCTCGATGTTTATGGAAATTTCTGGAATATGTTCGCTACAGTATCCCCCAGTTGAGTTGGGGGGGGGGGGGCAATTTGTCCTTATCACAACTATCATGTAATTTTGAGTAAGTTTTGAACGTTTTGCGATTTCACGCTAGTGCTTTTGTAGATTTTGAACCTACAATGGTGATGAATATGTTTCATATGGTTTCAGAAATCATTACCCAGACACTTAGCAAAAGGTTAAACAATACCCCTAATTGTACTTGTATTGAGGACTGCGTCTACTGCAAATACACCGTTGAGGGATCTTTGGGGGTATTTACCAAACAATTTGTAGATCAGAAGCCAGTGTTATAGTAAGTATGGCTTTAAACAAAATAGCCAATTAAACTTGCTCTTAGCGGAGGTATCAAGCTGAACAATCAGAGCGTTCTCCGTATATACTTCGATGATGTTATGTCCATTAGACATACCACTTCCATGAAATATTATTGGCATACCATTTTAGGTAGGTACATACTGAGTTCAGTTTTCGATGTTATCCATTTTGTAGGTGTAATTGGCGGAGTGTTGGGCTTATGGATTGGATTCAGTGCGATTTCTGTAATCGAAATGGTGTATTTCTTAATTATTCGTCCGATCACGCAATTACTGATGCAAAGAAGAATTTCAAAACTTTACCTTGAATATGGATGCAAATAAATCTTCGTAATTGTCTTCATGTTTGCAGAGTAATGTAGGGGTAAAAAATTCGTAGTTACTTAAATTTACCTTAGATAGCATCAGGTATTTAACCAAAATGAAAATATAAGTTTAATGCAAAAGTAGATTTTTTAATGAGTTCGATAAGTTTAGTAATAAAGGGCGCTATATAAAACAATTCCTAAATCCTACCAAATAAGCCCTCGCAAACGAAGTAACGCGTTTTGTACTACCCTGGGATTAATCCATAAAATCCAAAACCTATGTATGAAATTTGAACTTTATACGCAAAGATTCTTTGAGTTCCCAACGCGGACGGATGGACGAACGGCTAGACGTTCAGACTTTTTGTTTATTGCTATTGAATGACTAAAGACATAGTCGAATTAAAAAAAACCATAAAATCAAAAACAGCAGACAATAAACTCAAAATTGAAAAACCTTATTATACAACGCATGTTGTTGGGGTCAGTTCTAAGAAGTAGAATAACTCAAAAACCAAAAGGGCGCGAAATGGATGCAACACAGCAAATGATATCACAACATGAGTACAAAACTGGGATATAAAGGATTTCTAGTTACAGAACACCGAGTGAGAACGTGAAGTCCCAAACTCGAAAACCATTAGGGCACAAAATTTTTGTGATACGTCGAAAGGAGTACATTAAGAAAGTGTTTGAATTACCCACCTTTTAACAACATCCTCCATTACGTATGCATAAGGTTTAATCAATAAAGTTATTGATAAAACAGCAAAGTCTTGGGGTTGTATCAGTGACATATTGTTCTTATTAGTCTCTATTATTTTAATAGTAGCATAAAATGGGGAATACGGAAAGCAATGTTACAAGCGGAGTTAAAAAACAAGCGGGCGCATCTATGCAAGCGATTTATAAACTGTGTGACATGAAAGGTAAGTTCCTTTACGTGTTGCTAATGGTATTCTGTGCGATATTTAGGAGGAGGATTATTGGTCGAATTGATGAAACGGGCAGTACAAAATAAGCAGTACGCCGAAATTGATCACGCTATTAAAACAAAGGTGGGTAGCATTCGTTTTGAAATAACCTCATCGTTTGGATCACAGATTGAACCTCTACTCTACAACAAAGGAAAGGGAAAGTACATCCCTATAAGCCAATTGGTCTTGTTGCGTAACAAAGAGAGGGCGCGCCACAAGCTAGTAAGTGAAGTTTTTGAAATCCTTCGCACATTTTTGTTTCTAGTTACCCCCACTGAAGTCTATGGAAAATCCCGATGACTTCGAAATAGACGAAGATAGTCCCGATGTAACAGAAGAAGAATACCAAAAAAGTAACTTTAATATATTAGATTTTTTCGATTGTACTGAAGCATTATTTAGATCCATCGATGTACAGATTCACGTGCTGGAAAATTAAAGACCGAGGAGCAGTTGGAGAGACCATACTTCATCTGTGTTTACTCCACGCCACTGCCATACATGCGGATATCGCAAAACGAGTACTGCGTTTTTATCCCAAACTCATCAACGATATCTACTTGGCTGACGAATACTACGGTAAAGGTCATTGAGATTAATTTGCCCTGGTACTTACTATCTTCGTTTTAGGTGAAAATGTCTTGCATATCGCTGTAGTGAATGAGGATCCGGGGATGGTAAAGTATCTTTTAGAGTCTGGTGCAAATTTTGAGGAAAGGTGTTTTGGCAACTTTTGGTGTCCGGAAGATCAAAAGTCTTCCAGGCAGGATTCTTTGGATCAGGAAGTGGTACTTGTTTCACCCGAAACAAATTATAAGGGGTACGAAATGTACTTGTCTAGATTTTTTAATATTCGTAACTAACCAAATACTTGGTGCTAAATCCTATTCAAAATAAATTTACACGCCTGCCTCTGGATGCTAAATAAAATTTAACCCACATAAAAGAATGAACTTAAAATTTAATTTCACATATATCTTTGGTTTGGCTTCACTTGTCGTTCATAAAAAATAGACAAAATGGTTCAAGGGATAAAGTCCTACAAATCGACCTCTTCAGTAATGTTAGGTGTAAATTCCTTAACAAATCCCCAAAAATGGCCGTTTCCTATTTTCATAAAATGAAAAAATTGAACTAACTTACATTTATCGATTGGTTGAACTGTTCTTCCATTGACAGCTGATTTTCTCCTTCGGAAAGATTGCAGCGAGTTAGGAAATTTGAAGGTGTAACGCCAATCTGACTTTTGTATCGCCAGTTAACAATGGTTACTCGTTGAAAGTTAATCTCGACTGATGGTTGACGAATTTAAATCCAGACCACACCCGTGCATCAGGTTTTTTACAATGTTCCGCACCAAAGGTTCGGCTAAGGAATCAATACGTGATAGGAAAAAATTCAACGTACAACGTGCATCTTCGAAGGCTTCAGTAAGAATTTCGCTCTCCCACCAGATTTTTACTTACGCACCTCGCCGAATCCCAAATACAAAATGAACCACAACTTTTGTATTTTGATCATGTGCTCGGCTTTTCGCAAAACGGAACGCAAATTTTGAGGACTGTGCGATCGTGGCAACACTGTAACGTTTTGACTCTTATCTACTTGAACACTTTTTTTCCTCGAATGTTAGCTCTGTCCTCTTTCACTATGAAGCGGTACACGTATAAAATTTCCTATACCAACCTAACCAACCTACACCATTGTGTTTTGACTAAATTAAAAAACTAATAGGAAAAATCGAGACATTTTTTTATTAAAAATTAAAAAAATAATAATAAAAAATTTTTGAGTCTCGATTTTTCCTATTCGTTTCTTAGTTCGTTCTTTGGCCTACTTTAACTTTCACTTTCTGATCTGAATTCTATCAATAACATTTTTCAAATAATTCCCGGTTAGCACGAAATGAAATTAAAATTAATTGGGTATTAAAAGCAAACTAATGGAGATTGGCTCCTTTCCCCTTTTTCCTGAATCTTTGAATTTGGCTTGAATGCAATTTCTTGGTTAAGAAATAACAACAATTCCTGCATGATATTCACGTAAATATATTGATCCAATCAAACTCAAACCAGCTCCCCTCCGTTACAAAATGTTCGCCTTAAAATTAGCTTGATTAAAACTCTCCCACTCTCTTTTTACTAAATTTCAAATTCGTGATTACGTTTTTTAACCCTTTCTCACTCTTAACTGTTTACTTACTAGCAATGAAATCAAAATTCAAAATACCTTTAACTTTCATGCGTATAACCATTAAATGTCGGCTGGATTGAATGTTGAGAACGGTTGCGGTCTTAAAATCTCCTTCAAATTGTGGACTCCGGGTAAAGCTTTGAAGAAACCGAAACGTTGGGAAGCAGGGCCGGACTGGCCCAGGCCGCTAGGCCGCCCGAGCGGCCGGGTGCGGGGACCCTGGCTGGGGCCCTTGTGAAACCGCGAAGCGGAGCCTCCGTCGCGGGGACCCGCTAAAATAAATTAATTGATACATTTGCCAATACGTGATTGGAATTACAGCGCCTTCTCCTTTAATTTAATGTTCAATACTATTCAGCAAGTTGTTTGAAATACAATTAAAAAAATCTGCAAATCCCTTGTCTTTTTTTTCGGGGGGGGGGGGGGGGGCATAAGTTTGGGGCCTTTTGGTCATGGAGCGCCCGGGGCCCTTACCCACCCAGTCCGGCCCTGTTGGGAAGTTGGGAAGTTTACATTTAACTTCGCCTTGAAATTCTTTACCGTAATTGATCTCACTGAGACAACGAGCCTATTCTTCGTTCAAGACGGAATAATTTTCCTTTTTACGGGACGTGTTTTATAGAATACGACCGCCGGATTAAACTTGTTCATACCACTCGAACTCTTGCTTTGTCTTGATATGTTCTCGTGCAAAAATTTCCTAATTAGTAAATGAATTTAAGCAAACTGTATTGCGCACGTTGAACACCAAAAGTAAAGTTATTTACATATACGAAGGTAATATTTTACGCGTTACCACCAAATAACACACTATAATTTTATTCACCGGCTTTGAAACGTCCGTAAATTTCGGAACGTATAATTCTCGGTGGAAACGATACTTCCTTAAACTGGACCTTATTGGTCGCTTCTAATACAACGTTACTAAGCTGGCTAACCCCAAAGACAAAAAACCAATGCTTTATTATTGGGACCAAATGGCCGTTTTGAGTGGCAAAACGCGAATCCTTGCCTAAGGGGTCGTACTGATCGCTGCGAATGGCAAAACGCGAATGCCTAGAAGTTATCCAAAACAAATACCTTCTTAATTAGTCAGTAAAATTTTGAACGTCCATAATGGCGGATTATCACTCAAAAATGGCAATGTGTAAATTTTCATTGGTTAGTGTCTTTTGTACTACCAATCCTAAACGGCTGTTAAAGATCGCACTCAATTCAAACGTAGGTATCCTAGTCCTTATACTTGTCTGGCACATTGATTTGTGAAACGCATAAACGCCAAGTGAAATACGATACCATCACGGCGCCCTTGCATAGATGGTTGAATAGGTGGACATGAACTATGTACACTCGTAATACAGTAGCCATAATTTCTATTATTAATTTTCTCAATCTAAATGGAACTCTATCTTCAGGTATGTCTATTGGGGAGAATATGCTCTGAGCATTTCAGCCTGTTTAGGACAAGAGGAATGTTATCGTCTAATATTAGCCAAGGGAGCGGACCCCAACGTTCAGGACACAAACGGTAATACAGCACTGCACCTTCTGATCATTTACGAAAAAATGGTAACATCATACAAGTTCGATATAAAATCAACAAATCTTACATTCAGGACGCCTTCGACATGGCATACGAAGTGGGATCCAGTCTGTCGATAAAAAATGTGTTAAATCTAACACCGCTAACCCTGTCAGCAAAACTGGCCAGAATCGAAATGTTTTATCACATATTAAACTTGGAGCGAGAAATCTATTGGCAAATTGGAAGCATAACATGCGCCGCTTACCCTTTGTCGCAAATCGACACGATTGACATGGAAACTGGTCAAATAAGCCCTACGTCTGTTTTAAACTTGGTCGTGTTTGGGGTAAGTTTGAATATTTTAATCGCTTAACATATCCCACTCCTTTGCAGGACAGAGACGAACACTTAGAGTTAATGGATGGGGTTGTTATTGATTTATTAAACGCCAAGTGGAACACTTTCGTGAAGAATAAGTTTTATAGGCAATTCTTCACGTTTGCGTTCTACTTCCTGATTTCGCTGGTATGCTTCACCTTGCGACCTGGTGTAACCATCACAAGTTCCGTAGCTTCCAAAGTAGCTAATCAAACCAGCTCTAGCACAAAACCTGTGGACGTACAAAATTTATCACTGATATTAAATGAGTCTCTCAAGATTCTGCCAAAGTTGCAAGGTGAACACCACAACTCACCTGCATCACGGAACGGGACAGCAGACGACAACGACGTGGATGATTGGTGGAATAACTTACAAGAAGAGTGTCGATTAATGCAGATTAATTCTACCGAATCTAAAGTGAGGATCCTAGCCGAATTCGGAATACTGATCGGTGCGTTCCTTTACTTAACTTCCGCCGTTATGGAAGCGAAATTTTTGGGCCTGCGAATGTTTTTTGAAAACCTGGTGAGGAATTGGTAGTCCAATTTGGTTGGTCATAGTGAAATTGCAGACGAACGCCCCTTCAAGAGTAATGTTTTTGTTTTCGTGTATACTTGTGCAGATTGTGCCTTTTTTAAGGCTCTCCTGCAAAGAAGATGCCGAAGATACCGTCACAGTAGTAATCATGATCACTACGGCGCCCTACTTTCTATTCTTCTGCAGGTAGCGATAGGAGATTTACGGTTCTTATACACATAGGTCATTGTAGAGGGTTCAAAACCGTCGGTCCCTTCGTGGTGATGATTTATCGTATGGTCATGGGTGATCTACTGCGATTTGCTGCTATTTATATGGTGTTTGTAATGGGATTTTCACAAGGTAAATCTGGGGCTTAATGCTGACATTGGGAAACGACGAAAGATATTGTAGCTTACTACATCATCTTCTTGTCTTATGACAATCCTCTAACACCAGAGGACGTGGACGATTCTGCAACAAATCCGATGTCAAGCCCCATAGAGTGCGTCACCGCCATGTTTCTAATGTCACTCACGAACTTTGGCGATTACTACGTTGCATTTGAGAAGACCGAGCACGAATACGTCGCTAAGGTGAGCCACTTACATGGTTAACCGATAGCTCCACGGTATCAGTTTTAGTTGCTGTTTGTCATTTACATGGTAATTGTCGCCATACTGCTGATTAACATGTTAATTGCCATGATGGGAAATACTTACCAAAAGATAGCCGAAACACGAAACGAGTGGCAAAGACAGGTACTGTTTCAGGAACAAGTGTTGTTTTTATCTTTTTTTTTAGTGGGCTAGAATTGTTTTAGTGGTTGAAAGGGGAGTAAATCCCACAGAGCGATTGAAACAGCTAATGGTTTACTCACAACCCATGTCAGAAGGGACGCGGGCTTTGGTGCTTCGATTAAATCAAACGGTAGGACATTTTTTTAACTTAATTCACATAGAACGCCGTTCCTGATTTTTGGCACTTTTTAATCAGTGTGTAGCCAGATATATATCGGGTGATCAAAAATGAGTCAGTTGCCTTTGGAAGTTCAAAATTCCAAAGGTGACTAGACGGTCACTCATTTTTGGTCGCTATGTATAGCTTTCACAAAATATTCAAAACAAGCCACATTTTTCGGAAAACAATTTGTCACTAGTAGATTTTAGGCTGTAGAATCCAAAGTGGCCAGAATTTTCATGAATGATTAAAGGATTATACCAAAATCTATGAGAAAAAACAAATTTGTAAACAAATCAAAGGCAAAGGCTAGTTCTGTCCCATAATCCTTCAACCTGAAAAATTCTGACAATTTTGAATTCTACCGGCGAAAATATATCAGAAAGTCTTTTCCAAGTTAACTCGGTGGAATTTAGTCAACATGCGCTCAGGTTTTCAAATTTTTTTCGTTAGTTTTCTGTTCCCGTAGTAGAATAACCCTAGCGCATAGCCAACCCCAGCGCTGAAGTTTGGTTAGGCTTGACCGATCTTGACTTCTTTCTTGTTTCGTGACAAATTTTAGAGTGAGCTACTTTCCAGCTTTAGAATAGTATTTCGAAGGAGTCTTAGGGTTTTTGCGATATTTAAGGTTTTTTTATTCTTTGAGGGCTCCAGAAATGGTGTAGATCCTGCACTATAGGCGATTAGTGGTAGTGATTAAATACTTGGGTGGTGAAGGACATACGATTGCTTTTTATATCACTTTTATACGAGTTTTAAGTTCCCATTGTAGGTCCCTCAGACCGCACAGTACAGTAGCAAACCGAAACAAAAGGGAAAAGTAGTAATAGTAAATCGGATAGGCGCCACTTAGTCTTTAGTAAATTTTAAAAGGTAGGAGAGGATAGTTAGCGAAAGGGGAAAAACAAGAGATCCTTGTTCTGGTCTTGATAAGCTAAAGAAATAAAATACTTGACAGAGACAGAACATAAACAATAGTTTAGGTCACAATTAAGGGTAATTTAATTATCTCACAAATATTACAAATAGGACACTGTATATGTATATAGCTCTGCAATGTCAATATTTAAATTTAAATTAATTTTTAGTAAAAAGGAGATCAACACGTAGCCAGAGTAAATTACTAATCCGCAGAAAACAACGGGGCTATAATTGTTAAATGAATCTCAAACAAAGTTAGTAATTACAATTAAATTTTATCGAAAACCAATATGCAATCAAACGTTAGATGAAGGAGTCAATTAAAAATTTACCTTATGAACTGCAGGTCCAGTGGCCTTGCTGAGCTTAAGAAGGGCGCTTTATGCCAATCTGTAACAGATACAAACAAACAAATAAGAGGGGTCGTGTATAGAGCGGTACATAAAATATTGCGGAAGCAATTCTAACGTCTGGGTGTCTGACACTTGGGAAATCGAATACTACATCATAATTAATACTCAATAAGAAACAATAATTTAACTTACGTTAACTAACCATAAGCAAAATTTTGACTCGACCACGGATTGCTCGTACACCGTTAGAGGAAATTATAAAAAAAAGTTGAAGGTTGAACTAGGGAACTAGGAGAAAGCTTTGAGGGAAATTGAGAGGGAAGGTAAAGCCCTAAAAAAATTATTAAGAAAAATGCGAAGTAATAATATAACATACCTAGTATTGATTAATTGCGAATACAAATCCGCCTAAAGCCGTTCAATAGGGCACAGCCACAAACATCGAAAGAAAGAGAAACTCACTCCAAAGATATATTGTAACAGCTACAACCAAAATGCCTTATACAGATAAGACACGAAGCAATAGTAATGGCGTACACTGCGCGAAAAATACAACCCGTGAGCAAGATAAAATTGAAAAGGGAATAGAATTAGAAGTACCACGAAAGCATCTATGCCCGCAGCCCGATATCGGTCGGCGAAACAAAAAACACAGGCATTAAGAAGTACACTAGAGAAATAACTTAAATCGTTGAGTGAATGATTACTCAATGCTTACATCTTATTAAACTAAACTTTGCAAAGGAAATACCTAGATCGCTTAAGAATATTGAATATAAACGAGAGTAAGAATCAAATAGAAAAAAAAAACATCCTGTTTCAAACCCACGTACCATTCGCATTGAATGATTAAATTTTATTGTCCTTTGGAAAACGAGAGGGATATTTTATGATTTCAGTCCCTTTAATTAACTATGACCCGTTTTTAGTTTCCCAATGTTAAGTGAAACCGAGTGCATATGCAATTACGTACTTTAAACACGAACCTATGCGTGACCCTTGTCTGAATAGGTTGTGTTTGGTGTTAACTGATGCGCGCTTAATTAGTATGAATTTTAAGGCTAGACTGGCGCTCGAGATAAACCGTTCCGTTCCAACGAGATTATCGCACCGTCCTGTCGACTACCTAAGATTCTTACAGTATTTCAAATATAACTTCAGAGAATTGTTATTGATTTAAAAAAAGCCGGATTTTTGCCCTTAATTTTGTTTTAATGCCAATCACCACATGTAAAATTTTTTGGATTTGGTTTTCCTTACTGCGGACTAGCAGACATGGCCAGCATCCTAGTTTGTTAACCTATCATCGTTTTAAGAAGCAAGTAATATTCTAGTATGTAAAAATACTCTTTTATTGTTACATTCTTGTAGTTTTTTTGCTTTGATAATGGCCTGCTGATAATCAGACCGAAACATATGTATGTCAGCTATTGTACATCTTAATCTGCAACACCTGTAAATACCACAGCAGAAATATAAATTTATTTGCGGGAGACAACCTCTTGTGTTCTTAATATTTCAATCCAATTAGAGATGACGGAATTCAGAAAGTAAGGCATATTTTGATTTCTTTAAATCGGTTTTGTTGGCGCAACCTTGCTTATCGTGATCTTTTTGAAAAAATCGGTTTTCTTGTGATCTAGTCATCGATTAATCTTCGTTTTTAATTCACAACTGATTAAAAAATCTGGTTTTCTATTTATACCGGGACAAATTGTTATGATATTGAAGTAATAAAAAAATGCGCTTCCTTTGCACATAGCTCGTGCCAAATTACATCCTCTATAGTCTTTGTAAAAGATGATCACGAAATACTTCCTTGTGATCAAAATTTAAAGTTTACCTACTTTTAGGAAGCAGATAAAGAAGAAATGAAAGAGATTCTGGAAATAAAACGTCGCCATGACCGAAACGTAAAGAAATTACAACAAAGAAAAGGTACAGTATTTCAGATAAGTGATAATTTCATCCAACTGTGAACATTTTAGAGGACCAGAAGAAGAAAGCAAACTAAATATTCAATGGATTATCAAAGAAGGTCCTTTGGGATGTGTAGGCAAGATGACTTTTGTTCTGCAACCCAGGCGTAATTAGGGCTAATCATTAAAACTTAATACTAATGTTGTGTGTACGAGTATGATTTTTCATTGCAATATAGGTACACTTTCTAGCAGTTTTTTCAAATAATTACCTACTTATCAAGTAGCTTTCCGAATTTACCCAAATGACAAAGTTCGCCCTTTTTGTTTTTATTGACAGAGACCTAATTTGAGTTATTGCTTTTGTAATAGCGTATGGATATTCTAAAAATTCTAGTGCGTTAGTGTTTTTGGGGATGTCTTATGCAGGTCACAAGTCGCGGATATTCCGTGACGATGGCGACATACCGGAGGTTATTAGGAGAAGATCCGAAGGTCGATTGAAAAGTTATCCGTCTACGCAAGACGCTAGAGCATGGACCAACGACGGAGAAGAGCGGAGGCAGCAAATCTTAGACCTCATCAACTCGGATATTCAAAAGGTTAGCAAAAGCTGCACGGCCCATGTTAAACTATTGGCTTTTAGTGTTCGATGGGAAAGTATGTCCCGATCGATGTGCTTATAAACACATTATTGGCAAATAAGAATGCAGACGCTGCTAGATTGAAAAACCAAGTGGACGCGTTACAAAAGTTATTGGATATGTACTCAAAATTGGACCTTACAGAGGACCAAAAACGAGCGCTTGCTAAAATGGTAGTTGTTGTAGCTTTACTGGGTTTTTACTTTATTACCTATTGATTCTTTAGAAGCAGGAAGCAGGTGGAGACTTAGAAAGTATAGCAGCAGGCCGTAGTCCTAAGGGTTCGCCGCGTGGTATGTTAAATGAAACCGTCGAAAGTTCTTTGACAAAGGGGGCTACCAGTCTGCCACGCACACTTCACAGCTTGATGGTGGATGACCAACTCCTCATATGACGTTTGTGAAATACAGCCATTTTGCCACTTTTTGTTACTGGGCTCAAGAATTAAACAAATGGCGCTAGTGGCCCCCTAAGCCCTAAAAGTTGAATACATTTTTGGAAAAGTTTTGGATAATTTCCCTCAGGAAACTTTCCGTTCGTTTCTAGTGTGTAGTTGCGCTACTATTTTGCATGTTACTGTCAGATCAGGTAAATGTGGCTAAATGGCTGTATTGCACCAAGCCACAGAGCCCATAGTGCGTAGTATGCTAGGAAGCTGAATTTCCACAAAGCTAAAGTCCACATGTCAGACTGGGATTTCCCTTGTAAGAGTAGGGAAATATATAATCGTCCTCTATCAGATGATAGAGAAAAATGCGCTGCAGTTAAAAGAGAACGGGAGGGATCATCGTGCTCTGCACTTCAAAAAGCGGGTCAAACTAAAAAGGAAAAAGATGGAAAATCGTGTGCGGCTCTTGAGAAAATGGGTCAAGGTGACTTGAGAGCGCTCGTGGTACAGAAAGACGCAGAGATTACAGCACTGAAAAATGAGTTAGGGGTACGAATTCAGAAACCTAGGTCGTTTCTATAAATGAACTATTTCATCAACAGGCTACCAAAGCAGAGCTGGCTGCGGCACGTGATAAATCACAAACATCCAAGACGGATGCACAAGTTAAGGTAAAAGCAATCCCATTTCGTACCAAAGTTATCCCTATTCTATGCCCAGGGACCTGATAAAGCATGCATTAAGGAAATAGAAGGCCTTGAAGCAGAACTCCAGCGACTAAAATCGAAAGGTCAGTTATCGGCCGACGATGAAGCAGAAATAATACGAAAAGAAATAGAAGTGCTAAAGAGATACTGTACCAAGCTTTCCACGATAGAAGAAGAAAATAAGAAACTTAGGAACAAGTTGGAAGGTCGCGATTCTTCACCAACAGGTATCTCCTTCAGTTGCAGCTGCGTTAATTAACGTTAATCATTTTAGTAACCACATCTAGCGCTTTAACACCTGACGATGATCTTAGGATGGAACTTAATTCGAAAATCGCAAAACTAAATGAAGTAGTTGGCGAAAGAGATCGGTTAAAGAACCGAATTGATGTACTGGAGGGAGAACTAATTAAGTACACAGACCTACCAAAGGAAATTAAGGATGTAAAACGCAAGGCAGAAACCATAGATACTAGATCGATTAAATCTGCAGACAAAGCAACGGAGGTCGATAACGCCCAGGATGTTCAGCGAGAAATAGAAACGTTAAAAAAGAAAGCTAGCGAAGCTGGCGAACTGCAAAGCAAGCTGGACAACGTTAATAAGGAAATTGAACGTGTGAGGCGAGAGTCGGCGGCTCAAATTGAAGAGTTGAAATTAAAACACGAGGAAATGACAACCAAACGGCAATTTGAGACTAATGACATGCACAAAGAGATTAAATGTTTATCGAAATGCGCACAGGAAGCGAAGTCCTTGCGGTGCGAACGAGATGACCTCAAGAAGAGACTTGCGCAGCTCTCTGGACTGGAAACGCAATTTAAAAAATTGCAAGAGAAAGTGAAATACCTCGAGTCCATCAAGAAAGAGCGAGAAATGTACAAGATGAGGTACGAGGAGTTGTTGGGGTTGGAATGCCAGTGCGAGATTCTGAAAGCCCAGGTTGACAATTTTAAGAACATAGATCAAGATCGCGAGGGATTAATTGCGCAGCTCAGAGACTGCGAATGCTGCATTGCTGATCAAGAGGAGGAGATTAAGAGACTGATAGCTCACATTGACCGCATGAGTGATGGCTGTAATGAACAACAGGTAAGTGTAGAACGTTGTACTTTTCAAGTGTGGCAATTTAGGTGGTCATCTAAAGGTCAAATGTGTTGTTAGGGCCGGATGCAGAAAGAAATTTTAAGTATGAAAGCCGAACTTCATCAAAAGAACGCGCTAATATCCAAGTCTGAAGAACGCCTCGCTTGTGTACAAGAGCAGTTGAGAAATACAATTAAGGGGGTGACTTGCGAGACTTCATGTCTCAGGAAACGTATTCTCGAATTAGAGCAGGAGCTTGCGCTTGTAACGAAGACAAAAGCAAGTAGATCAAGAAAAGGGGCCCCAGATTCAGATGAGCATTTCAATGAAATGTTACGGCAATCAAGGCACGCGGTCAAAAGAGTGTCTGAAGAATTAGAAAAACACTACAAAGAGTGGGATTCATTAAAAGGGATGTCGGTAACCACCGATCAAGAAATATACGATAAATATGCCAACGAAAAACGCACCAACGCAGAATTACTGAAGAAAATCGATACGCTTCAAGGGAAACTAGACGAGTCCAATGCCCTAAATACGAAATTGGCTAATGAATCTCAAAAAGAATATGAACAGCTCAAGGTAGAAAATACCTCATTGAGGCGATACTCTACTGAAATACAGGCATCTGCAAATGATCAAATTAAAGATTTAATAAATGCCCTCGATGATGCCCATAAACAAATTTCGCAGTTAGTGTTAGAAAATAAAGAGTTAAATGAGTCTCTAAAGCAATGCAAAGAAAAACCAGCACAACCTGTTGAAAGGGCAGAAACCCAAGTGTCTGGCGAAATTGATGCAATCATAGATCAGAATAAACAGTTGTTAAAAGACAAGCTCACACTAGAAAATGAGATCGATACCCTAAAGCAACAATTAGAGAATTATAAAAAGCAATTGGATCGAAGAGTGTCGGGCGATAATGAAAGGCAAATGCAAGAAAAGCTGTGCATGCAAGACATTATTAGACAATTGCAAGCACAAATTGCGGCAATGGAGGCCCGGGATCTAGATTCACAATTGCGTGTGGAAACTGCAGTACCAACTCGTGAAAGAGATTCAACCACTGAGTCGCCTACATTAATTGGGAAACAACTCCAGATTCAGCCAGATTCAAAAAGCGCAGCGGTTGAAGCTGATACTCCCGCAAGTCCGAAAGCGATGCCAGCTCCTGAAAGTCTCCCTTTTGCTGATTCGGAGGATTTAATTTCTAAACTTAGGGATCAGCTAGAAAAAGAACGTGCCAGAGCAGAATCGGCGGAAAGCAGTCTTCGGCAACTTAAAGGTGCAGACGAACAAATCACCGATTCATCTGATATTATTGCAAAACTAAAATCGCAACTTGAGCAAGAAAAAGCAAGGGCCAATTCGGCAGAAGCCAACTTTAAAGAGCTGCAACAAAAATATGAGTCTCGGGTTGTCGACGCAGCACATAAGGGAGACGTTACAGAGAAAACGTCAACTGCCGAAAGAGGGTTAGTAACCGATGACGACGCTCAACTCAAATCAGAATTGACTGCAGCGAGAGCAAGAGCCGAAACTTCAGAAGCGACATTAAAGCATTTGCAAGCTACAACAGAGTCTAGTGAGGCTGCAATGTCTGATATAATTGCCAATCTTAAATCACAATTAAAGCAGGCAGAAGCTAAAATTGAGGACCTAGAAGCGAAGTTGAAGCATGCACCCACTGGAACCGCGATGGAAACGGATTGTCTAGACGAAATTGCAAAATTGAAAGCAGAGTTAGAGCAAGAAAAAGCAAAATCGGCCAAACAGGTGAAAGTCGAATCGCAATCTCAAACCGACCTGCAAAAAAGCGACAAAGAATTGCAAACGAAACCGAAATTGGAAAAGGTGGAACAGAGGTCTCGCGCAAGTGGAGTTTTGGCTGACGAATTTGATGATAGCGCAAAACTGAAATCGCAATTAGAAAAGGCAAACGCTCGAGCAAATGCTTCGGAAGCTACTCTCAAAGAGTTACAGGCCAAGATAGGCGCAAAGCGGACTCGTGAAAGTGGAGTTGAAACTGATTTTCAGGATGAGACAGCAAAACTGAAATCGCAATTGGAAAAGGCGAACGCAAGAGCCGATACTTCGCAAGCCAATTTTAAGGCGTTGCAAGCTAAAGTAGGTCCAAAGCGTACTCGAGAAAGCGGAGTTGCAACTGATTCGCAGGATGTAACGGCGAAACTCAAATCGCAATTGGAAAAGGCAAACGCTAGGGCAGAGTCTTCGGAAGCTAATCTCAAGGCACTTCAGGCTAAAATGGGTGCAAAGCGGACCCGAGATAGTGGCGTCACAACTAGTGATCTTATAGCAAAAGGAACCCGTGGAAGAGGAAGCCAAACAGACAAACCTGATGAAACCGTTGCGCTGAAAGCCAAATTGGAAAAAGCAAACGCAAGAGCCAACGTTTCGGAAGCTAATCTCAAAGCATTGCAAGCTAAAGTGGATGCGCAAGCAGCCAAACCAAAGCGCGAAGGTGGCGTTGTAACGGACCCTATCGAAAAACCAAGAGTAGTGGGTGCCACGGAAACTGAAGCCGTTAAAGTTGGTCAAGCGGAAATGCAAACGAAGGATGTTGTTTCAAAAGGGCGAACAATGCAAACTGCCGAGGACCCAGTACTAGAGGAAAGTAAAGAAAAGATTAAAAAGTTAGAGGATAAGAATAGAGATTTAACGAATGCGCAACAAAAGTCCATGAATGAGGCTTCTGCATTAAGGCGAGCGTCTAAAGGTACGCCCAAAGTTGAACGAGACACGATTTATGTGCATCTGTTTTAGAGGCGGAAGAATCTCACGCGGATCAAATACGACGTCTTTCGCAGTCGTACGAAGATCAACTAAGAAAATCCCAAGTGGATTTGGAACGAGCCTCAGCAATCAAAAACTACCAAGAGAAGGAAATAAAAAATCTCCACAAACGTTACAGCGACGGAATTGCCAAACTTCAGGGGTCTCATGAGGAAGTTATAAAGGAAATAAACGTGGAGCACGAGAAAGAGGTGGATATTTTACGGTCAGCGTTGCGTGCAAGTAAAGAGGTCATTGCCGACTACCAACGGCGTCCATTGTCCACGATTGTCGAGGAGACGTCGGTAAAATACTATTAAAATCACGCGAAGTAACATTACATCATTGTGTTTTAGACGCAGAAAGTACCTTTATCATCCGAAACTGTGGAGGGTGTAACAATTACCCCTTCCCCTAAAACGAATGTCGAAACCTCGACGCAAGGGGACAGAAGTTGCAAATGCATTCCAAGCTTGAAGGCAATTGCTAAGAAAATCCTTCGCGGTGGAATGGAGGTTTGTTGGTTTCTTTTGAATTGCCACACTTGGTTCTTTATTTGAAAATCAGCTTTATTTTCAGACTTAAACGTATTTTTTGGCTTTACAGGTTTTGGACTTTGTCGACTTGAAGATGCTACACGAAAAAACGTGCGAGGCAACTGCTGCGTTGCTTAGGACGTCTGCGATCCAATGGGGTCCTTGCATGTGCCAACCAAGAATTAATAACATGCAACTGCCCGAAGACAAACAAATTTTATTGACGAAAATCAATTCGCTCGAGAACGAATTGTTTAAAAAGCAAAAGCACACACAGCAAAAAAGTTTCTAACTGTCGAAGTGTAGACAAAACTTAAAACGGATGTTTCAGTTGGTGCCTTGCAAATATCGGTGAAGATGGAAAGAGAACGTTTACAGGAATTCAAAGCATTGCTGGATACCGAACGGAATAGGAATAACGAACTGATGTGCAAGATAGGTGCCCAGTCTCGTATCGTTGCGAGCATGCAAGCGGAAAGGGATATGATGCGAAGGAGAGGTTCCTTCAATGAAGAAAAGATGCAGTCGCTATTGTAAGGTTACAAAATTTTAATTGCGGGATTGAAATGTTTATTTTCTAGGATACTATGTGAACAAGAAAATGCAAAAATAAGACAGTTAGAGGAGGATTTAAATCAAGAACGCGAGATGCGTAAAAGAGATGTCGAAGAATTACAAGTGTGTTATCCTATAGGCTGATTTGTAATACATCTCATTTTGTAGGAGTTGCAAAGGAAACAGTATAGCACACCGCGTGGATGCCACTGTAACGCAGATTGCCGATGCAAGCAGCAAACGTTAGGTCAAGACAACCAACCCGTTAGACAAAGTACAGAGATGGCCTACCATGTTCAACCTCAATACAGTCCTCGCGTGAGTGCCATTTCTTAAAGTTTATCAATGAACTGTGATGAGGCAAAAAAATGTTTTCCACAGAAACTTTCAAAAATATTGAAATTAGATCCGACTCGACTCGGTCATTATTTTAAGGCGGGTCGCCTATTAGGACTATTTTCGGGTCATGTGGGGTGTAGGAGTCAAGTCGAATCTTTGGGTCGTGTCAATCTAATCAATTGGCTCAGACCACTTACTATCCAGTCAGAACATCCTCCCCTTTCCATCTATAGTCCATGGATGAACGTTACTATCAAGAAAAACGAAATAACGTTGTTTTATTTTGTTACAGGAACTCATAAATAGACAGACATTCACGAGGCAATGCGGCGTAAAGCAAATTTGCTCAAGGAGAAGAGGTTCCCTGTCACCTGAAACCAAAATTAAATCACCTGCCGATTTAGAAGATATCGATTGATAGACGAAACTGGCGTCGTTAAATCCTTATGTAATGTGATCGTTACGCTTGTGATGTCCAAGAAAAATTAAAATGTTTTATTTAATCGAATTTGTTCATTCCTTATGGCCAGTGGCGTAGCTAGGGTTGTAGCATTAGGAGGGCTGAGCCCTCTAGCGTTGGCGCATTGCGGGATGGGTGAATTCGTTTAATGATAGACGCGATTATAAAACTGTTTTCGGTGTCATAATGAAGGTATTATGATATCAAAGTAGAAAAAAAATCGTGCGATTCTGCACAATAGGACAATTAGGGAAAATTGGAAACGTACCTGCCGATTGCTGCCTCTTCCGCTTTTATTTATTTATTATCCCACTCTTGTTCTGGGCCACCAAGAGGCTTGCGCCCAATTACAGAGTGGCCTGCATAATGCTTTTTAGAGGTGCCTCTGCAGAAGGTCTTAATTTGTTCTATACTTACTACTCAGGCATTTGCCTTAAAAACCGGGAAAACTGCAGGAAAAACTAATTCGACCGAATGGTCGAAACTGATCTTCTCTCTTACTTCAGCCCAGGTTCGAACACCCGACCTCCGGATTTATAGCCCAACGCTCTACCATTGAACTACAAAGTCAAATCTGTAGAGTTTACGACGCGACGTCGACCGCAATGGCGTGTCACCGTTACCATTTTTAGCACCAAGTTAAGATCACTTGTTTTATTGCTATTATCACTTGTAGCATTAGACCTAGCAGTTTTACTTGAATTGCCATGTTTTCCTAGTTCAGGGTTCGTCTTCGTAATTGACCAATTTAATAAACTCATCGCTGAATAAATATATTTATAATCAGTTTATAGGTTAGAATCACGTTTTTCTTACACGCTCATTCTACATACATTCATACAGGCACTAACATGAAAACGAACTGACTCAAGTGACTACGCCCAAGGAGCTGCGCAGAGTCACCGACGGGCAGACGTACACGCACTGTGCGTCGCATCGAGCAACAGGCAGAGACGGAAAAGACAATGGATGTGGTATTGCGGTTGTCAGCATTAAGCGCACCGAAAGACGCTTATAATAAAAACTTTTAAATATATAAAGGGGGGCTTGATACAACATTGGGGGGCTGCAGCCCCCCCTAAAAAGGCCTAGCTACGCCACTGCTTATGGCTTTTCTTATCTGGCCGGTTTGTTCGGTAACCAAATTTGCCTCGTTTGAGAGAAACGCATCGTTTACTCCCCTTGGGACAAAACCCATCAAACATTTGTAGGGACTTTTCCCTGTCGCTGAACTTCTGGTCGAACTCGAAGCGAACCTTATACGAAGTATTTCCTCGTCCCATTGCTCCTCGGTAGTCATTCTCAGAGCGTCCAATATAGTCGACTATTATATCGTTCCACTTGTCCGTTTGCTCTACCATCAATAAGGTCTTTAAATCATTTCCGAACCGACGTTCGCCGATGGCAAGAGAACATCGTCGATATAAGCTAACACTTGTCTAAATCTCAACGGCCCTAGCCCGGCATTTATGGCTTTCTGAAATACCGCTGGCGCGTTCGCTAAACCGAAAGGCATACGTCAAAATTCATACTGCCCGTCCGGCACTATAATAGTTATTTATGTATTAAGGGCGTGATAGTGATGTTTATATTCTCGAGGGTAACGAGTTAATTTTTAGTCGCCCGAGAGTATAAACATCAGTTTATGCCCGTGATACATACAAAATTTTATGTCTTACAAATAGTTTTCTTCGTCAAAGTAAATATTCGTTTACAAAATAATAATACATTATGTTTGATCAAGTATTGAGTGGTTCGAATTTGTTAATGTGATTGAAACCATCCAAACGACAAACGTAATTTTAAATCATTCAATTCATTGTGAATGAGGAAGAAGTTCCAGAAACTATTCCAAATAAGGCCAATCTTGTGATTTAGTAGGTAATGACAATTAATAATTGACGTTTGTAATTTTCAATGACCTGCAAATATTTGTTTGTTTTGTCATTAAGTATAAATGAGTTACTATGGTGATACTTAATGCCCTAGGGCATAAGGTGGTACTTTATGCCCGCGTATCACAGATATAAAATGTGCTATGATATGTTAGTAAGACATAAAAGGAATTTCCGCAATTAAAGATTTTTCCATCGGTATTTGATAGAACCCATCGAGCCTAGTACCCTTTTTACTGTTCTTTAATTTCTCGAAAATTCATCTACTCTGTAAAATGATCTTTCCCGTATTAAGCGATCTGTACTCCACACACATACAATATGTGCCAGTCCTTTTATCATATTATTAGTTGGCAATAAATCCGGTTTAATGCATTAATATACGTAAATTCAAAGCTCTAGCATCGATTTCTCGTATAGTGACCGTAACGCATCCGGTATCCCGCACAAATGCTTTCGAAGCGACTTGGTTAATAAAGCAATTCAGTATGTACTTACTTTTGTAGGTGTCGATCTTAGCCAGCAAGGCCCGATCCTGTCTGCGATTTGGGGGTTGCTTTCCTCTTCGACAATCTTTGGCCTTGTACCCTAACCTTTTTCAAAGATTGTATACAAATCGTATTTCTTGCAATGGGGTGCGATGTGGCCTCTTTCACTACAATTAAAACACCGCACGTCGCGTGCATTTTTCTCTCTTTTCGGGGCGCGTGCTTCCGGCGCCCTCGTAGCGACGTAGGGGCTGGAAAAACGTTTTCCCTTTTCCAATTTGGAAAGGTACTCTACGTACAAAGCGTTTGGATTTTTATATCGTCCAGCACGGGCCACAGCTTGAATCCAAGACGTACGGCATCCTGTCTTTCCCATATCCATAATTTTCGCGGCGCGTACTAAACTAAATAAAAAAGTTTGCAATTCAGTTAAGAAATGGCCGAAATGCGAAAAAGGCACTCTGAATGATTAGATTAGATTCAACTTTTGGAATTGCGTATTATATGGCTAGAGCTATGCCCATATTAAATTCCATGCAATTTGGTTTATAACTAACGGAGATGTCAAAAGGGCCTTCTTTAATTTTTTACACATTTCCAATTCACGAACTCCGATCTATAAATTTGATAAAGAACTCGTTAATAGAGACGTACACTACCCAGTACAATACAACCTGAGGAAGGGCTATGATTATTCTTCATAGTGATTTGTGTTAGCTGTAAAACATTTATTATATAAACAAAATAAATATAACAACACAACATGGAAAGACATTAAAGACATGTTTTAAGTTTATACATACGAAAATAGTTTAAAGGAAATCACTGCATAGTTTTTACTTTACATTCTAAAATAGGTATTAGGTAAACGAGTAGTAGGTAATCGTCCATCAGTCAAAACTTATCTCCTCTGTTAGAACTCTAGGATGTAATGGACTTTTTGGTTCGCCGCTATAATAGATTCTAGTTTGGATTTGTTCACCTGACTCGTCTTTTTCCTCTTTACTTTTGTTTCGCCTCCGCCTCTTCGCGTATTTCAACTGTGGGCAGTAATACTCCATCTCGTTATTGACAACCCGAGTTTCGCACAAGATTCTCTTGTACGTTTTGTTTTTCCTAATCCTCGGCTTATCCTTTTGCTTATCTCTAAACGATGCGTCTCTGTACGCGTACGCTACTTGATCCAGCCCGTTATTGGATGTGGTGGCGGCTTCGTCATTTGGGATGTACTCCTTGAAGGGTTTGTCATGGTATGGTTTAACGGGGAGAGGTATTTCGTTTAATTTGTTGTATTTGTCTACATTGTAAGCGGGTTGCTTTTTCTTTCCTGCGGCACCTCGGAGCTTAGGTTTCGTTTGACAAATGAAGTACTTCTGTTCCAAACAGCTTCGCGCGTTCCACCTACAATGATAAGCAATTATAAGCAATCTAGAAGATAGAATTGCGTACTTATAATCAAGGTGCGGGTCCATAATAGTACAGTGCCATTGTAATTTCTCCTTGTCTTCCGGATCCATTTGGGAAAACCCTTTGAACGTCATTTCTTGGCCAGACGCTCCCCACTTCCATTTCATCTGTTCCCAGTCATACATTCCACCTATCCACCTTTCTTCATTTGCTGCAACCAGATAAAATCAGAAAATTGACTTTTAATTGTAACTGCATACGTACACATAGATATCTTGTTAAGGAAGTTTCGAAGCATCTTGTCTTGATTCACATGCTTTACAGTCGCAAATTTTCCATGTAAATCTTGGCATGTGAAGAAGGCATCTTGCCACGTCGTTTTATTCTTGCTAAAGTAGTAACAGAATTGATTTAACTTTAAGTACTCCGGTGGGCATATGTATTGGCGGCTGCATTTATCTCCCGCCTGACTGATGGTTTGTGCAGACACTCCTGCAAATTAAAAAATGATGCGTTAATACAAAATGATGTAACGCGCGATGTCATATGGTACCAGTGTCCATGAACGACACTGTCCTATTTACATACACATTACGATAGGTGCTGATGTTACGTTATTATATTATAAGTAATTTACGCTCGTAATATACCAATTAATTTATACATAGGTACAGGTAATGGACAATGAAACAAACATTTTTAAATTTGAAAGTTGGCGAATTGTATAGCAAGCCATACATTGGCGAAAAGGACAGCGATATCAAACCAATCGCCAATCTATTTCTACGATTTCAAGAATGAGTGCTATTGAATATGACCCGAATCAAAAGTCTAATTTCCGAGTGCTAGCTGAGTGGTAGAAAAAAATTCTCCTACTGAAAATCGTATACGATTCTTCGTATCTTGTTACCTATAGTTCAGGCAAAATAGCTTTAAAATAATTTATTAAACAACTTGTTGCTTCTAGTACAAAAACAGTCACTTTTTTTTACAATACCTCAAATTTTCCGTCAAATGTTTTTTCTTTTTAGCGCATTTCCACAAAAATAAAAAAAAAATGCGCTATTGTGGCCACTTTGTCCGTCCGTCCGTCCGTCCGTCCGTCCGTCCGTCCGCTAACTTTGCAACGCTACTAGTTCTTTATCTTAAGAGCTATTGTTCTACTTTTTCCGCTATTGGGTTCGTTATGGTGTCGAGTCTTGTACCAAGGAAGGAATTTTTTCTGTGCCGCTTACAAAAAAAGTTATTGTAAAAAAAAACAAAAAACCGTTTTTTAAATGTTCCATAATTTTACACTTTTGCCGTTTATTAACGATCCTAGAGATCGTTTATAATTTTGCATTGCTATCTGTCGCCTGCCGGTTGGTCTGTCCGTCTGTTTCTTTGTCTGTCTGTCCATCTATCTGTCCGTGTGAACGATAACTTTGTTTAGAAATGTTCGATCGCTTTTACATTTCCGTTAGTTATGAACTGAATTGCATGAAATTCAATATGGGCATAGATTTAGCCATATAATACGCAATGCCAAAAGTTGAATCGAATCGATTCAAAATTCACAGTGCCTTTTTCGCATCTCGACCATTTATAAACCGAATTGCAAACTTTTTTACTTATAAAAGTATTTGAATGAAATTTGATACATAGGCACTTGGAATAAAGGAAAATCAAACGCCGATTTCAAAATTTGGTTTTGCGCATGCGCAGTGCCAACTTTTTTATTTATGGAAGAATTTAAACGAAATTTGATACATAGGCACTTGGGATAAAGGAAAATCAAACGCCAATTTCAAAATTTGGTTTTGCGCATGCGCAGTGCCAACTTTTTTATTTATGGAAGAATTTAAACGAAATTTGATACATAGGCACTTGGGATAAAGGAAAATCAAACGCCAATTTCAAAATTTGGTTTTGCGCATGCGCAGTGCCAACTTTTTTATTTATGGAAGAATTTAAACGAAATTTTATACATAGGCACTTGGAATAAAGGAAAATCAAACGCCAATTTCAAAATTTGGTTTTGCGCATGCGCAGTGCCAACTTTTTTATCTATGGAACTATTTAAGTGAAATTTGATACTTAGGCGCTTGGAACAAAGGAAAATCTTAGTTTATTAGTTAGTTATAGTAAATTAGTTTTAAAATTTTGGGTTGCGCATGCGCAGTTCCAACTTTCTTATTTAGAAAAGCATTGAAATGAAATTCTTCTCATAAACTGAAATTGAAGTAGCACGTCAACAATGGATTGCCCATGTGCAACGCTATCTTTCATATTTGTGGCCGGATTTTACGATTTTAACAGAAGTTGCATCTTACAAATGGGAAATGAATGCAAGTGGAAATGCGCTTTATGTAAATCGTTTACGATTACTTTTTAACTTGTTTCGAATTTTTGCGAAAAAAGTCGTAGAGGTCTGGAATTTGGAAGAAACATATTTTTAGGACAAAAAACAAAACAATTTGGGCCCGTAAAGTTTCCGAGATAATTCACGATTTTCGAAAAAAAACACCTCTTTTTCAGGAGGATGAAGTCTATTTCTTTTCATCGTACAGAACTGCGAGGAGTACAAAATGTTCGTAAAGACTTATATTTTAAAAATAAAAAATATCATTCCGATAAAGGAGTTTCGAGAAACTCCGATAAAGGAGTTTCGAGAAAATCGCGAAAAACTGAAAAAACAGTTTTTTAACATGATAAATAAATATAACCACAGACATACGTATATCTCCGATATAACTAAATCAAGGTCTTGGATCCGCGCTAATACCTAAAGATTTCTCTAAATCTGTTTTTACGGTCTTGTTGCTAAAATATTTGCTTTTGTTTCTTTTTGTTCAACTACTTTAATTAAAACATCTTTGTTATTTCTTTTTTCTACATTTTTACCGCGACTAGAAGTATTCTTTTGCTTCTTGAGCAATTTTTTTTCCTTCACTGACTCTTCTTCCTGCCTATTTAAGGGTGGAGTCGGTCCATATCTTCTGAAGGGGCCACTATTATCCAGGATGCCGACCTGGTCCTAGGGTAAAATCTACGTTATACAGGAATGAGGAACCTCTGGATATGTAAACAATGTTAAACAATCTAAACTGTACATTTAATTTTATAATTGTTAACCAGTTAGAGGACTGTATATCTTTACGGTTATGCGTCAAAAATTTAAAATTGAAAATTAACGTTCCTTTTTGTGTATTTCAACAAGACTTACTTGGGAAAGTTTTTTAAATGAGTTAAATATTGCATTCCGTCGTCATATTATAACTTATTGCCAGTTAGGTTTAACAATGTATTAGTGCATAAAAGTAAGATAATTACTAAAGGAAAAAATTTAAAATGATTAATGGCTGTTTGCACCGACAAATTTAAGCGGAGCTTAGTGTAGGCGAAGCTTAAAATCCATGGCAACGATGATTGAAACAATGGTTGTCATGGATTTTAAGCTACGGCCATTACAATCACGTTAGATTTTATTTTATGCAAATATTTTAACCCAAATTACAATAAGGGGGTTAGGATTTTGACATTTGTAGACTGCGAAAGAAGAAATTAGAGTACCTTTCAATTTCAGTATATGTTTTCTCCCTATACTGAGACTGATTATAATCAGATTTCCTATGTCCAAGTCTAAAAATGTTCATATAAAAAATCAGGACCCACAGGATAACCCCGTACAAAACCCATTTGATTGATCTAGTCAGCGCATTTCACATTTTGATACGTGTTAAAATAATCACCTCAATACTTTTGTATTTAACCGTTACTAACAATTTCACAATAATTCTCTTCCACAAAAAGCGGTTTTAAGCAAAAACAATGGACAATTTTGGTTGTCGAGAGAGCGAAAACACTCTCTCAGTATAGGAGGGTTGGTTGACGTTTTAGGCAACTAACTTTATGAATCATCGGTGCTCGAGTGCCATTTGAAAATTTGAGTTATTTCCAGGTCTTTTCACCATTTTAATATCATATACAACGGCTTACTATTGATAGGTTAAATGAGAAATGTTTTGGTGTTGTATTTTGATTAAAATTCCATTTAGAACAATTAAAATTCTGGTCCAGTCAGAAGTTTTTTAAAAAAACTTAAATCCTCTTCAGGAGTAGGTATGCAATATAAATTTTTCTATGGGTGGTTTGTAGGTACTGTTGATGGTTGATTACATCATACCGAAGTTGCGGATAAGTTATGATTTATGACCTATCAGTCTTATAACTATCACAATATTCTCTTGAAAGTCTCTTGAACTTCTCTTCGTTTTTCTAAAATTCTTTCTAAATTGGTTTGAAATTAACATACAGTTATTTTGTTTCAAACTACCCCTGCAGTTCCCTGCAATTTTTTAAAACCAATTCGAAAATTCCTTAAGATATTCTCAAAATCCCCATCACGATCCTTTCAGAGTTTGTTTGATTCAACTCCTGATAATATTCTTTTAAAACTCTCTTAAGGGTCTATAGAACAAAGGTTTATTAAAAACTTCTTTGATTGCTATATATAAATAAAATTTTAATCGAATACTTGATTAATCGATTATCGATTAGTTGATTAATCAGTATAAGCGATTATTTATTTATTTTTATTAATCGGTTAGCCATTATTCAAACCTGTAAGATATATTAAACCTAGCAGTTCTGCACCCTCAACAATGTTTTTCGCCCATTAAAGTCTCCTTTCTCTACTGCAAGAGCCACTAATATCAAGAATACGCATGTCGTAACAACCGTCTAGCAATTTTCCGTCATATTTAACACTTCTGGACCCTCAAAAATTTTTTTCCGATTTTAAAATCCCTTTCTCCCGTTCTGGCGCCATCAATACCACAAAGAAGCACGTTACAATAATCACCTATCTATTTTTCCATCAAGTTTACCATAACTTCTGGGCACAGAACAATTTTTCTCTTTCCTGGCGTTACCAATACCATGAATAAATGTGTCCCATTTCTCCCTTCCCAACGAGGTGTGTGGGAGATAAGACTGTTCCGAATGTTTCTGGAAGGTCAAAAATTATTGAATACTTTTGCATATCCTAAAAGTTAGTGCGTGTCTGATGATTCCGAAGGTTCTGAAGATTTTGAAGACTTTTGATAATAATAATAATATAACAATAATTTTTGACTTTATTCCCATACATCATGTTATACAGGTGCATTCACTACATGAAAGTAATATAAACAAAAAAAATTTTTTTAAGACATCTACAAGAAAAAAACAAGAGGAGAAAAGAGACAGAAAGGAAGTGAATTTTTAACATTAAAATATAAATTTTAGTTAATAAAATTTCATTATTTTTTTTATGGAGTCAACAAAAAGTTTTGATTTTACTTTTTTTTTCATTATTTCGTTATTTGTTCTATTTTTAGCAAATGTTTATGCAAGAATAATTAATATACTGTCCAGAAATGTCGTTTGAGTCATCATCCATTTTTGAATAGATTTTTTGTGAATCTTACATTTTTAAAATTACTCGGTAAAACATTATATAATTTTGGTCCAAGATATAACGGCGATCGTTGAAATAGGCTTCTATTTATTTTTGGCAATTTTTTATATTGCTTAGTCGTGCTTCTGGTTGTTACTAGCTGATTTATTCTTAGTGACCCATGACAGTTGCTAATATTAAAAAATTGCCGAAGAACCTTAAACAGATACAAGTTCAAAGGTTCTAAAGGTTCTAAAGCTCCATGAAATTAAAAAATGTCTGAATGTTCTAAAAGATAATAGAACTCTTAAGTTTTTCATTTGACTGAAAACTGAGCTGCTCTTGGGGTCCTCAAGTTTCTGAATCTTCGTCACAGTGAACAGTTGAGATGAGATTTATGCACTTTATTTTGAAATATTTTATCCCGAGTGAAAAAGCTGCGTATTGGACATAAGGGGTAGTTGTGAAAAATGGGCCAAAAAATCAGAAGAAAATTGCTGGATGCGCAAAGGGCACAGAAGTGAATAAGAAAGGCAAGTAGGAATGAGATTTTAAAAATTCAGGTAGGATAGAAGCCTAAAAAAGAAAGTGATAATGAGTCAAAAGGGATTGGATTCTGGATTCTGGATTACGATAGGAGGGTGAACAGTGTCCACGCGTACTTAGGCCTCAAATTCGGGCCCTTTGTACTACCTCCCTGACTAGGGTCGCCCGACCCCTCAGCATCACTCAAGCCATCCCACACGTGAGATGAACCTTAGGACGCTGGAAGGGGAGGCGGCTCTAATCGTAGCCATGTCCGGCCAGGATTCCCCCAACATGGATCGTCTCAGTTGGACTAGAGCGGGACATTCACAGAGTATGTGGTATGCCGTCTCGTCGTCTGTGTAACATCCTCTACAAGATGGTGATTCCACCAAACCCATGCAGTGCATGTGCTTGTTTAGTTTACAGTGCCCAGAAAGTATGCCCACGAGTAACCTCAGGTTCTTCCTTGATAGCCCTGTACAAAAACGCGCCAAGCTACGAGATGGTCCTCTGAAGGCTTCTCTCGCATGGCGACAATCTAACATCAAGTTCCACCTAGCCCTGTGCTGGGTTTGGGTGTCTTGAGTTATTAGGGTGTTTACAGTTGTAACTGTAAGTGGAAGAGCCGGCTCTGGACCATAAAACGCCTGTTTTGAGGCCAGTCGGGCTAATTTATCGGCTTTCTCATTACCTTCCGTTCCAGCATGCCCTTTGACCCATACGAGCTCAAGGGTGTTGCTGCTTGCTACTTGCTCTAGTACGTGGTGACATTCGGAAACCATCCTGGAGGTAATTTTACAGTGACCAAGTGACTGCAAGGCAGCCCTGCTGTCACTTGAGATTCTGATAGTTTTGTTCTTTATGTTATGCATAAGAACTGTTCTTGCACTAAGCGTTAATCCTACCAACTCTGACTGGAATACAGTAGGAAGTTTACCTAGTGGTTGGGTGATATGGAAGTTCAGTTCTTTGGAGTAAATACCAGTGCCTGTACCTTCCATTGTCTTAGATCCATCCGTGAAGATGAATATATCTGGTTGGGATGCCATATTCTCATCAAAGAAGATGTGATAGTTTTTCCCTAATATGAATTGAGGAGTGAGTGAGTCCGATCTCCCCTCTAGGATAGGCAGACGCTTGATCGCCTCGCCCAGAATTCGGGAGTGGCCCCCCTCAATGCCTCTGCTATTCAACAACCCCTTATTTTTCAGACGCAGGAATGCCCGAATGGCCTGCTCTCTCACGTGGAGATCTAGTGGAGTCAAAAGGGAAGAAGGTGAAGAAAGTGTGAGCAGTTTAAAGTAGGAGTGGAGGAAACAGTCACAGAACGTGTGTGTAAAGCGGCATGTTCGAGGGAGTAAAGAAATGAAGAGCAAAAAAGGCGGCGAAATTGTGTAGACGTGAGAGATTCTTGAAGGAGGCATGAAATTAAGCAGAATGGTAAGGATACAAGATGGAAGTATCAACAAGGTGTGCAAGAGGTGTGTTCAATCACAGAGTAATCTGGGATTGAAGAGGTTTAATTAAATAAGGAATAACAGAGTACATTAGGTATTACGCGAATATTTTTATGGAAAAAATAGTAGGTAAACATGTCAAGTTAGGAAGGCATGAAAATCCAAATAATGTTGTAATAAAATAGCGTAGGTGGGTAAACAAGCACGCATGAATTAGATACAGGACACAAAACACAAACTTCTGGAAGAGGCAACCAAAAAGGCATGAAACTTCATGAAGATATGAAAGAGGATTTCATATGGAACATGGACTGGTGTTTAGAACCTTTAAAACAATGCAAATTTACATAATCGGGTTCGAGCTGGTTTTTACCATAAAATGTATGAAAATCTACTCTTGGAAACGGCAGAGACTATCGCTTTCCTAAATAGAGTTAAAGAAATCTTCCACTGCTCTCAAAGAATTCCATAAGTTATTTTATAAAGAAGTTTTTCGGGCTAAAGGCTTTCTAATAATTGTCACATTTTTAACGTGGGTGGGCAAATTCTAGGACCAAGAATCTACAGTACCCAACGTTCTCCATTTGGAAAAGTGCACTAATGTTACTTTGCGGGAAGTGGGAAAATTGTGACCATTTTCGTTTTTGTAGTACTCTGGAATTAATTCAAAGAATATACCTCAGAGGTCAAAATGTTATTTTCGATTCATTTTAGTTTAGCTCAACACAGTGTAACACATCTGTAACATAAAAACCATCTTTTTCCATTTCGACTTTAATTTTAATTTACTTGACTTCCTTCACAACGTAAATGTAACATTACTATTATTTTTCTTCTGGGAAATGCTGTTCATTAGCTTCCTGGTGTCAATGTCCTTGTCTCAACAGTTCCAATAAAATTTAAACGAAATACGTTTCCTCTATTACTAACCCGTTGATAACTTGTAATGAACCTTTTTTCTCCTCATTTTACTCTGCTCTCTCAAACTCTGGTAAAATTTGTTTTAAATAAAAAAAATAACATCCGGCATTTGTTGCAGCTGCACTTTGAAATGCATGTTGCAGATAAAAGTTGGGAAAGTTCCTGGTAGTTTCCAAATCTGATATACTGTATTTCTAAATTCATTTCATTTCTAAATTTTATATTCCGTAATGTATTTCGTCAATCCATTTCCAGTCTAATTAGCCGCTTTTTTTGTAGGTAGGTATATGACTTGTTTAGTAATTTTCCCGCTTCTGTTTTCTTAAATCTTAAGTTTATATCTTTATCAGTTTAGATTTGTTTTCCATAATTCGTTTCCTTCAAGGAGTTTGTGGAAAATTGTAGGTAGGTATATGCAGATGGTGATGGTTATTGCAGTGGCTGACAATTGATATTTCCAATTCCAGAAATTAAAAACCAATTTATTGTTATTATTTCATTTTAATAAATATGGGTACTGCACAATCAACATTCATCGACAATATCTGCAAGAGAATTTTTCGGAATGGTTGAGGTATATTACAAATAGTCATGATCGATTATAATTTATTAGGTATGTAATAAAACCAAACCGAGGACGAAACGGTATATATTTGATTATATACGAGTATCTCTGCTGTGGATCGCAGTGACGAAAGTTATAAGTAGATGCCTATTTTAGACAATGCGAATAAGTAGGTACACCAAATAGAACGAAAATGTCACCAGTAATAACGAAATGCCACACATGACGATGACCTTACAGCACTAGACAATAATACTCGAAATTTGCGTTGAGCAAGAGAGGCCAATGTACACGCTGTGATAAAATTAGTTTCTTTCAGCGGTCACCATCCACGGCCTAGGCCAAGTAACAATGTATAAGCTCCAAATTTCACATACATGAAGTCTATAATTTATATTAATTAACTACTCTTGTTCTATTAAGTTGATTCGTCTAGCCAGCCTTTTACAATTATCTAACACTAAAAGCAGATGCCAAAACTCCTTTTTTTGATATCAAAAATAGGAAATAGAGTAGCTAGTAACACGATTACGGCCCACCACCAACATCCCAAACAGTTTTTTTTAAACCTAACATAAACAAATACATAACTCACCTATAACAAACGACAAAAGTGCCAACTGCCACATTTCTAAATAACGTTGTCCAACTTCTTCAGCACTTAGTGTTTTTCGGTGGGTCCATCAATTCCTTTCACTGCAAAAAAAAGAATAAATGGACGACTACAGTTTATAAAACAAAAAAAGCGTTTACATAATTTCTTAATGGGCTTACTTAAAAATGAACTCATCAAATGTACACCTAATGAATGGGAAGGACGCTATGCTCGATAAGTTACATTTTTGTTAAAAATAGAGGGAATGGGCAAATTTATTGTCTTTTTACGAAATTCAAGGTCCATTAAATTTTATTTTTAAATGCCGTACGTTTTTAAACTTCCAGCCTCAAGTCAAAAATAATTTCCCTTAATTTAGTAAATTTTATGTGTTTACTTTTTGTTACTACCACGATTTTGGATTATCCAAAATATCATTCCAAGACAATTTACGTGATTGTAATAATGTAAGAATTATACGGACTTGACTTATTATTCACTGGCCAGTTTTCGGTGGTAATGTTTACGTAATTTTAAGAGTACCTAAATCCTGGAGCAGGTGAGGTTAACAAGCTTTTCGGATGGTTAATTTCATTGTTTGTTAAACGGTCACGTCTCTTTTAGCCCGTGACAAGAAGATTAAATGGCAGTATGTAAAAGATGTAGGTATTTGTAATTATAGCTTTGAATGCACTCGTATTTATCTAAATTAGAACGATGATGATTAATTCATTTGAATTATCATACAAATAGTAAGGTTAGTGCTCAAGTTTCATGTGTTAGCGAAAATTCAATCATGTTTTAGGAAATAAATCAGAATAAAAAGGCTTCAATTGCAAATGCGAATTTAATTCAGTGTTACATACAGAGTGGAAATTTTGTCTGGCACACTGTATCAATATTCAAAACTAGTAATTTTTGCAAAGAAATTGTTATGGTATCTACAATTATAAAATGTGTGCTACCAAAAAATAAAACAAAAACACCAATATAATTATTATAGTGATTTATTGGTGATATTGGCAACAAAACTAGTTTTCATTACATAATATTAAACAGCAAGCACACTGTTTGGGATATATCAGCATGAAAGGTATGCACTAAAAAAAGTGGTTGCTATTAAAAATTATATGCCTCCCTTGGCTCTGCAGGCATACCTACGCCACTACCTCAATTTTAAAGTATGGAGATTGGCAGCATATTTTTTTACAATTTTAAGGCTTCTTTAAAAAATATTGTTTTGAAGATATGTTCAGTGTTCAGACAAAATTTTGAATTATACTTCCATTTTGAATTGAATTCAGTAATACAGTAATGAAATGGGATTCCTTTCCCAAATGAAAAGAAATTGAGGTGGATTACAATGGCGGAACCACATATTCAATAGCTGAAATTATATCGGACTCATATACGATTTTAGTATCGATATAATTTTAAAGATCAAAATAGATAAGTGCCTTAAACCTAATAACAAAATAAAGGATAGGTAAGATGTCCATTATCTCCTAAAAAAATATTGCTAAAAATCCCTGTAAAGTGTTCATAGGTAATTCGTAATTATAATTATACTGTAGCGAACATTCCAGCAATCTCGATAGACATCGAATCAGGGCGAAGGCCTATGTGAAGCAATCCTTCCGGGAAAAATGACGTGTTTATTGAAGAACATTCCGAATCCTTCTAGAACAATTGTAGTTTACTGTATAAGCAAATTGTAGCGTATTTTAGTCAGTTCCAACGTCGACGCGCTTCAGTTATGTTATAAATAGTAATGGATAAATAATAATTACTGTTATAAATACACCCATTTTAAGAATGTTATAAATTTATTGTTAATTATTTGTAAATAAATAAATCACGTAATTAAATTTACGTTGACAATAAATCTGAATAAACTTGATAGCATGTGTGGGAGGATCAGTGCTGCCAACTTAATAATTCATAAAGCAAATTTCCCACCTAGGAATGTTGATTAGTCTCTCTAGTTTAATAAATATTTACTACGTATAGTGACTTGGGTTGGTAGAGCAGCCTTGGCTGAAACCCCGACCACTCAAAAATAAAATAAATAAAAATAAACTATAATTGATAACGTTTTTTAACGCTCGTTTTCCTAAAACGTTTCCAGAATTTTATCCAGAATTTGCCAACCTTTGTAGGAACCAAATGTTAAAAAAGAAGCAAAGGAACATGATGCGAGTAAGCATGGTTAACACTTTCAATGTGTATACTCGACTTTTTTTACACTTTATATACACTGTGCCCAAGATAAGGATGTCCCTTGGAGAAAACCGATTTAATTAATATCACAACAAATTATTTCCAACCAACTAAAATCAAACAAGAAACGCAAACAATTGAAAAGGATGAGCGAGTAATAATACAATACATGAAAATTGAAGACACTAAATAAATTTTTTTTTTATTTGTTTATTATCCCTCTCTTGTTCTGAGCCCTCAACAGGCTTGCGCCTAATTAAAGAGTGGCCCGCAGAATGCTTTTTAGAGGTGCCTCATTTATAATAAAGAGGAAGCGAGTTTAAATAATTTGCTTGAAGACTTAAAACAAGTTCGAGAAGAAATTGAAGATGACAGAAAAGAAGCAATAAAAAGTCGACGTATAGTTTTTGGGATGTCTGAGGGAGTAGGGGAGCGATTTAAAGAAGACGGGACTTAGAAGAAATTTGTAGTGGCAAGCTCCGTAATTACGGAAAAAAAGTTGTGCATCCAATTCGTTTATATGCAGTGCAACAAGTTTACGAACAAACGGCTACCTGTGGAAAGATTAAAAGCAATTAATTAAATCTTTTGTTTGCTGTTAATACCCTTAGTTACAAGCGTACATTGCGGAAGATCGGTAATTTATTACTGTGAATAACTCAAAGTTCATCAAAGTAAGCCTGAAGCTCAGTTTATTCATGTATATCAAATTGTATGAAATAGGATGTTTATGGGGATGTTTTATAAGGAATTTGCATTTGAAGTAATTTCTGAAGAGGTCAACTTACACGAGTTATCCCGTGAACAAATGTGTGTATTTTTGTTATAAACGATAAGTTAACTCAGGCCAAAGATAGGGTAATTTTATTTTTTCATTAATGGTCATTTCATTCCAGTAATGCCACTTTTTACTGTGGGTTTAAATTTGTTATGGAGATATGTAAATTCGTTTTGAGTAGGACTCTGTAACTACCAAGCGTTTGATTAATTAAGAATACTAAAAATCCTGATTATGATTCAGGTTGAAAACGTGATGCCGATATAGGTATTAAAAATTTAATTTGTGTTTGTTACGTGAAGTACCTCCATCTTTTTTTAAATCAATGTAAGGAAAACTGGAGTTAATCTAGTCAATTTATATGAGTATTGATCAAACCAGAGCATTAGGTTTTTGAGTTTCAGATTATAAGAGCAGATAAAGATCTGACATTTCACATGGTGAGAGTAATCGAAGGTTTAATTATGACTGAGCTAGCCGTGGTACTAATTTTTTCATTGCAAACTCCTGTAAGCGTAACTAGCCAGTTATACTACGTATTCGAATCTTTTAAACGCGATTGATTATGGTTCCTCAAATATGAGAATGTTTGCTGAACAGTAAAGGTACTGAGTACTGGGTACCTATAAGTTTTTTACTAAATAACATCAATTGTCTAGTAGCTTATTGCTAGAAACAAGAGTTCTTCATCTTATTGTTAAACTTATCCGACATTCCAAGGGAACAAATGCATTTGCAATGGAAGCTGTCTATCGAGTAAATTAGTAGTGACATTTATAAAAAAATTTGACTGACTGTAATATTGACAACCAGAAATTAGACACCTTTTCAATTTAAAAAGTTAAGAAGTTTGGAGTCAAGAACCAGAATAATCGAGTTGGTTGTAAAAGTTGTTAGTTTTGGTTACTCATGAAAAAGTTATCGTTAAACAATTGCGTCCCATTCAGGAATTCCGTATTTTTGGAACGCAAAATTAAAATGTTCTCTACTACATTCGTGTATAAAACAGAAGAAGACACGAAGAAAGCGTTTGCGCATACCATTAATTAAATTGTCCATTTGGACTACTCCTAGAAAAGGTAAGCTCGTTTCATTATTATTATAATACTGGTACATTAGTGGGATCGGATAACGTAAAAATATTTCATTACTGGCGGCGAACATGACTTTTTTCAATATAGTTTATGCATATATCAAAGTTCAAAAATCGCCCCAGACCCCAAAATTTCGAACCTCTTACCACCAGTAGTGACGTCATCTAACTAAGGACCTAAGACATCGGATCCCAACGGAGGCGGTACTGCCTCCCAGTGGGCGCTGGAGGATTCTAGAGGAGCGGCAGGTGCGCTCAGGAGTAAGTGGGGGTCGTTGATTATTTACATACAGAGAGATGGTCATGGTGTACTATTAACTAAGAAAATAAATTTTACTAAAATATTGATTAATTTATTATTATTGAAATGGATAAATACGTACTTTACTTAAATTGCATTATTTCGAATATGTATAGCATGCGCACGTCTATTACAGGGTGGCTAGAAAGTAATGGAAGAAGGCACTGCTGATGAAACGGTTGGAGGGATTGATTTCAAGTTTAGAGGACTTCAAAGAGACGTTATTACGCATATTTCGGAATAAAAACGAAATTTAAATGACCTATAATGTCATTAAAAAATTCAAGATGGCGGCCACCCTCAAAATTCAGGGTAATGAAGAAATTCCTTTTTCCTTATAACACGAGGGGATATTAGTTTTAAAACAATTTAAGAAGTAGCATCAGTGTGGGTCAGTATACCGAAAAGTCAATCAAAAGTAACTATGCCTATGATTAATCGACTAGGGGGCGGTAGCTATTTTTTTGCTCTTTAAGGAGGCGATGTTTCGAAAAAGGTTTGAAAATCTATGATCTAAATTGTAAGATATTATAAATAGTATATTTAACCCCTACATTTGGCGGCTATTCCAAAATATACAGCGAAATGATAGCAATGGATCATTAAAAGTTGGCAGAGTTAGATTTATCACTTATAACACCCTCATGGAATGAAGAAGCGGACGGACGCCTTTTCCTTCACGCTAAGCATGCGGCTAATAGTGATAATG